AATCCATCCTACGTTTAATGACCTAAATTATGAAATAGTATTATATTTTATTATATCATATCATATCATATTTCATAATCCATTGTTGAATTAAAAGACATTTTGTATGATTTTAAAATAATTTTAATATCAAATTAATAAGTTAGTATAAAAATTGATATTTTGATTATTATTATTATAATTCCACAATTTAATAATAAATATATTAATAATATTTCTCAATAGTTTAAGCATTAGTAAAACATCTTATGAGGTGTCATTCAGATAGGACGACCAGTATATAGAAGAAAGAAGGAAGAAAAGACATTTGACCACAAACTGGGGCACAATTTAGATCTTTATGCGCTATTTCGTGGTCTATTGACACACAAGAGGACTCATCAGAAGGTTTCGCGGGTTAGGAATAAAATATGACAACACTTACTATTACTTATTGTTGAGACTGATAGTCGCTTATGTATCTCAAAACTAAATAACTATTTTTTAGAGAGAAAGAGAGAAAGAGAAAGAAAGAGAGAGAGAGAGAGAGAGAGAGAGAGAGAGAGAGAGAGAGAGAGAGAGCTCTATGGATATATATTTATTTATTTAAGTATAAATAATTATATATTTATTTATTTAAGTATAAATAATTATATATTTAACATCAAATATTTTTTGTACATAGCATTGAATCATGGTTCTATTACTTAAATAAATATATATATCCATAGATCTCTCTATCTCTAAAAAATAGTCATTTAGTTTTAAGATACATAAGCGACTATCAGTCTAAAGTAACTAAACAGTTATATAATTTATTAATTAAATTATATTAAAAACTATTACCAAGTGATTAGTTTCAAATATATAGAAATTTATACAAATAATAGAATAAAATGATTTTGTTTTAATTACTATATGACTATTATATAAGATATGACTTTTAAAATTAGTATAATTTATTGCATAAATGTTATTGTTTTGTTTACAAATGACAATGAAATCTCATGAAATCCAATAAATTTGATAATAAATTATATAAATTAATATATATATTGGAAAATCACGTTTCAGATAATCTGTATGCTGTTATATGCGTGTATAGAAAATGTGCATAAAATATGAGTAAAAACATATCATTTTTTAGTACTTTAATTTGTTATACTCTATAAATAATATAATATATTATAATGATTTTTTACTTATTTTACTTAATTGTAAATCAACTTAAATTATTTATTAATAATATGCAAATCATTTACCAAAAGTTTTACGTTATTTACTTTTTAGGTGCATCAATAAATTAAAATTTATTATATTTTAAAAAGCAATTATTTTATTTTATTTTATTTTATTTTATTTGAATGTTAATATGTTAAAAGTATTGAATTTAAAATTATTTAAAATAAAATTTTATTATTTATACAAATGTATTATTATTATTAATTTTAATAATAATAATTTTTATTCATATATTTGTTATGAAAATACAAATGGTGTAATTAAAAATTATAAGTAAAATAATAAAAATCACAGTAAAAGATATTATTGTTGTTATTATTATAGACAATATTGTAGTTAAATATACAACAACAACAAAATTAAAATATTAAAAAATAATTATTAGAAATTAAATAAATTTTATTATAATAATTTGAACATTTATTAATTATTAATAAAAAAAATAATTTTTATTTCATTTCGTAATTTTTGTCTGAAAAATATTAAACTAAACATAAACTGACTTTAATTAATAGTTTACCATTTCTTTAATTTTCTAAGAAATTCAAGAAAACTGTATAAAATAAATAAACTTTTTATTTCTATTTAATAATAAACTTAACATCCATTTATTGCATGATTAAAAAATAACAAAAAAAACTTAATTAAAATAATATAAAATGACAATTTGAAGATGACTAATGTATGATAAATTATATTTTAAATAATAATAAAGTTATAAATTGATATTTTATGGAATATTATTTTAGTTCAAAATAAATACAGTATTTTATAAAATAAAAATCAAATTAATAAATATATAAAAAATATATAAAAATTTAGTCACACCTCAATTTAAACTTAAACAAATTATATTAACTTTAAAGTTAATTTCTTAATAATTATTAGATTTTTAAAAATATATATAAATTTTTATTTAGGTTTATGTTATCACAATCACACATTATATATAAAACTTTAATTACTCACAATTTGTGACATATATTTAGCCGATTATTTGTCGGCAATAAAGCCGAAGACAATAATCGGTTAAATATATGTCACAAACTGTGAGTAATTAAAGTTATATATATATAAATGTCTTTTCATTGCAAATTAAAAAATTTGAACTATTAATAGATTATTTATTTGTGATTTTGTATAACATTTATTATAAATTACTATTTTCACGAATTCCTGAAAGGAATACGTATATGCATTCTATAAGTCGGTCTGTCTGTCTGTCCGGACATAGGTTCGAATCCACTATCCGCTACAAATTTTTTTTGAATTTTTTTTTCTTATTTAAGTTTATTTTTTAGGAAATTGAAAAAAATGGTGTCCAAAAATTAATTAAAAAATAAAGTGTAAAAACCATACCCTAAAAATAATTTTTATTTTTTTATAGAGAAATCAATGTTTTATAATATAAATATTACTGACATCTATGAACTTAAATTTAGATTTTTATAATTACTACAATTATTATTATTGTGAAATCACTAATTTTAGAGAATATTCTGCATTATATTGATATAAATAATTATTGACTTATAAATGTCAATAATTTTAATAATAATGATATTTATTTTAATGAATTGTATAGATATATGAAATGTGCAATTGTTTGAAAGTGTTGATAGCATTTTGTTTACCTCCTTTAGCAGTATTATTGGAAAAGGGATGTAATTTGGATTTTTTATTAAATATAATTTTATCATTGTTTGGATGGCTTCCCGGTGTAATTCATGCTCTATTTGTTATATGTCGCAAACAAGATCACAACATTCATCACTATAACACTGTTGTTGTGACCCAACCGTCCCAAATGATGACTACTAGCCCACAATCGGTTGTATTTGCTGTTCCTCCGCCTCCACCATATTCACAACATCCACAACCATCCGCTCCAATGATGAATAAATAAATTTCTAATAATTTCTAATATTTAATTAAATTAATGTCTTTATATTATAATATTGATTATTAATTTTTCAAAATTATCTGATAAATGTGTTTAATACTTAATAAAATTATTTATTCATTTTTCAATATTTCAATTATATTTTAATTTTTAACGCATCAGTAAATTTTTAATAAATAATGTTAAGCAAATTAGATTTGATAAATAATTTTTAATTTAATTTTTATTAATAAATTTTTAATTTTATTATTATTAGTATTATTATTATTAAATTAGTTTTCATTCAATAAATTAATCCATTCTTAGATAAAACATTATATATTATATTCCGATATTTTAAAAATAATAGTAATAATAATAATAAAATTAATTTTTACATACTCTATATTAATATTAAAAAGGATATTCACAATAAAATATAATTATTTCACATTTAATTTAAAACAATATTTTATATTTTAATAATTGTAAATTTACAGATAAAATCAAGTAATTATAATATAATAATCATAATTATAAAGATAATAATAATAATAATAATAATAATAAAAGGAACTATTTATAAATATTGATTATTATCTTAATTTAACATTAAAATCAAGAAACTAATAATAAGTTATTATTAGTAATTTATAATAATCAATGTTTATAATATAAGATTTTGTAATAATATTTATATATATATATATATAATAATGATATAATACTATAAATATATGTATATATCAATTGAGATCCATGTGTTTCGCTGCCCTCTCTACCTGTTCTACAGTAAGATTCAGGTATTTTTTGAGGGAAACTAAATCGGGTTTTAAAACTACAATAATCAATACAATTTACAACAATAATACACTAAAAATTACATAAACACAAAATTGATAAGTTTTTAGGTTTTCTAAGAATTACAATAATAAGGATTAAAATGTTTTACAATAATAAAAACTTCTTAACCAATAAAATTTAATTTAAATATTTACAACAACATTAATATGATATAAGGATGTATGTAGTTTATCAAATATACCATTTGTGCATTGAATTAACATTTGCTAAAATTTTAATCTCAAATTACAATGTTTATAAATACCAGTAAATTTAATAAATAAATAAATCTTCAATTTTTAATATTTTGTTACCAAAAGCAATTGTTTTAGATATATTTCAAAAATGACATTTTCAGATATTCACCTACACTTACAATATTCTCTGATAGTTAACAAATTAAAGTACATAACAATCATTTTTAGTGATTCTACAACAATATCATCAGTGTATTTATATTTGTTATCAATTGTTAAAACTTATAAATGTTAGACATGTTAAATGATTTACAGTTAAGATATGGAAAAGTATCTCATATATGGCACTCATATTTTCACGGTTTAGTAGTATAACTCTGAATTTTGTCTAAACTAAATGAAGATTTATATAATTTTTAATAAATAACAATTAATATATTTTTTATCTATAATCATCAATATATTAAATATAGTGATAATTAATGGGAATGTATTGATATAATATATTGGAATATACAGTATATTTGTTAGCAAAATACCATGCTCACAGTATTTAAATATAAATTAATATATTTTTTAATTAATATTAAATGAATTATAAAAATTGAGTCAAATTTTTTTAAACAACAAAATTAATTTTTCAAGTAATATTTTCTCTAAAATGATGTTTCATTTTAAACTTACAAATAATTTAAGTATCTAAAATAACAAAATGTTTTTTTGTGTATAAATATTTTAATAGCATGCTTTTCTCACCTACTTATTAATAAAGATACTGTAGTATCAATAATATCTTTTAAATAATATATTTGATAACAACATCTAAAACATAAATATAAAGACAACAATCTGATAATCATAATCAATATTTGGTGATAATAATAGTTATTGAAAATATTAAATAACTAATTATTTGTTATGTGCTTAAAATAATCCGATAGAAGCATAAAATCAATTACATAAAAAATTGTCGTAATATTCAAATACTAGAAAACCATTAAAATATAATAAAATAGTCGATTAATTTTCTTTTCCTCCACTGTCTTCCGGATCCTTTAGTGAATGCCACTGAGCTATTGGTCGTCGAGGAGAGGCCAACATATCCATCCAATGTCTCAGTTCAGTACCCGAAGCATTACAGCCTAATATCACCTAATCATCAATTTGTTAATTAATAAAAATCTAAATAGCGGTATAATTTTTATTTTTATATCAATTTCTAATCTAATTAAATTTCATATAACTGTAAATTAAATATTGTGTTATCTATTTTCATATCAAACACTTTTTTTAATTTTGTCAACTTTTGACCTAATTTTAAATATTTCTTATTTTTTTCTAATACAACTATATTTTTTTAAAATTCTAATACTAAAAGTATTAAAAATACATATAATATTATTAAATTTATTATTTACAAATAAAACAAAACATTGATATACATAAACATAATTATGATATTAGTTTAATTGATAAAAATATTTTCTGTAAATTAAAAAATCAGTTAAATGATTATAACAAAAAATTATTAAATCTTTTTATAATACAATTTAAAAGTCTATAAAAATGTTATTTTGACTTAATCGTGATATTCATCACTTTTCTAATCCATTCAAAGATATTTTAGATTCATTTGAAATAAAGCTTATAATAATAAATAAAAGACAAAATAAAAGTTGAAATACCTTTCCGATTGGTTCGGATGTACCGATCCTATCGTAGTCGACAACAGTGACAAGTAATTGGATTTTTTGAATTTGTTCAAAAGGTATCTCAAATGTAAACGACTCGTTATAATAAGGATTTAGTGTACACTTCTTTATCGATGTCTTTTTCTTCTTTAATCTCTTTCCTATAATAAAAAATTGATTTATAATTAAAATAAATACTTTTATTAAATTTTTATAATAAGTTTAAAAATATTTTCAAAGATTGTTATATTTTAGAAAATATTATCTGTTTTAAAACAATAATATAAAAATTTAATTAATAAAAATGTTGTTTTGTTATATCTTAAGATAAATACTGAATTTTTTGTATAATTTTCACAAATATCAAAGTTTATACTAAAAAAGTTCTATATATAATTAAGTATATATTATTTTTTATATTATATTTTATCAATTATCACAATAATAATTGTATCTATCTTTTTATATTATGCTTATAAATGAATGTAAATGCATAAAAATGTAATGAAAATTCATAAAATTAATATTTAAAAAATATCAATATATTGTAACTTCGTTTCTTGACTTAAATAATCATTTATAAGTGTGTAAATACTAAAAAATATATCGTAATTATTTAAAATTAAATATCAATAAATATTATAAAAAATTAATTGAATTATTAGTTAAATATATAAATTATATATTTGTTATAAATTTTTTAAACAATAAATAATTTATAATTAGATGAAATTAATACAAACCATTCTGCATGAGTGCAATCTTAACGTATGGATCACTCAGACCTCCGACATCCATCTTCTTGAGGTTTTTGGCCTCAAGTATAACAACTGTTAGCTTTCCAGCGGTCGGTACGTAACGTAATGAGAAGCAAATGTCTCCCAACTTGTTTTCCTGCATTTCAGTCATTTTCATCAAATAAAACATATATCAATCAAATTAGTTTATGTTAAATATAACAACAATTAATATTAAAAACAAACATTAATAATATTTGTAACAATAATAAAAACCCTTTTTCAAGTCCTTTCCTTTTATTTTTAAAATTTTACATTCAATTTAATAATAAATATTATTGTGAAATATTTATTGATACTGATATATATATATATATATATATACTGATAATCATATTATATACAGTAAAAGGCAAACTTTATTAGACACCTATTGTATATAAATACCTTGATATTATGTAATTTTCTAATATACTCATAGTTCATTTTAGTGCATTTTTATATTATGGTTGTCTAATAATGTTTGCCTTTTATGGTACAGTATAATAATGATTTGATTATTTGAGAAATAATATAATTTTTTATAAATTATATAAGAATAATAATAAGAAATATCTTATTACAAGTTCTTATATATAAATATGATATTAAATAAAAATTGATGAATATAAAAAATATATGATCCTATAGAATACTCTCAATTTGATTGTATAATATCTTTATAAACAAATAGAAAGAACCGTAAAAACGATTTTTAACATGTAGTATCATATATAGTAAATTTTAATGTATAATATTTTATAATTAAATTACATAAATAAGTGTTTTATACATTCAAATAGAAATTTAAAATATAATTTAATAAAATTTGCTTATTTAATATAATTGTTATACAGTATTTTATATTTTGAAGAATCTTTTTAAAAATATTATACTACAGAATAAAAACTTATTTATACTATAAATATATATATTTGGTTGCAATTTAATGTTTATTTTTAGCTTTTTTAATAAATTAAATGCTTTTAATTATATTATATGATTTACATAAATAGAATAATATTTAAATCAAATAATGGATGTAATATTTCTGTTAAAGCAAAAGTGCTTTATATAAATACTATATATATTGATATATAGCTTGATATAACTAATAAGTAAATTCTTGAATATGTTAACATTGTCTAAATTTACAATTTAATTAAATATTACATTCTAAATAAAATATTATATATTTAATTTTTAGAAACATTACTTTACTACAAACAGTTATAATTAAACCATGAAAATAAATATCATATTATAAATTTATATAAAAAATCATGTATTATATTTTAAATTTATATAATTTTAAAAATAGAATATTAATTAGTTTGTCTGATTCAATAAAATATTTTACTCAATTATTATATCATCCTTTTTAAATATATTTAGAATAGATTACTGTATTTTTATAACATAAATATGCAATAAAACTTTTAAATTAATTAATTTAATTTACTGATAAATAAAACATATATTTACTTAAATGGAGTTTTTAATGTAAATTGATTTTAATTGATATGAAATTAATTTATGCTAAAAACATTTACAATCACATATATTACAGTATAAAAACATATAGAATTGGTATAATACTATAAGATATATTTATTTAGCTTATATACCTTTTATTGTGTTTTTATTGTTTTTGATGTATTTGCAAATGATTTTGATATGTTTCCAAAATTGTTTAATAATTATAAAACACTAATATTGTTGTTTTATTGCTATTTAATGAATTAAAACTATCTAGATAAATAAGTATTAAATGTACTGTAGTATGTGTTGTCTCAAATAGCAAATAAATTAAATTACAATTATTGTAATGCTTACAGTTTTGATAGATTTAATAACTTTAAAAACCTTTTCAAATACAGTTTTATAAAACGTATTAATAATAAATAAATAATTTAACTGTAATGCTTGAAAACCAGGGTTAGAAAATACAAGGTTTTGAATTTTGACTTTGTATAATACAGTATAATACAATGCACTGCATGTATCATACAATTTTTAAAACTATTTTATATTATGTTAATTAATTAATTAATTAAAAATTTCAGTTAAAATATAATTGCTAGAAAATGCATTATATTTGTAATGTATTATATAATAATCGTTGTTTTTAAATAATAATAATGAAGTAATATAAAATAAAAAATATAAATTGAATAAAAAATAATATTATATTTATATTTATTATAAAATATTATTTACTTTGCTTGTATCAATACTTTTAACACTAGGTGGCGAATTTTGTTTGTATGCAAAATTGGCCATGTATTATACATTGTGTTATACTGTATACTATGTTATATATTATACAAACATTTAGTTTCTGCCAACACAGTTGTAAACTATTTATAAGTGATATTTACTGTATATGAGTGTTGACTTTCAACATAATAAAGTTGAAGTGATATTTAAATTGAAATGAATGCCTGGGATTAACTATATTTTGCTTTGTTATGTACAGAATTTGAGTTTATATTATATACACATTTTGAATACAATTATATAAAATCTGGAGACAAACTCTAACCTTTTGCTTATATAAACTATAATATATTGAAAACTCTTTATTTGTTATTATGTTTTACACAAAAGAGTTTTATATCATATATTACACGGGTTTTACTGTATAACAAGTTCACACATTTTATATCTTTTATAAATATATTATAATATGAATGATAAAAACACTTATTTATTTGCATACATATAAAGGAAAGGTAGAAATGAAATGTATGTATGGATACAACCAAATACTATACACAATATATTTGAATATAAGACATGGGAAGCCCTACCCTATGCTAAATACTATGACAACAACAGCAACAATAGGTTTTACTAATAAATACCAAGAAAACAATGATTACTATGAGGTATACATTTTGGAGGTATTAATACTATTTGTTAGATTGAATTTATAAGTTTTAAAATATAATATAATTGCACAAACAAAATAAAGCAGTGATTTTCATAACAATATAAATGATTTATTATAACTTATTTAATGTGAAATTAGATGTAATTTTAGAGTATATACTATAAATAAAACACAAAATTCGTTAATTTAATAAAAAATAATAATAAAATAATGTTTTGACAGCACAAACACAAACAGATAGACAGGTAGACAAACAGCCAATAAATACAACGACAATACAAAACGCCATCAATTATTATTAATATTTATATTTTAACACTTAATACTTACACATGTTTTAATTGATTCAGTGATTAATGATTTTGTAATCATATGAGAATTAATTTCAACAATTTTCAGGTAATTTTTCAATTTTCAACAATTATGTCGTTTGAAATGCCGATCAAATTTCATCATTTATTTGTAATGAATGGCCATTATATTCATTCAATGATTGTTTTCAGCCAATAAATAAGCGAAATGTTTTTTAGCCCAAAATTAATTAATAATTTATAAATTTATAAATCAAATTAATTATAAATTTTATTAATCGTTTTTATCGAGAGAGCAGTCGTTTAATAAATATAATAAATTATATAGTTTTTGATAATTTTATACACAAAATCAATAATTTATAAATCGTTTTCGAGTTTTGTATTTGTTTTGATTGTTTGATTTAAATAAAATTCAACGAAGAAAATGACAATGAAAGAGAAAAATTGTAAAATAAATAAAAGTTAATTAAATAAAATCAATTTATTAATTGAATTTATTTGCTTATAGTATATTTTAAGTATAATTATATATGTGTTAATTATTTTAATAATTATACTTTAAATAATAATTAAATAATACTATAAGATGTATACTACAAAATACTATACTAATTACTACACTATTTTGCTATTACTACACAATTAACACTATTTTTGATAATATTATAAATACAGTACAATATGTTAATAATTATCTATGAAATATTAATACGAAAATAAAAACAACAAACAAAGCAATTACTTTCATTGAACATTAATTATTTTTTATATTCATTAATATTTAAAAACATTCAAAATTATAGTAAAAAGACAATATTTTAAGTCATATTAAGTCATTTGCAATCATTATCATTATGCATACAATTTTGAAACAAATTCAATACATGCAAACTTCATGGCAATTGACAATTTTGACACAAATATCAAGCAAAACACATAGAGTTATAATATACAGTATATTGAAGCCAATAATACAGAATATAGAGGACATAACATAAGGAGTGACACATACAGTACAATATTATTTGTGATCTCATTAAACTACATATCAATCTATTTATAACCATAACTTAGACACTTTAACATATAATTTATACATAGACTTTAGTGAAACTTTAAATGTCATAAACTATGTTTAAAATCTGATTTATATTAATGTCATATTCAATACAATTTTAATACACAATTATAATAACCATTTAAATTTTTTCACTAAAGCCTTATGTATTGTATGTGTCATAAATGCTATTACAGCCTAACACTAGGCTAATGGGAGACATTAGACGTATTATTATTAGATACGGACTAAAATTTGGCATTATTTACAACAAATATATATCACGAGTGAATTATACAGTATTTGATTGAATTCTATACTATATATATTGTATATACAGTATTAATAATTTATATAATTTATAGCATTCATTGAGTAATTTGATACATTATAATAATTAAACATGTATTTAGTAATTATATAAAACGTTTATATTTAGCAACAATTAATTAATAATATAATTTAGATATTATAATTAACTAAACTTGATTTCTATAAAAATTATAATTAGAGTGACCAATTCAGGATATTTATTATCTATTACATGTAATTATTAGAGTAAAAAACAAATCATTTCATACTGTAAAATAATTGCTAACTGATGGATAAATTTAGGTGTTTAATTGTATAACTAGAGTTATGAATCTTCGGGAGTTTAAATGTCCAAAAATCGGTCGGGAAATCGGGAGTAAAAATGATACTAAAACTAAATTTTGTTTTCTTGCTATAGTACTAATATTTTATAGTTTATTTGTCACAAAATTGGTTATATTTCATAAAAACATTCATTTTCAACTTTTAATTCATTATTTGATTTTAAAAAATACATTTAATTAAAATTATAAACTAATCTTTGTTTTATCCATTGTTAAAAAATAGATAAATTAAGTATTGCAATACATATGTTTACAATACATATAAAACTACAATTTGTATAGCAAAATATTTGCATTATTTTCTAATGTTTGCTTTCTTTTCATCTCATTCATTGATATTGATTTAATATTTAGCAAATTTCAGAAAAACACGCTTATATACAGTTTTTATATATAATAGGTGTTAATATCATTCTAAATGTTGCTATATTTGTATAAAATCAAATTCCCGACGATTTTTTAAATAATCAAATTTTGTGAATTACCGAATATACATAACTCTAAGTACTTGTTTGTAATCTCACTTATTTTCTACTTCAATAATCATTCAAAATTGATTAAAATTATGATAGAAATAGGACTAATTAATCTGTATTAAACTCTTTTATTAATCCGACATAGTTGGTCACTCTAATTAATATGATAGATTAAAACAGTAGTATATTAAAAATGAAAATATTAAAATATTGTGTAATCTATTTGTTATTAGATATTAAATAAAAAAATAGTTAATAATAATAATAATAATATTGATAACATACCTGTCCCTGTTCACCCTCAACACTGGTTAAGTCTCTCCATTCTTCAATAGTTTGTGCCAAATCTATTTGATTTAATGGTATTTTCACTTCACCAATTTGATCGTGTTTTGAAAATCTATTTTCAATTATTTTTTTATAAAAATAATTTATATTATTCATTAATTTTTAATTTAAATTAAATATAATAACTACAGTATATTGCAAATACTTAATCCAAGATTCTTTAGTAAATTATATACTATGAGTACTATTATATAAGTACTATATTTTTCATTTATATTTACCATTACAGATATAGATACAGATAAAGACTATCTTATAAATTATTAATAAAATATACCGGATCAATTGACATTGCAATTATTGTAATGTGAAAATTTTAAAAATACTGTAATATAATTGACAAAATAGACAAACCGGTCAAAATCATAGACAGCAAATACCAATGTTTTTGTAGTGATCTCTGCGTACGGGACCTAATAATTGACAATAACTTAAGTTAAAATTTATAATTATGTTTAAAAAAATGTTTTAACCTTAAAATTAAAAGTTTCGTTGAAGACTGGGTTTAATGTTTTTCTGTGAACTTTGGTCTCAAATTTCTTTTTCTTGTCCGGCAAGAGATAAACTTTAACGTATGGATCACTAGTACCCGACATATCGAGACCCGGAAGCTCCTCGGCTTGAAGTACACCAACTGCTAACTGTAAACAAATATAATACAGTTCTGTAACTCAATTCAATTTAAAAAATTATTAGTAAACTTTTTTAACAAATTTTTAGATGTTTATCTATTATATTGTATTTATTTAATTGCTATATAAAAAATAATTTAAATATATATATACTGTATATATTAAATATAAGTCTATTTTAATTGTAGTACTTTTAATACTTTATAAATTTTTAAACAAATTGATTTTTTAATAGTTACAAGTAATATAAGAAATAACTTTTCTTTTAATATATCTTTTCTTTTTTATATAACTGTGAAATGTAGTTAAAAACATTTGTTAGATTATCTATACTCACTAACTGAACTTAATTTTTTAAGATTATCATTTTATCTAATATTTATACAATTTAGGTCTTATTGCTTAAAGTTTTAGTAAGTTTAAACAAGTAAATGTAACATTTTAGTTAAATTGATATTATGGTATTGTATTGAAATTAATTTTTGTTGCTAATATCTAATCTATATTCAATATTTTTTCTAAAAACATTTTTTTAGTAAATTCAAAAATATATTTTATACAAAAAAAATTATTAAAACTTTAGTTGAAAATACCCTACAAATCTAATAAAAAATTATTATTTTTATAATAAATAGAAAATTAAACTCTTATTTCATATTATTTAGTATATAATTAATATATAGTAAAACATATGATTATTACAGTCGCCTGATTGAAGTCGTAATCAATTTTAAACTGAAGTCTTCCTAATTTTATTTCTTCTTTTACTTCCTTTTCGTTTTCGTTTTCTTCCATATTTGTCGCCAATTCTTCCATATCTGGCTGAACCTAAACACACAAAATGTATATTTATTGCATGACTTTATATCTTATATTTCATTAATTTTTCTATAATTTTTTATACAATTTTGTTTAATTTTTTAATATATTTTATGTTATATAAACTTTATAAATATATGACTTAATATGTTTAAATGATTGTTAATTTAACTAATTACTCACAAATTCAACACTATTTTAAAGGTTTATTTATTTGACATCAATATTAAAGTCTTTTAATTAAAGAAAAGTGTTTGATATAAAATTATATTAATAATCTTCAAACAAAACAATATCAAGATTGCATTAATTAAAATTCTTGATAGATGTCATAATTAAATTTTGTGGCAAATTATTTTTAAACTAAATTTATACCATTACTATGATATCATATTGATATGTATTTATATTATTCAATATATAAAAACATCTGTTATATTAATTTTTACAAACTAAATGTACTTATCTTTTGCAATTCATTAATAATTAACAAATGAAATACAGATTTTAATATTTAACGTATTTGTCATATAATTATAATGTAATATAACTTTATTGTCAAATTATTTATTTAAAAATTTCAGTCATTTCAATTATAAAGTAAATAAATAATCAAATTAAAAAATATTTAAATAAATTGAAAGCTACGATTAATTTATATGTATTTTTAAAATATAAAAATACTAACATATTTTTATTAAACAATAATAAAAACCACTAATAGTTAGTTTTAAAATTAATAAATTTTAGAAATAAGTTATTTTTTAAATTTTAAGTTAATAAAGTTTAAATTTATTAAATAAATGTAATATATATGTGAAAAAATTATAGTTTTTAAACTAATATTGGTTTTCAATTTTACTTAATAACAAATAAAGCCATAAAATAGAGAAATATGTTAGACATACCTTTTCTTTATATGCCTGTCCTAACAGTTGTACGGATTTGAGGTCAACTTTGCCTCCCATAAACCCTTTGCCTTCTTTGCCCCTAAACTTTCTCCACCATCGTTGAAGAAAACAGTAAAAAATAACCAAAAAGACACCGACAATCACGAGAAATATGAAGAAAACGCCCCAAAAAGGAATATGTGTTTTGTCTGAAACTGTTTCTAATATCTTTTCCCCCGATTTCTCCATTCTGGTCATAATTCCTTCGGTAACCACAGGCGCCGATGTTGTCGTTGTTGACAAAGTCGACGTAATGGTACCGGCAATGGTTGAGCTTATACTTCGGGTCGTAACTTCATTGTTATCACTTTCGGGAATGGGTTCGGCCTGAGGTTCGCCCAAATTAGTTCCCGAAAAGAATCGTTTAATCACAAGACTGTTTGAAAAATGCGGTTGAGTTAAGTACGGCGGCATTTTTGGACGTTAATTGCGGTCACAAATAGTGGCCAACAATAAGTCACTGAAATGCGCCTAAGCTTTGAATGTGAATCTCTATATTTAAAATATAAATAAATATTGTATAATAATATAAATAAAAAAATTAATTGTTTAATACTTACATTTAGACTATAGATAATATGTTAAAGACATATACATTGATAAATATTGTAGTTTTCGGTATAATTGTCACAAAATATGGAAACACCAAAACTGTTAGTTAAAAGAAATCAATGACTTGTATTCAAAATGCCTGAACGGCATATCATTCATGTCTTTGCTCACTGACTCTCCACCAGTACTTATGTCACCAATACTATGCTCTACGGCTGTGCTCTGCTTCTGGATGTATGTTCATCGCTCCCTATTCTATACCATTGACTATATTCTAACAGCTATACTGGTCTATAATGTCGAGCGCTGTAATACCAGTGCTTAATGTATGGTAGTATGACGCTCATACTATTTATTGATCTACCCTAGCAACATTGAAACATTACTACATTACTATACATTCATGTATTGGCAACAGACTAGTGTTAATAATGGACAAACCGAGCACTAGATATGAGACCACCATAACTCAGTGTATTATATATTTACTCTATTATTATATAATGTTTATACTGTAGTTATAGTCTATATGTAGTTAAACTCTTTCTAAACAAAATTGCTTATCACTACAAATGTTTTGTACATTACATGGTTATGATTACAACGTAATAACAATTATTATTTACAACATTGACTATAATATATTTTTTATTAATTGATTTAAAAAATTAATTTATATATATATATATATAGTTATTTTTTAGCTATTTAAAAAGCATTTTTGTTATTGTAAAGTTATCTTATTGATATTTATTTAATTGATTTAAAAAAATTAAATTAAGAATTATATTGAATGATAGAAATATGTTAGTCAATGATATAGATGTCACCATTATTTAAAAATTTAGATTTTTTATGAACATCAAAATCTTTTGAGTGTAATTGCTATTAAAGATAAAAGGTTAAAATTTTAATATAATAATCAAAATCTAATATTTAGTTTTATATTATATATTATAAATTTATATACAAGTTTTAAAATAAATTAAATAAATGTCACGTCACTGGTCATCATTGATAAAAATCCTTTTTAATTATTTGTTTTACGTTTAATTTGAAATATTATGAACAACTGTTTTAACATTTGTCACATCAATTGTCATATCAATTGTCACTTTACATTTCACTTATTATTTAATTGAATATTTCATTTCATTACAAATATTTTGTATATTTCATATATATATTTATACGAAGTTTGACAGCAATTTTGTATGTCTCACAACTTTAATATTAATATAGATGTAAAAATTATTACTAAATTACTATTAAATTATATACTGTACATATATAGAGTACATATACTATGAACATATGACTCAATAAATTAAAATTAAAAAATATATCATTTAAAATAATTGATGATTTAATACAAGGTGTCATTTTAAAAAATTTATAAGTTTTATTATATTAAACAATTGTTATGTATAGTAAAGAGCTAAATCTATTTGTTTAGCATAATTTTACAAAAAATAAATACAGTAAAGTACTTATACAGTAGTAACAATTTAGAGATAATAATAGATGTCTGAAATACAATATTATAAAATTTAATTTAATTTATATAATTCCCTCTTGAATTTAATAAGAATTAAAAAAAATTATTAGTTAATAAAAATTGATTAATATTAATAACTGAAAATAAACAAATTATTCTTTAACATATTTATTTATATATCTGTAGTCAAATAATATTAGGATATAAACTATAAATAATATTATATAAGTTGTTTATTTTAAAAATAAGTTATATAAATAAAATAAAATATATTTTATATAAGTTCCTGAATGCCTTGAATATTTCTAACAAGTTTATTGACCCAATTTCATAATTATAGCAATTAAATGTTATTCAATATTAATAATTATTTTCTGATAATTTTTTATTAAAATTATTTATTTATGTTGTTTATAAAAATTAAATTCAAATTATTAGTTCTTATAATGTTACATTTACATTAATTATAATATTTAATATAATTTATCTTTATAAAATACTCAAATTTTAAATAAGTAATAATAATATTGTTTCAGAGTATTTAAAATTTTAATAAAATATGCATAAATAGTATAAATAGAATAAAAAGTTTTTAATATAATTTTTGTTTATTTATTTTATTAGATATTTGTATAATTTATTTGTATTATTTTTATATTTGTAACTCATATTATAACTCGATTAAACATTTACAATAAAATTACTATTATATAAAATTTATATTTGCAAACTTTAATAATTTCATTCAGTTTATTCAAGTAATGCAATTAATATTAAATTTATAATAATATTTATATTAATTTTTACATAATGATTAGCTTAGCTATAATCAAAGTAATAATAACAAACCGGAACTATAGTTTAGAAATTTAAAAAAGAAAAAGTAAACCCAAAACCATTTTCTCTCCCGGTTTTTATTGTTTAACCGAACCGCATATTTTTCATACTTTATCAATAAGTAATTAAATTACTTTCAACAGATAACTCAATTTTTAATTTTATATTATAAACACTTTTCATTTCCTTAATTTAAATTTTTTATAAATCTATTTTATATTATTAAAAGCTCAAGTTTATAGTAAAAGTGGTTTAACTACTGTTTGAAAAATAAAAACAAATAATTCAAATAAAGTCAATTAACTTATAATAAAATCTAACTTTTATTCACTAAAATATCCTATTATAAATATAAATGTTTAATAAAATTTTATAATTTAGGAATTTCAATGAAGCTTTAGTTAACTTAAATTTATGTAAAGTTTATTGTGCTTTTTTATAAATATGCATAAAGTAATTTTTTATTTAAAACTATTATATTTAACTAAAAACAATAAATTATATTAATTTTTTTATAGTTATCATTGATAGCCGTAACTTCCTTAACCATAATTATATTGATTGGTCAGTCGCGATGTGCAACCACTCGCAACTCAAGAGAAAGTGCGGAACAAATGTTAGAGCGTTTCCTATCGACGCTTACCAAAGAACCCATTAAATTATCGTCGACTTCACAAAAGTCTTCATCAGAGGTAACGTATAACGATGAGCCTAATATACAACAGACTGTTTCTCAACCGTCACCACAACCATCTCGTTCATCAGCACCTGTATCTGGTGGTCCAATAACAGTTGATTCACCAGTAGCATGGCCATTTCCACCAGCTCCCAGAAACACTGGTAGCTCTGAATTTCCATTATTAGACCGTTTTCTTTCAAGTAATGGTATTACAAACTATCAAAGCAATCCAATTCGTAAACCTATTGAACCACCTGTTGTTCAAAGAGATATGCAATGGAAACCAATTATTCAAACTCAACCACCTCTTCCTCCACAACCATTATCATCGGCTCATATGACTCAACCATCGGTACCAATACAAGACAATTGGAGAATCAGAGAATCTGTTAATAATAATAATAATAATAATAACAATCAGATGCGACATTACAATTTAGATACCATACGTTCAAATGATGGTGAAAATGGCGATAAACTTAATGTAAGTTTTGTAATGCCTCCACACGTAAGACCATTAAGTCTTAACTTTGATTCCGGAGAGATTCTCGTGGATTTTGGTGACAGTTCAGGAAAATCAGGTATATTAGGATAGACTAATAAAAATTTTATTCACTAATAATATGTATAATTTTATTAATAAAAATAATATTTTTCTAATAGATATAGTTTCAACTACAAGTGCTAATACTAATGCAAAAGTTCCTAAATTAGAGACATTGTATCAAAAATCTGATAATAAAAATCAAGAAACAGAAGGAGATTACATTGTTTTGAGACACGATGTCAACCGATACGCTTATGACACTCCTAAAGACGACAACAAGAATACCGGTGCTATTATGCCACTCAATGTTCAAAGATATACCGTTTCTGATAACAAAAACAGACATTTTGTTTTAGGTCGGGTGTCTAATAATTCTTAAATTATTTCATTATTTTAAATCATGTTTAGCTTAATATTGAATAAAGTTGCAATGATTGTAATGTTAATTTTATAAAACATTTTCATAATTTTTTATATTTATTAATAAAATATACTTTTAACTTACTTTAAATATCAAATTCAATTTTTTTTCAAAATTAAATTGCTGTATACATAATTTTAATTATACAGTATTAGCAATTTTTATTTTGATTGATTGTTATTTTGTATGATTTGTCATTGATTTAATTTTTATAACAAAGTATATTAATTTTTATTTATTTTAATTTTATAATAAATAAAATGTAATATTTTTTATAATATAAACAATGTAGAGTTATAATTATATTTATTATTATAATAGATTATAATTTAACTTTTTAAGTAATATTATGAGAAAATCAAGTATTAGATATTGATAAATCAATCAAAATAATTTTGAAAACTTTATTTTAATAACTAATACTTATATTAAAAAGATTTCTAAAGTAAACGTAAAAAATAGATGTTTAGCTTTAGATTAGATTAAATATAAAATTAATTACAATTTCATTAGAACTCAAACCGGACGATGTTTTAAGTGCTTAATATCTTTTTATTGAATATATCGAAAAAATCCAATATTTATTTAAATATTTATTATATTAAATTTAATTTAAATATTTATTGTATTAAATTTAATTTAATATAATTATTTAGATTAAACATTTCTTTTGTTTTATGATTTTATTCTATAAAAATTTTCAATTATTATTTATTCTAATTATTAGCTACAATTAGATAGATGATATAAATTTTATAAAAAATATATTATATATTTGCATCATAGATAAAAGATTTATTAATTATTTATTAATAAAATTAGTGTATTATATGATAATTTAATTTATTATTTTTAAAGTTTATAACTTTCAATCACAAAACACTTCTATGACAATGACATTAATCTTGTTATTCATTAAATTATTATTAAATATATTTATTATCTATATATTTTCAATACTTAAATTAATCCACTGATATGTTCTACAATAATGCAACTTTAGTATAGTTACCAAATTTTACACAATTGAGACGGATTATCAAATTGTTATAACTTTATTTAAAGGTTTGGCTAAACAACTCAATTCATGTAATTTTTATATATATTTGGATTTTAAAATACAATAGTTGTTTCTAATAGTTCTCAACAAAATATGTAATTTTTTTTATAAAATTTTTTATAATAAAATACTATTTATCGACAAGATGTCCACAGTTATACACACTAATCGACACTAATATATCGTATATAAGATAACGTTATTGTATCGTATTTTTCAGTTATTATATTTCATCGTTTTTTGCTAATATTAAAATAATCAGTTAATTTTATTAACCGTTTCGTTTTATTTTTACGCAATTGTCATCTAATTGGCCGACAATATAATATAATAATTATAATTAATATAAATTTAATTTAACCAAACAATATATATTTATAAATATTGTATTATAAACTATATATTTTAATTATGTGTTAAATGTTTTTACTCTTGATTTTAATATTATGTTTGTCCGGCAAAAGGATCGCATAGAGTTGGTTACTATAATTATATTTTATGATTTTGTTAAACAATTTCTATTGAATTTCATATTTATAAAAGAAATTTTATGAAAATGTATTTTATTGTTATAAATAGAAATTAAAATCTCTTTATTTAATAAAAAAATAATATACTTTAAAATACATATGAATTTGTTATTATTTTCACTTATAATTTTGCTTAAATTAAGCAATGAATTCAATTTCCAAATTATATTCAAACCAAACACTTTTCAATGTAAAGACTACGAGTTTAACGGTATTTGAATAATATTTACTAATTATTTATATTATTTAATCATAAATTTTATGTTTATTTATATTAAGTGAATGAAACTTATAAATATATTTCCGATGACTACCGATACTCACTTTGTAAAAAAACTTTTGATTATTTTGACGTAAACGGTACGGATGTTCCCAAACAGGTATATAATTCAATAATAAACTTGAATTTTGAAAATAAGATATTAAGTTAATTGAATTAAAAAAATTGTCTATTTGTAAGTGTTTGGGTCCATATTGTAATTACAATGTCTACATAAATCCCTGTGCAGTTCAATGCTATTTTCGAGACCAACCATCGCCTATATATAAGAAACATTGGAAACTATACGATGAAATATACGAAGATGACCAACATTGGGATAAACACTGTACTGTTAATAAATGCACTCAAATGGTTCAACAATATTTCAAAAAGACTATTTTAATCAATAATACAAGTCAACAGTGCGGACCTAATCATGTAATATATTATAATTATGTTTAATAAGCAAAACTATTATAAGTTATAAACTATTATGAAATTATCTATAGTTTTGCGATTTAAATGGTTGTTGTGTTGAAAGAGTAACACCTAAGCCTTCTACAGCACCCACACCTATACCAACAACTCCTTCAACATTACCGACATCGACATCAACACAATGGACACCACCATCAAAGTCAACGACTGAAACAACAATGTCTCCAATTAGCACTACAACAGAACCACCGCCGAAGCCACTCAAGTGTAAAAGTGTCGGACTTTTTAAAGATCCAAATGATAAGACAAACAGAAAGTATTATAAATGCTCACTAAAAGCACAAGAAATAGTTTGTCCGTTTGGAGAAGTATTCAATCAAAGGTTAGGCCGTTGTGTTAATGAAGGAACAACATTACCTACGCCGATGACAACACCAACAACAACAAAGACAACACCACCACAACCAACAACAACAACAACAACGACAACACCACCACAACCAACAACAACAACGACAACGACAACACCACCACAACCAACAACAACAACGACAACACCACCACAACCAACAACAACAACAACAACGACAACACCACCACAACCAACAACAACAACAACAACGACAACACCACCACAACCAACAACAACAACGACAACACCACCACAACCAACAACAACAACGACAACACCACCACAACCAACAACAACAACGACAACACCACCACAACCAACAACAACAACGACAACACCACCACAACCAACAACAACAACGACAACACCACCACAACCAACAACAACAACGACAACACCACCACAACCAACAACAACAACGACAACACCACCACAACCAACAACAACAACGACAACACCACCACAACCAACAACAACAACGACAACACCACCACAACCAACAACAACATCAATACCAACATCAACACCATTAACATCTACTACAACTGTTTCCACAACTATCATCGATACAACCACTGTTGAACCATACGATCCGACTAAAGATCCTGAAACGAAAGGAATTATCTGCAAAAATGATGGATATTTCATGAATCCATATAATTGTAACAAATTTTATCGATGCGAAGGACACGAAATTTGGTTTTTTAAATGTCCAAAACTGGATCTATATTGGGATAACAACGACTTGACTTGTATTAGAAAAGATGATTGGATTAGAATTCATGACAAATGTCGTGTCATAACTGTTCCCACAGATAGTTCTATGATTAACAATGAATAACATTTCTAATGAATAATATTTTGCAAATTAATTGATAAATTATTATTTATATTGTTATATGTGTATTGTATTGTTAATTATTAATTTAAATAAAAACATATAATAAACAATAGTTTGAATGACTTTTTATTGTCATTTAATTGTATTTTAGTACTAATTATATATGTTTTCATTTATTGAAAATGAATAAACTAATCAATTATTAGTTTATAATTTGTAATAACTGTTACAAATTTTGAATTGCTTAGAGTTTTATAATCATTATTACTTCTATCACAGTATATTAAACTCAATTACATTAAGTTAAAGAGTAGTTTATAACTCATAGAAGTAGCAAAAAGTCATATTTAAGAGATTATTAAAAGATATATAATTAGTTATTAACTATAAATATCAATTTGTGTGATATTATATTAGTATTATATGTGAGAGTTTATTTTGTACTACAAATATTGCTTAAATTTTAACATCAAAATAATCATTTAATTAATTTGATGATAACATTATTATTATTATAGAATTGTATATTATTTGTTAATTACAATATATACTATTAATAATTTTTGATAAGTGTTTTGATAAAATATTTGAAGAACTCACACAAATTTAATTTCATCAATTTTATCAAAATTTTATCACACATTAAATTTGTTAAAATAATTAATTCAAGAAATGCTTTTTTGAATTTATTGTATATCTATTTATAATTAAAATTTATTGATTAAATTTATTGATATGTATAAATATAATACAGGCTTTATCATATATAATTTAATTAATATACGACCCCTAATTATAATGCAACAAAAATGTTTTTATTTATTATATATTTATTTATTTATTTTAGAAATAGTTGAAAAAAATTTTTAATATATTAATCAGTTATAATTATTAAAAATTTTTATTGTGGGTTCTAAACCTAAATTGTATTATTTGTACAATAGATAGTGTGAATAGCCCTAAAAGTATCCAAGTTTTTTCGTCTACTAGATTTCCAGTGATATAATATAAAGATTTATTTTTTATAATTGATACAAATTGTAACATATAATACATGTAAAGTATAGTATTTGTTTTATTTTTTTTATTAATTTATTTTATTTTATGAACAAATTTAACCAATAAAACATTAAATATATAATTTTACATTAATTAAACAACGTTAGTTACACAATAATATGATAAATGTGCGCGTTTTCATGTGTTATAAGTGAAAGTGTAAACTACTGGTGTTTGATTATATTACAATCCGGTGCCTAATAATAAATAAAAAAAAATTTAAGTGATTAATAAATTGATAATTTTTATAATAGATTTATTTGATATAATAATTTTTTACAATAGACTTATCTCATATACTGTACAATAAATAAATGTAATTACAACAAATATATCAAGTATTAGTATACAATATATTTAGAATATATATTTATTAAAAATACAGTAATATTTATAAAAATTTTAGAGAAAACATAAAATAAGTATTTTTTTAATGTTACAATTTAGCGCTATATTAGTATAAGTATTAACGGCCCGCATATTTTTATTAGTGTCAAAAGTTTCCCGGATTTGCAACAAAATTAGAGTAAAATATCATTAGGTTTAACATTTTAATATAATAAGTTATCATAAGTAGTGTACAAAAAATAAGTAGAAAATTTTAGCATTGTCATAACAAACTTCTAAAACATATTTAATTGTTGTGTCTGAACTATTATATTTACATTACTGCTTTTACTTCCATATCTTACACATTTATAGATCACTCTATTACTCATTCACCCACTTTACCCACTTTACCCACTTTCTCACTTAATAACTCATATCTAAAGTAAAATATGTTAATAAAATTTCAACAAAAAAACGAATAAAAAGACAACAATTCAGATAACAAACGATATATACATATATATACATAAATATACATAAATTTAACAACATATAAGATTTACGACAATTTGACGACAAACCAAGTTTTTCAGTAAATTTTGTTATTAAAATAATTGCATATTAGATATTTAATAATACTAAATTTATAATCCTGTACTAAATGCCATAAAACTTTAATTAAATAAATGTTTAATATAAAAATTGATAATTAATTTAATATACCTTTAATTCAGTTTAACAAATAATGGATTTACTTATAAATAACATTTATATAATATACTTAAATAAATAAATAATGAGTGAAACGACGAAATTATGACAATATTAACAAAACAATAAAATAAAATACAAAATAAATGTAAAAATATATAAATATATAAATCTATAAATAAGATTCACTAAACTCGAAATCCGATGGCCGGCTGTTTCTGTTGGAGACAAATCCGGAATCACTGACTGGATCTACATTTGTATTACTCAACTGTTCGATGACATCGCCGTCCTGTCCGTCGGGTTCTTGAATTCTGACGGCTTTTCGTTTAACACACAATTGTTTGCTTTCCTCAGACTTTCGCAACTCTTGCTGTTGTTTTGCCATAACTTCGATCTTAGACTTGATTTCTTCAATTTGTTTCTCTTTTTCTGAAATCTTTTCTTTTAGTTCTTGATTTTCAAGTGACAATCGATTGAACCGTTCCTCTTCTTCACGACTGGTCATTGTTTCGTGAAACGTACCATTAATTCCGCTACCATTTATACCTAATAATATATATTTTTACAAATAATTTCAAATATTTGCTAATAAATATTAGTTTATTTCTACCAGAATTTGGTCCACTTCTTATTCTAACTAATTCAACAATTTTAGGTACAAAAACCAAAGCCATTGTCAAAAAACAGCAAAATATTATGGCTAACGCTATGAACGCAAAGTGTGCGTTCACCTGATCCTCAATAACTTGAGATACCGGTCCAGTTATAAGGCATAGTATCTAAATTATTATACAGTAAATTATATTAATATCTAATATAATAAATCATTAAGTGTTTACTTACAACAACATTATAAATACTCATTCCTACGAGTCTGGAGTCATTCAATTGTTTTAATTTAACACTTCTTGTCTCATAAGACAAAAAGAGACCAAACAAGAGAAGTAAACCCTTATATCCAAATAAAATGCCGTACCAGAGAAAGTTGGCCTCACAGTGCTCTATACACGGCTGGATCTACCAATTCATACAATCAATTTAAATTTTATAAATTATAATTGTGATATATATATATATATATATATTTACACATACTTTGATATCTTCATCAACATTGATGTCCGGATCCATTAATGGAAAAGTCTTGACATCCATTTTAATTGGATCTTTAAGAAACCAAACACTTAGTATAATCAAATCAATTGAGCAAAAGCCTAATATCATTATATATATGTGATTATTGTTGATTTTCTGTAAATATATATTTATTTATATTAGTAATCAATAAATTTTAATTATACTTAATATTAATAAATAATATTACTTTTCTTTTGCTTTGAGTGTGTAAGAGATGACAGTACCATATCTTTGCAAACATTGCACCGAAAAATAAAGAAAATCCGATTGACAGACAAAATGCACGGGCCTTATGTTGAAATGATATTTGTTTAGTATTAAAATAAATAAATAACACAATTATATGTTACATACATTACAAACAATTAACACATTATGTAAGCCTCCCACGTCTTGTCCACCCAAACCAAAGAGTACAACAGATATAAAACATAGGATACATCCGATAAGCATCAGGTTATTGGTCGCAGGGTTTGACATTTGAATGTAACTTAAATTACAAATATTAGTAAATATCAAATGAATTAATTATATTGATCTCAATACTAACCGACAATTACTAAATCTATAATTAAAACAAATGAGTGAAACAGCCATAAGTATACCAATAGCACTGACAACACTCAGAGATATGAATAAAGCGTTGTTAACGGTTTGCAGAGATTGAACCACTTCTGTCCTATCTTTAGGAGGTCTGCCGCCAACAATCCAAACCTCTTTGTCAATCCACGTTAAATTGTCTGTAACGGTGTCATAATAACCTAACTTTCTATACTCTCCGTCAACCATTTGCTCAATTAGTGTCCACGAGATTCGGTCTCCGATATCATTGAAAGCCACATAACCTGAAACACCGGGAAACTGGACTTTTTGTAATTCACTTTTAATAACATTCATAACAGTTGGCGATTCGTAATCAAATGAATCTAATGATAAGCCTTTTTGAGAAAGAATGGCAATTGTTTTATTTAGAGCCAAAGCGATGGCCCAAATGGCATCATAAGCCAGGGGTGCCTCTTGTGAACCTTCCTGTGGCTTATTTGAGCCAAAAGGAAAATATTGTTTATATTTTTTTAATTCATTTTCATATCTAACGACCCATTCTTGAGCTGTTATACCTATAAATTTAATAAACAAATAATTATAAAAATTTTATTAATTATAATAAAAATACAATAATACCAGCAATTGTTTTATCATATCCCTGATTAATCATAAGTGCTTCGGTAGTGAAGTGTCCCTCAACTACTTTACGCATCTCATTCATTGTGCAATTTATATTAGGTGTTGGATGAAACCAACTCGGGTCATACCAACCAATCAAAAACCAAACATATTGTTTACCAAAAAGACCCGCTTTATATGCTTCACACATGACTTTACGGGCCGGTTCAGCGTAAAACATACCAATAATAATACGAGCCCCCTGTCGGGACAGACTCTTTACTGCTTCAGTCGGGTCGTCCAAAAACGATACTCGCGTAAGAATTTCAATGTCTGCTTCTTTACATCGCGTCTCTAAGTCTTTGCCGGTCTATAAAAAACAAACAAAAATTTGATTAACAGTTAAAAAAAAATTATTAAAATGTTTAACAAATATACGGTAACAAAAACTTCTTCCGCTTCCAAAATGATTGATATGCGAGACCACCGAAACTTCTTAAAAAGCTTAACACGGGTTGGGTTGTGAATGGTTGCCGACGGATGTGTACGAAAAAAAGTAGGAAAACGATATCTATTGGACAGCGCTGGCGATGATGATCCATAGCCCACGACTACTAGATTATACATTTTGGCTGTTTCTGCAATACCTGAGCACACTATTGAACACCCACCTAATATTATTGGTTTTTTTGGTGGTCTATATATAAGATCATATAATATTGTGGCCGCTAAACCTGGATCACACTGTAATGACAAAATTGAATTATAATAAATGTCTTTTTATCGACAAATTATAACTAAAACAATACTAATATTATTTTTAATAAAAACACAAAACCTGACTATTATTCCAATTAAGATCTAATTCATATCCACTCAGAAGAGTTAGATCTTTGTTAACATCTTCTAAAGCCATTTGTGCGGCCGGAAGACATCCCTGACCTCCAACCCAACCGGCGGTGCCATTCATTGGAAAGAGAGCTCCGATGTATATCTTTTTTAATGGAGTTTTTGTTTCTAAAGGTCTACCCATTTGCTTATGTTTATCACTTATAGTCAGGTCTTCATAACTATTCAATACTTGTATCTCATCTGAGTATTTACTAATAGATTGATGTGAAGATTGCATTAATAATAGTATTAATATATAAATCACAATAATATTTATTAATATCATTTTTGCTAATATTACTATTTTATATATTTATTAACAAATATTATGCATTATTTTGAGTGAAAGACTGAATGTAACGAATGCATCAGTATTTTAGTTCAGTTCTTCACTCAACTTATTGATCCAATTGTGATGTTTTGTAAAAACTCAACCGATTCTGCGTTATCTATAATAATATTTTTAAGGACATAATAGTATCTTATGAGTTAAACTAGCGGTAAAACATTGATTTAAAGCATCTCTTTTAATGATGTCATTAAACAGTATCTATCAATCACTTAATTATTAATTAATTAATTAATTAATGGTAAACTAATATACGGTATAATTACTCGAATTAATAAAAAAATCAATTTGTTAAGTCCTTAATGTAATATTTTTTATATTTTAGTTTTATGCTAATGTTTTAATGTAAAAAACTGAATATACAAAAACTGTTTATAAAAGTGATAATACAGTATTTTCAAACAAGTTATTTTGTAGATATTATAATATTGTAAAATATTATAATAAACAGAAAATGATTAAATTAATGATACAATTAAAGTAATTTAATTAAGTCATAATTTATACTATAGTTTTTGTATGATTTTTTACATTTTTATTATCTAATTTATAAAAATAATCTAATTTATTAATTTTTACTTCCTATAATGAAATGTGAAAATAGTATTATTATTTTTTAAAAATTTGCTGGTTTATTTTTAATTACTTATTTATTAGTTATAACTAGAGTTAAACATCGTCAGGAGTTTAAATGGCCAAAATCGGTCGGGAAATCGGGATTAAAAAATTACAAAATCGGGATATAAATCGGAAAAATAAAATTTTGTTTTTTTATTATAGTATTAATAATAAATTGTCTATATGTCACAAAATCGGTTATATTCGCTAAAAATAATTTATTTTCAGTTTTTAATTGATTATAAAAATGAATTTAGTTTTAATTTATAAACTATACTTTGTTTTACTAATTGTCAACAAAAAATTAATTATTTAAGTATTGCAATATTTAGTGTTTTTACAAAGGTTTTCATAGCAAGATATATCAATTATTATCTAAAGTATGTTTTCCTCTCACACATTGTTAGACTAATTGATATTAAGTTAATATTGAATATAAAGTATGTATTTAATTGTTAGGTCACTCAATATTTAGCGAATTTCGAGAAAAACACACTCAAATACTTCTCAAAACACCAAAAATGGGAAAAACAATAGGCGTTGATTTCATACAAAATGTCATATTTGTATAATTATTAAATTCTCAGAGATTTGATAAATAATAAAGTTCCGGGAATTGCCTAAAAAACATAACTCTAGTTATAACTTATAACACAATACCAATTACAATGTTATATAATATAATAGTTATATTTCATACTTGTATTTAAATATATATACATTTATACTATTATATATACAATATATACTGTGTATATATAATTCCATATGATTTATAATATTAAAATTATGTATATATATTAAATCTAAATTATTGCAGTATAATTAATTTCAATAAATTTGAAAAAACTAACTAAATATCACGAAAATTAGATTTGATTTCAATTAAGTAAAAAATTGTAAAAAACAAAAAAAAATCTTTTAAAATAAATTATAAACTAGTTTTTGTAAATAAAAATAATTTTAGATTAATGTTAGTGGATATCAATTGAATAGTGGAGTAACAACTTTGGATTAATTGAACTGATGGTTCATATATAAAGCTAAATGAAATAAGAGATAATTTGATGATTATGTCCACAAATTTATTAATATAAGTCACAATTTTCAGTGCTTTAACATTTGTTTGCATATAAATGTGAAATCAATAAATAATTATTTGATCCAAAAATATTGTGAAAATCATTTTTTCATTACCGGTAATTTAATTTTGGGTAATAAAATAAAATATTAATAATGTTTGTCATTAAAAATCTATAAATATTAAACTCAAAATACGTTGTTTTAAGAGATGAAGAATTAATTTAAAAAATTAAGCATTAATTTCAATATTATTTTTATTGTAAAAATACTTATAAATTATTTACTTTCATACTTTAAGATTACAAATATTGAAAACACATATTTATATTATACAAATTTTGAGTATATTTAATAAATCATTAAGTGTTTAAATTTATATAAATTTCAATAATTAAAACGCTTCCTATTTCAATTTTTTTATTTAAATTATTATATTAAAAATAAATATTGTTTTATTTTAAAATGTGTACAAATTGTTTATTTAAAGAATTTTATTATTTATTTACAAATGTATTACAAATATATTATTATTTACCAGTATTTGTATAATAATCTTAATATAGTTTAATACGAAATCTATGCTAAAATTTACACAAAAACGGAATTAATTATAAATATTGCTTTAAAAACAATAACATAAATAATATTATTTTTAAATAGAAAAATAAATGTAATAAAAAATTTAAAATATAAGCCAATAATTATTTGATACAAATATTAAATATAATAAAACATTGATTGTGTGTATAATAATATGGTTAACGAAATGGTCGACTCATCCCAATTGCCACCGAAGACCAGAATTGCTGTTTTCGGGCAATTCTGCTGTTCGGGCCTTTAAATTGACCACTCCTTTAGCGCCCCGAGACTGTTGTTCGGCTGCCCGTCGCTCGGCAGCCGCGGCCATCGCTATTAGACAAAGAATCGGGTCATTAGTTTAAATAATTGTTTGATTAGTCATTATTTATGACATATAATACCTTCACGAGAGGCTGACATATATTGCCTTTCATTTGGTTGACCTGAAGTCGACTATCAATTAATAGACATATCATATAAATTAGTATTTGTTTGTAAATCAATAATACATACGATGTGTTTGTCTTCATCATCGGTGGTCAGTGTCTCTGAACCGCAACAGTTGCCCATCAATACAATCAATCAATACATTGAAAATATTTAGAAAATAATTATTGGTTTAAAATGTCAATCAATTTATGTTTACAATTATTATTGTGTTGTTATTGTCAACACATGTTTCTATGCATTAATAGACTATACAATAGTTTATGTGATCGACTCGTTAGGTGTCTCACCGATCATACAATACATTCATATATTGTAATGAATTGTTAATTAATAATTATTTTTACAATTAAATTACAATTATTTTATTATTTATTTTATTTTATTATTTTATTTTTTAAGACTTAATTATAAATACATTACAATTTGTAATTTTTTATAATACTAAATATTTTATATATATATTTTTTTATTAATCATTATAATTCTGTAGTGTAATTAGGGTTCGGGCAAATTCCCTCCCTCGTCTTATATTTCAAAAGTTCCCTATTTTCCTACTTACTGGGAATTCCCAGAGAATCTATATCCTTGTGCTACCACCTACTAAATCCTATCAACGAATTATATTAAGATTTGAATAACAAATGTTGTATTAAACTGTATTTTGATTGTTATTGTTAAATAGTATCACTAAATTCATTGAATTCAAATTTATTTTAGATTTCAATTAAATTTTATTCAAAAAATCAAGTTTTGGTATTATTTATTGTAGAAATACAGTATAAAATATATTTTCCTTTCTAACGGGTTAAGGAGGGAGAATTTAATATTTTTCCTATTTTCCGGGATAATTGGAGAGATTTTATTTGGGAACTTCCCTTCATGGGAAAGTTACCGAACTCTAAATATGAGTAGAGCAGGGAATTTAGATATGAGTGAATAATGGGTATCTCTGTATTAAATTACTTCTGTATTAATACAATTATATACTTTATAAATTATAATATAAAATAATATAAAGTTTTAATTAATTGCATATTTTTATTATTATACATAAATATAGTTTATTTTTAACAAGTCTACTAATAATTCATATAATAATTTATTATTATTAATAACTAATTCATTCAATAATTTATACAAATAATTTAATATAATTAATATAACTTAAAATGTTAGAACATTTATAATATTAAATTAAATTATATATTATACAGTAAATATGTTTGACTTATTATTTTTTAAATCACTAAAAATATTAGGTAAGGCTAATACAGTATTATTATTTTAAGACTAAAATAAAAAATAAAATCGTGTATAAAACAGAAATTAGTTTTTGTAATAAACTCTAAAAATAGTTACAATATTTATTTATAAGTACTGTTTTTGAATATATAACGAGATTAAACAATTAATTGATAGCTTAAATGATCCCTTTTTCACAATTGTGTACTGAAAATAGTATTTGCACTGAATTTGATTAAAGATTTATGCGTTAAAAAGCCGTTTGTTATCAAAACTTACTATAAATTGCATCAAAAATAATTCACGTAATTGTATTTAATAAAACTTTTTGAAAATTAAATTCATTGCTAATTCTACTCTTACTTTCCTCTAGGATTCAAAAATATAATTAATTTTTCAAACATTGTTATTCTTAGAAATGATTATTATTATAATTTTTATGTTTTGGTAACTAAATATAAAATTAGTTGCTTTAAATGGCAACAAAACTACTTTTATTTTTGTTTAACTGATTTTTCTTTTGCATTGAAAATTTAGAGGTATATATAAAAAGAGTGTTTATTTTTGAGAATAAAAAAGTTTTTGTTTTATCATTTAAATTGTTATCTTATATACCTCTCCTACTATTTGCAAAAACAATGCAAAAAGTATGATATAATTTCATATGATATAGTTTCTAAATTGTTTATTATAGTAGCCAAATTTTTTTTCATATATTTTGTCTTATATTTATAATCTAATTAATAAATTTTATTTTTTATTAGTTTTTAGTGTTTGTGTCAATAGTCATTACATATAGTGAAAGTGCCGCATATTCTGGAAGTAGTGGCAGTAGTGGTGGTTATGGAAGCGTTAGTAGTTTTGGTGCTACAAAAGGAGACAGCGGAGGAAGTTTTGGTGGCGGCTATGGTGGAGGAGGAGGAGGAGGAGGAGGAAGTTCTCAAGGATTCGGCAATACTGGTCCTATAGAAGCAGCCATTGAAACCCACCGAACCGTTGAAATAAGACCGGTTCAGATCCCATCAGAGCCGGCACAGCCTCAGGTCATAGAAGTTCCGTCAGAAGATCTCCCGGTGACCGTTCATTTCAAGTCACAATCGAGTCGTGTGTTTGTACAACAAACACATATTCCAGGTCTGATGTCTTGTTATTATTCTATTAATATTTTATAATTAAAAGACATATAATTTCTATGAATTAGGTGTTCCCGGAGAGACTGAACACACGCAAAGTGAAGACGAACCACACCGAGTGGTCCACGAAGTGGTTAAACCAGTCATCCAAGAAGTACGAGAAATCATTCAACCCTACAGACGATTAGTACAACAAATTCAACCCGTCATCGAACAAACACATACCATAATAGCCAAAGGAGAACCACGACAACAATCAGGCAGTAATGGTGTTGTAGGTCCAGGAGTGGCACAAATATCATCACAAGGTTCAGGTACTGGTGCTGGATATTCATCATTTGGTGGTTCATCATCTTATGGCAGTACAACATCAGGTACAGGCGGTTCCATTTATTCATCCCGTTCCGCATCTTTATTATCGCCATCCAGTGGTACAACAAAAGACAGAACTGTTTCTGTAGATTCAACGGGTGCTTCCAATTCTCGCATTAAATTTATTGATTCTTCATCCCTGTCCAGTGATACAACAGGTACTACAAGTGTTAGAAGATCGGGTATAATCTCCTCACGTGCCAGAGCCGCTTAATTGTAATAAATAACATTATTATTAATAATAACTCTATTTTTTATTTTTACTTTTGTATTATATTTTTCAATTGTAAAGAAATATTAAATTCAACTTATATTAAATAAATATTATAACTATTATTATTAATTCAAGTTTATATGGTTATTATTTTTAATTTAAGATTTATTATGCAAGTTTCAACTAAGAAATTGTTAAAATAAGATATATTATAAATATAAATGTTTTATTATCTTATTTTAATTATCAAAGTTTAAAATATCACATTTTTTACTATAAGTTGCATTCAGTACAGTAACATCTATGCTTTATTAACCTAAAATAATACAAAAATAATATTAATTATTTTACTATATACTTAAAAACAAATTAACTTCAATACTAAATAAGGACTTATTATTGATTATTTAAAAAGTTATTTATAAATTATAATAATAATACATTAAAACTTATAATTCATTAATTTTTACCAATATTAGCTAACATAGCTATACATAACAATGTTTTATAAATGGTGTACTACTGTTTATAATATTTTTAATTATAATTTTTATAAACAATTTTTAAGTAATAATTAATATATTTTAATTTACTATATATAATTAATTATATCTGTAAAAATCTAACTATAAAATGATATTTTAACTAATTATTTATATTGTTTTAATTATAATTTAAACTATATCTATAAAAGCTTAAGTTTTCAAATGTTAATATTTATTTTATTTTAATTTCTATCAAAATGATGTATAATTAACTTGTTTTAAGAAATTAACTTAATATATATATATATTATAGTTAATTTCTTAAAATTGATTATATTTGAAAATATTTGCAAACAAGAATATTTATAAATTATAATTTATATAATCAACAAAAATAAATAATTTTAACACTTAATACTTCCGATTTTAAAAACGTAAAAGAATTATTTAATAAATAGATTATTAAAAATTTAAATAAAAGTTTAAATAAGAGTCAAAATACTTTCACATGAAAAAATTTGTATAAAAATTATATTTCTTATAACATAATATTTAATAATTTTATATATTTAAATAGTTTATAAAACTAATGTATATTTTTTTAATTTCAAGTAGTATTGTAAAAATTACTCGAAATATTCTCAAAATATTTTCTAATATAAGTTTTCATTAAAAAATGATTTTATAAATAATATTCTAATATACTTGATTTTTATTTTTATAAATATATATTTATATTTGTTATATTATTTAATTTATTATAACAAATTATATACCGGTATACAAATCTATATTAGTTATTATTATTTTTTAATATTATAAATTTAAGAACATAAATTTACTGGAAATATGTTTTTATATATAAATTCATTATGATTTCTTGTTTTAAAATGCAAACATGAATTTTATACTAGTAAATGATTGTAATATTATTTATCAATTAATTATTGTTATTATTTACTTAGTATCGTTATCAATAAAATTTATCTATTTTAGTAAAAATGAAAATCTAATTAAATGCTATAAATGAAAATAAATTTATTTTGTTTATAATTCTTTGTCCTAAAAGTCTGCGCCCTTAAGTAATATTGATTTAATGAGTGACTGAAAGTTATTTATAGAGATATTCGAGTCGCCCTTTTTATCGATATATTAATTATTTCATTTCCTATATTTTCTTATTTATTGTGTGAATATTATTATTATTATTACATTAAATTTCATTAAATTTAAATTTGTTTTTTGTTTGCTTTTATTATTTTGCAATTACAAAAAAATATCAGAGAAAATTTCATAAAAGTAATTCATAATCTGAAAATTAATGTAATAGAAAGCCCACTATTAGTGAACGGGAGATAAACTAAATCTACTGTACATTAAGCACCGATTAAATCGAAATTACATTTCAAGTCAAAAAAACTTACTAAACTTTTTTGTTGTTGATTTCAGTTAATTTTTTTATACAAATATAAATGACTTGATTATTAATTTCAATTTCATTTTACATTTTACTTTCATCAGTAATCAATGTTATTTGTTGTTGTCATACATAACATAAATTGATCATATAATCAAATTGTATTTATTGTGTTAATTAACTAAAACATGCTAAAAGTATGCAATAAATTTAAATTTTTAAAAAATAATTGATATTAATTTTATTTGAAATTTGTTGTTATATAGTTAGCAATTGTTTTGATAGCGTGTCTATCATTAAGTGAATGCTTCGGAAATGGATTTTTCAGAAATCGAAAATCTAACAGAAGAATGGGTTACGGATACGAACCGATGAGTTCATATGAATCCATGGGTTATGATTCATATGAACCTTATAAGTCATACGGAGAAGAGTTGGGACACGATTTGCTATCGGAATATACATCTGATTACGGAATCGAGTCATACGGCGGCGGTTATGATAGCTATTCACCAAAAGGTATGAAATATATGTCGCCACCAAAGTATTCAGATTATGGTAACGGAAAAGGAGGCGGAGGTTATGGCAGCTCTAAACCACCCATTTATATGAAAAAATCATACGAAATGGCACCGTTATATGGAAAGGGATACGGAAAACAATATGATGTCAAAGTACCCACTGGTGACTCACCCGTCAAAGTAATGTTCCTCACACAACACACACCCGTTCATATCCAACAAAAACATAAGAGAGGTATTTATTAGTCATTCAGCTATTATTATATTTATTGAATTATTGAATTATAGGACAACCCGAATACAAAAAGTCAACGACTCATGAAAATCCATCAGTAGTTGTTCACGAAGTGATTAAACCTGTGATCCAAGAAATTCGCGAAATTATAGTTCCGTACAGAAAAGTCATCCAAAAGATAGAGCCCGTCAAAGAAGAGGTCAAGACTATTGTTGCCAAAAAAGATGGAAAAGAAGGATATGATAGGGACGAGGATGACGATGAAGACGACAAATATAAAAAGTGGATTAAAAAAGATGACGACAACGAGGAATATAAAAAATATAGAAAATACCAAAAAGATGACGAACAAGAAGATAAATACAAGAAGTATCAGAGAGATGACGACGACAGCGATAAGTATAAGAAATATATGTCGAAATACAAAGACGACGACAAGTCTGACCGCTCAGGATATTCATATCAATATTATGAACAAATGAAAACCGATAACTCAAACAATAATCAACAATCATCAGGAATTGGTGTCCTCTCATCACTGGCCGGTTTCACCGGAAACAGTCCAACAAATAATGGACTGACTTTAGCAGCCATTTATGGCAGTGAACAACAAAATGAAAAGAAGTCATCTTAATATTACTAATGATATTATGTTTTGTAAATTATTATAATTTAATTTATAATTGATTTAAACAATATATGTTTTTAAAGTATGATTTATCATTTACTTGTATTAAATAAGTGTTAACATTAAATCATAAATAATTACATATCAAAATTGTTTTGTTAATTTTATATACTGTATTTAGATTTATTAAATTATCAGATATTATTTTAAATTCAATTTACAAAATTGAATAATCAATTTTAGTAAATAATTTATGTTTAATAACAATTTAGATCTGTTGTTGATCTTTTAGATTACTATAAATAATATGATCTATTTTTTACAATTAATAATATTTTACATAAAAATATTAAATATATATTTTAGTATTGTCATTGAAAGTTGAGGTTAAGGCAATATAGTAATATATTTTTTAAATAACAAGATTTAAAAACATAATATTAGTACATGTCGATAAAAATTATTTAATCTTAATTTAAAATATATGTAGAAATCGTAATATTTATATTTGCATATTTATTAGAGTATAACAATTTATTTGAGACCATTTATTAAGTAATAAAAATTAAATAAAAATAAAGTTATAAAATAGAAATAAAAGAATTTAATTCATTTTTTAAAATGTTAGATTATTATTTAACATTTTAAAATAAATACTAATAATAACCATAAAAAAAGTTCAAAAATTAAAGCAAAATTTAGTTTCGTATTTAACTGCTTATGGATATAATACTCCTTTTCCACTGCACTTCCTTTACTTAAGTGTTGCTTATTTGCAGATCACTTATCAAAAATGAAAACTACGTGAAAAACATTGTTTCATAATATCAAGTATTAAAACATTATATTAATTACAATGCATTTTATGAGCGATAATGAGATAAGGGTAGAGTCAATAAACTTAAACTATTCACAGTATTATGCATTACATGATAATTATTATATAACTTTTGCAACTTTCAATGGATCGCCAGATTTGGTGTTATTATTATTATTATTATTAATTAGTCAATTGGTTTGTCTGTGAGTATTGTTACGCATAAGGATTACATGATAGAGTGTTTAAAGCACAGGGAGTACTACCACTAACTTATAGCACATACATTGATAACACGTGTCATCAAAATATCTATATTATGCAAATGATGGGTCATTTATTTTTTTAATTTCTAATTTTTATTTCAAAAATAAACATAAATATAATTTAAGTTTAAGTCACACATTATTAAACAAAATAAAAATTTTAATTATAATAGTAATTACTGACAATTTATGACATACACTATATTTATCCGATTTTTGTCTGTAAGAGCCATGAATTTTCTATTGAATTTATTACACAAATAATTTGAATCAAAATAGTAGTCAAAAACACTTTTTAAGGCACAAAATATGGTATCAATTATCATATCTATAGTCACTTTCATACACCATAAGTACCTAAAGACCAACTGATGATCAACTTATGACACAATTACTGTTCGAAACAAATATTACAATAATTTGTCCGCAAATTAAGGCCGAAGACACAAATGGGCTAAATATATGTCACAAATTGTGATAATTACTAATTAAAGTTTTTATTTTATTTAAACATAAATGTCATTTAAATCAATCAATTAAAACCAAACATCATATTTGCCATTAAGTTAGGATCGCACTCTCATATGTTAAACAATTAATATTTTATATTCATTACATTTACAATAGTTTACAAATATTTTTAATGAATACTTATTTTGTTGAAAATTAAGTAAACTTGTGTATATACTGTTAAATTGATCAAGTAGACATTTATTAAAATAAATAAAAAGCATTTTAATTGCATTTATAAAACATTTACAATTAATAAAATTTTCAATTTAATTTTCAAAGATTATTTTTATAATATAAAGATTTTATATAATATAAGTTAATTAATTGATTATTATTATAATTGAATCATATAAATAAATTATTGTTATTATTATTATTAGGCGGTATTAAGTATATTATGATTATTATGAAATATAAATAATTTATTGTGAAGTTTATTATTGTTAAATATACAACATTTGAATTATAAAAATTGATATTTATATATATTTTATTATATATATTTGTTTTTTTGTATTTACATAAATGTTATAAAATGTTATATAATATGATATAACAATTATAACAAACCTAATGTGAGGTAACGGGTGGTTATGTGCCGTCAATGGCCTTAACCTTGAATCAGGTCATTGAATAGACATTTCAAACAATTAAATATGTTTTTCTCATTCATTCATTTACTATAAGTCTCTCACTTATATCATAAGTGCTCATAATTTTGCAATTTTTATGTTACGCTTTGAAGACTTTTCTCATTGTTATTATGTGTTATTTTATGTGTTGCTTAATATTCAATAAAATATGTTTAACCATCTGCCAAAACAGTTTCTCAAATGCGGCCAACATTTTACCATTATTTTACGTAAAAATGAACATGTTGAATAATTTTTAAAATATTACAAAACAGTCATATAAAGTAAATTTTTATTTAGAAATTATCTCGAAAATACTAAAATCGTTTTTTATGTTATTAACATTAAGATATAGTAATTTAGTTTCTTTATAGTTAGATCAGAAAATTCGTACTTATTTTATTAGTGTAGATAACAATAAGTTATACAAAAATATATTTGAGGTATTAAAGTTAATTTATATAAAATATCAATAAACTTATTTAGATTTTATACTAATTTCAAAAACTAAACATAAACAATAAAAAGTTTTTGAAACTTAATTATTCTAAATGTAATTATATATTGTTATACATTAAATAAATGTCTTCTATTAAGTCTATCTCTCATTATTGTATATTTATTGTATATTGTATATCTCTCATAAGTAATAAAATTATAGTTAATTAATAGACATATTGTATATATATATATTGTATTTCACTAAATTTATAAAAACGGGTCAGTATTTTTTTTTTCTAGAGAGACAAGGGGTTAAAAAATAGATTTTTAGAAAATCGTTTTTAGATTACTATTAAAACAATTTTTTTACTCACTTGATTTGATTTATTATTATTTATATTATCATATTATTAATTATAATGATTATTATTATTATTATTATTGATATTATAAATTTTATTAAAATTTTCGTAAAATATAGCGACTAAAATAAAAATAGAAAATTTCTATTTCTATTTATTAATATAAAATTATATTAAAAACTAAGATTGTAAAGTATTATAAACATTTGAATTATAAAAATTACAATTTATCTTTAGATAGAAATGATATTATGAAACTTAGTAAATCTTTTTTATGTATAATTTACTAATATTAATAATATTTAAATTAAGTACAATATGATATCAGTAAAGTAGAAGTATTTAATGTGTACTGTAATGTAATTTAAATATTCTAACGTGTAATTTGTTTTACATTACAATATAATACAATTTTTAAATATGAGAACATTTTTTAAAAATACATTCTATTTTAAAATTAATTTCTAAAACATTTAATTTATATTAAAAAACAAAACTAATTTTAGGATAATTTAATATATTTATAGTACTTTTGTTTTACAAATGTCTAAATTTAACATTTTTGATAGTTAGCAAAATTACAAAGATTTTATAAAATTTGTCATTCACTACATTATTTGTGCAAAATATACTTTTAATGTAAATTTATTTGTATTGTAAGTATATTTTTTAATTTGTTTTTTTTGTTAACGACTAATGTTAAAAATCTGATATAATAAAATCAATTTTTATTTTTGATTTATTTTTTGAATTATATAGACATTCGAGTGAACGGAAATGGAAGGAAAAAAATAAAAACGAGTTTTAAAAAGTAATTTTTATAACAAATGTCAAATTGTTGTACTAATGATTGTAATGATTGACTGCTGAAACAAAAGATTATATAAAAGTTATAAAGTGTTTTGTCAGAAAAATTAAAAATAAATAAAAAGTTTATTTTAATTTTAGTTTTTCTATTGTTTTAAATTATACTTTTACTTCTAAATAAACAGTATGTTCGATGGTTTAGATCAATGATCAGATGATAGCAAATATAAACAATGTTTATTAAACATACATTTATATAATATAAATTTTTAAATATTTAATTTAATTATTTGTAATTTTAAATTATAACAGAAGTGCAATAATACTAGTTATTGAATTGAATGCAAAGCTATACAAATCAAATTTAATTTAATTGATAACAACACTAATTTCGTTAATTATCTCATTAACTATAATAATGAACTTTTTTACAAATTTATAAATAAATATAATATTATAAGCAAAAGAAACGGCGAGAATGTTATATAGCATTGCCAGAAACAAACTTTGATGACATAGATTTCTTTTTATACACTCATCTTATAACCAAAATATTTATTATTTATAATCATTAGTGAGTGATATTGAGTATATGAGAAATATTATACCAAAAATAATGATTTAATAAGTTATTTATTATAAGTCATATTATATTAATATTATACTATCAATAATTATTTCTAATTCCACTCATTTCAAAATTTTTAAAAATAACTATCATTTGGTCATTTTGATTGTTATAACACTTATTAAGACAATCCTATTCTACATTTGAAAGCTTTATATGAATTCATAGTCAAAATATTAAGTTTTGTACTTTTTTTATACTTTGGTCACCATTTTGTCAATGTTTCTGAAGAGATGTCATTTTTATGTGATCCCATATTTTTGATGCACTAAACGAATCTGAACTCAAAATTTTAAAATATGACAAAACACATACATATATATACAGAAAACAAAACTTTTTCAATGTTTGTTTGAATATTATATTCTATTATAAACTAAAGTATTTCATTATATTTGTAAATACAATAAAAATATTTGCAAAAAAATCAGACAATTCCTAGTGTTTAAACAAAAATTCCAATAAATTAAATTTGGATTTTTACTCAAATGTAATCTCAAAGTCAATGATAGAGCTTTAGTTAGTTAAACAATAAATGAGAAAAATATCAATAATACCAAAAGTATTTATTTAAGTATTAAAATTAATTTTATAATTGTTTTTATATTATTTTGATATTATTAACATAATTTTGTACTCTAATATAAAACAATACTACATATTACTGTATACATTATTATTGTTTTGCTCTATACAATGCAAAAACTATTATATAGTATATACATATTTTGTATATATATATATAAATGTATTAATTAATTAATATTTTCTTATTCTAATAAAGTTATATATATGTAAAACATTTGTTGAATTTTATGGCAATTGCTTTTAATTTTTGATACAACGTTTAGTTTAATTTTTGTACTCTTGAAGCACAAGCATATCTAAGCATTAAATGTATGGTCAGTGCTATAATTTATATGAGAGTTATAGTTAAAGGGTTGACCCAAATATAGGTCGACAGGTATTTGAAGTAAAATAGTCATTGAAAGTAAAACATTTGCTATTATTTGCAAAAATATTAAATTTAAGTAAAATTGTTAATTAAATTATTGTTAAATTTTAGTGAAATATTGTTATTTTTAGGTCATTACAAAAAATTATGTCTTAAATACATATACTGTGTATCTCTTATATCTGCATTTTTTATAAGATATTTTCTTAATATGATATATCATATCACAAATATTTTAATCTCTTAAACTCATCAAAAGGTATTGTAGTATCCATTTGAGTACACATTAGAGATACAATATTTAGGGGTTTAGTTTAGTGTTGGCAGAGACAAAATTTTTGTATAATACAAAGCGAATTATACAGTATAATACAATGTATAATACACGACCAATATTGCCATACAAAACAAAAGTTAGCAACACCTAATATCAAGACCATTGATATAAGTAAAAATAAATATGTTTTATAATAAATATACATATGATATTAATTATTTATTTTACTTCTATCATTTTTCTTAATTTATTTTATTTTCATTCTTAGAAAACAACTATTAATATAAAAATAATTAGTTTTCTAACAATTATATTGTCATTAAATAATTTTTATTAATTTTTTAGCATAATATATATATATTAGTTTTTAAAAATGTATAATACATACATACGGTGTATTATACAAAGACAAAATTCAAAACCTTGTATTTTTCCAACCCTAATTTTGTTACAGAGACTCTAACAATGTGTGTATTTTAAATGCTTTATGTAATGAACATTATATTAATTATTTTATGTTACATTACAATGAATTTTAGTTAAACTTTAAATCTTAGTTAATATTCAATTGTATAATTTGTGTAAAATTTGTAAAAAAAATTTTTGTTTTTAGAATTACTGTATAAAAAACAAGTTTTTAGAGTTAACTATTTTGTAAATCATAAATCATTAATTTTAATGTATTTTATTTATAAATCTTGTTTTGGATCTTTAATTTTTTTTGCTCAATAAAATCATTATTTTCGTAGCATTTTTTTGTATTTAATGGCAATAATAAGTTTAAAATGTTTGTAATTTTAAAAATTTTTCTACAATTAGTAATTGCAATAATTATAATTACAATTAATTATATATACACATTTAAACACTTTTATAGATATAACTAAATGTTGAAAATATTATCAATTTTTTAATCACTAAGTTATCTTTTATAAAAACTATTCACATTTTGCTTTTAAAAATTTTAATTTTTAGAATATACAGAGTATTATCCGATATAATGAAAAATATTAATAAATAATTGCAAATTAATTTTATTTTGGTTTAACTCTTACGACACTTGACTTATTGATTTGTTGTAAATTAAACTTAATTTTGTTTATTTTAAATTAATAGCTATATATAATATGTATGTTTGTTTATTAATATGTATTTTGATTAAACACTTTTGTTTATTACAAAAGTTATATAAGCTATATAGCACTAAAGAAAAACTACATAAAAAGTTAAAAAATGATTTAAGAAATTTTTTTTAAAAAATAAATTATTAATTGTAAAATTTATAATCACTTGAAATTATTCAAATACTTAATTTATATTTAATTTAAAACTTATAATTTGGTTTAAGTTTTGTTTGAACATTTCGACAATTGGTAAAATCAAATGTTTATTATGAGGTAATAAAATTAAGAAATTAAAAATAAAATTTAGATTTTTTGAAAGTATTATAAATAATATATAAGTTGTTCAATGGTTTGTAAAGAAGTGTCAAAGAGAGCGCATTCTCTACAGAGTCTATCAAATGTATTGATTGTTAACAATGAGTCCGTGTTTTCATTCATATGTCTTGAATTAGATGTTTCTCTTCGCCCGAAAGCAATCGGCAGACATATAGACAAACACATAGCGAGAGATCCAATGAAAACAAGTGAACGCCGACTCTCAAGCTCTGGGAGACAGCCTTTACTCAGACATTGCATATAAACTGATTGCAAGTGAGTTGTGTTGTGTTGTGTTGAGAGTGGTGTCAGTCGTGTAGTGTCTGTCAGTCTTTAATATATAGACTTCACTCCAACTCTACAACAACTCTCTACTCTTCTCTCTCTCAGATCTTTAAGGCGTTGGCTCTCAATGTGTGTCCACTCTATGGCTATATAGCTATGACACCGACTGTCGGACACTAATCAACCACTGAATCAGTGATTATTTACTTTCATAGTATTATTTGGTGGTGTTGTCAGTGATATCTGTGTTTGTCATTAAATCCAATTCATCTCATAAGTCAATTGTAAGTATTTAATTGACTTTCAAATAAACATTTTGACATTTTTATCATTGTTTACACTATTTTTGGTTTTAAATATAAACTAAATATAAGCTTTATTTATATATATCGTATTTTTTATAATATCAGATTGTTTTTAATTATTTTATTTCTTCTTATATTGTATCTATAATTTAATAATCAATAATATAATATATATATATATAGAATAATTTAATCCTTTCCATATATTCCTATATATATATATATATATAAAGTTATATATATATATATAAAGTTATATACTGTTTATAATTAAAATTTATAAAAACAGTAGACAAATGTTGACAATTAAATGTAAACGTATTGTCATATTAAAGCAATTATTTCCTCAACTTTATAGCAAACAGTTGTAGTTTAATATTATGCATATTTAGTAATTGTGTGACAATCCATGCAAATGAATGTATTATTGCTAATAAATATCTCTATATTTGTATTTTACTATTATTTATTAAATATAAATATAATCAGCTTTTATTTTGTAAATAAATGTATTTTAAACATAAGGAAAACACGATTAAAATTAATAGCAATGATAAACTTGATGTACATTTGATTCACAAATTTTATTATTTTGCTATATTTTTTGATTTTATTTATGTAAAAAAATTTCTTAAAATTTTATTCTAATTTTGTGAGAAAACATATTTTAAGTATTTTTGTTGAATTCGCTCAAAACAAGAGACAATCATTTTATTTAAGTTAAACATAATATTGAAAGTTAACGAAAACACAACAATGAAATTATAAATAATTGATTGTTAATTCAGTTTGAATATTGAAATGTCAAAAATATCTACAATATTGTGATGACATCAACTTTATAGCACACCTATTGTTTCTCATTTTATAACTACTGGTAATCAACAAAACAACAAATACAATATACTGTAGTTTGCTTATAAAGATCATACAGTATAATACTTTAGTAAATTTAATATATATGTAAATAATGCAGTGGGCAAATAATTTGTTTCAATTAGTAATTTATATGAAAATTATATTTTAATGGATAAATAATAATAAAATGCATAATTTCAATCTTTTGAAATGCTGTCAAAACAATATTTTATTTAATATTGTTTTCCATATACAGACTGTTTCCTATTATTTTTATGTTTATTATATTTTTAAAGTCTTGTTTGAATCTAATTGCAAGTTTTGCAAACAAATTGATATAAAACAACAATTATATTAGTATATTAATTTTAGTGAAATAAATTATAAAATACAGTAAATAATATAAACCTATTTGTATTAAATAATATTATCGATTTTAATTATATAAATATAAAATCTCAATAATAATTATCATTTTAAATAAAATTTAGATTTATTTATTATATATTTTAAAGTGGAGTATATTGTTATTATGAAATGTATAAATTTACACTGAATAGTTTAAATAGTTTGTAACATTGTAGTTTATTTCTATTTAATAGTCTCAATATCTAACATTTGGTTTATTTGTCAAATTAATAATTAGCTAATATTTTGATAATGTAATCAAATCAGTTAAATATTAGATTGTAGTATTTGTGAGTAACTATATATTATAAATTATATACACAATACTGTTATAACTGGTAAATTTATATAGTCATATCATATTTTTTGGATAATTCAATTTAGACACTACAGTACATGTATGTATAAATAAGTTATATACAGTATTTAGTGTTTAACATTTTTTTCAAATTTGATTTAATTCTTTTCATTGTTTATTATCTAAAAATTATAACAAAAAGGTTATATGAATTCAATGAAACTTTATTTGAAACTTATGAGTATCTCTTAAACATAATAATGTTATTTTTTAAACTACATTAATTATTTTTTTGTAATAATGATAGAAATAATCAATTTTTAAAAACATGTTGAACTTCACGAATACCTGTATATAATATTATATAATTATGTTTTTACATGACTGAAAAATAGAGTTTTATTTAGTATAGTATTTATTAGTATTTATTTTATAGCAATATTGTACAATGGGAGACCATCTAATTTTAAAGCAAAAAAAACATGGATATTAATACAAATTATCAAAAATCTGGATAATTTTTGAATATTACGTTTATTATTAAAGTAATTTTGACAACAAATATAGTTTATCGATGTCTGACATGGATTCAAAATTATTAAAAAAAATTATTTGAATATTTTATTTAAAAATATGAATATTTTTTATGTATATACAGTATATTTAAATTAAATTTTTAATAATGATATGCACAATCAATATGCCCGGGTTAGCGATATTTTTGAAATAAAAGAGTGTCTACTTTTTCCTAATTTTCAGTGCTATTTGTTTTATTAATTATTGTAAACTCAAATTGTAATCTGAAAAATACACCTAAAATTGTAGTTTTAATTTAGTATAAATTTTATGAATTACAAACTTTAAATGTAATAACAATATAAATTATATTTATTCATTATTTAATTGCTTTGCTATTATTTACATTTATAACTTTTTATTAGTTTCTGAAAAGCATTTCTAATCAAATGTAGTTAATATTGAATATGACAATTTTCCCTGATCATAATTTACATCAATTAATAATTTGCTTGAAACCATTGATGAGATAATCATATATCTTTCTCTGAAATTTTGTGGTATTATGCAGTAGATAATAATTATAATTATAATAAGATAAAAATTATTGTGTTTTATATTGTTTTTATATGATTGAAAATTAATGTAAAATTAAAGTTATTTTATTTCAACAATTTGTTTTTTGTCAATGAGAAAACAATGATAAAGTGATTATAAATAATGTAGGGATCTATCAATTAAACCAAAGAAATATATTAAGGAAATATCTTATTAACTTCTATATAAATAAAACTAAATTTATTAAATATATAATTAATTTGAATAATTTAAATATTTGTGACAAAAATGTAAATTATTTGTATTGTTTAACAAATGCTTTCAGTAAATACTGTATTAAACAAGTTGTAGACTCATACAAGTTATTGAAAGCTTTAGTGATTATAGATTATGTCATAAGTCTCATCAAAGTAACTATTGATTGTTATACTTATTGATTGAAAGGTTGTATATCATTATAGTTATTGATTGAAAGGTTGCATATCATATAACAAATATCTTTAAAATATGTTAAATTTACTGATATTTTAATTATTAGTTGTTTTTAAATTTTGAACTGTAGTTAAACTAAATGATTATTATTTAAATTGCATGCATTCGTTGTTCAGTTTATTGAACTTCAATTTTGTTGTTTTTATTCTCATTTCCTCTCATTTTATATTTCAAAATATTTAAAGTTTACAATCAAATGATTAAATCTTTGTTATCATAACAATATTTATTGAAAATGTATATATATTTTAGATATATATTTAATTTATGATTAATATATATTATATTAATAGAGTAGTACGATGTGGACGGCAACAGTAGGTTTAGTCAACAATCAACACAAGTATTTGACTGCCGAGACATTTGGCCATAAGATCAACGCTAATGGTGTGACACTCAAGAAGAAGCAACAGTGGACTATAGAGCCCTTCCCTATCAATGCTAACGGATCTGACTATTCAAATGGCAATCGTTTGGATGATTTGGATGAATTGGAAAATATTGCCATCAAATCACACCTAAACTGCTATTTGGCGGTCGACTCTTTCGGTAACGTGACCTGTGAGTCACCCGATAAGACTGAAGGCTCCCGATTTACTATTACCATTTGCTCCATGTCCTCATCAACTACACCGGGACAACCACAACAAGGTTTGTTAATAAATATTAGTTTTTTATTTATAGTATTTCACATAAAATATATATAACTAATTATATCAAGTATTAATAATATTATAATTTATATTATATACAAATTTAATTACATAAGAGATATGTTGAATAGTTTTTGACATAACTTATTGCTATTTAGTATATTTAAAAATTAATTTAGTGTTTATTATTATTTCATTTAATTATATCGGTATAAAATGAAACATTTTATATAAATTATAATTAACTTAGAAGTGAATTTCAAAATTATGAATTATTTTTGCATTAGATATTTAAAATATTAGAAAAATTCATTCATTCAGTTATTAAAATTTATTGACTTTTAGTGGTTTTATAATTGTTATGTTTAATGGTTTGACAATTATTAGAGCAAATTTCATGGGCTTTCCGTAACGTTTCTCGGGGCTATTATTTGGGCACAACTGGTGATGGTATGATTCAATGCAATGCAAAGATGCCACAGTCGAGGGCCGAGTTATGGCACGTACATCTGATACCAGCCCGCGGGGCCTCAATGTTTGCCATTAAGTCTATTGGCAGGAAACGGTATGCCCGAGCAATTTCTGCCAACTCAGGTATACACATTTTATATAAATTTATTTTTATATATTACTTTATATAATTTATTTATATTAATAAGTTTTATTTAATACATACAGTTGCAGTTGAATCCAAATAAATTTAATTATAAGCAAATAAACACTTATATTTATAATAATAGCTATTTTAATAAATTTAGTTCAATCTAAGGGCGGAGAACAATATGTTATAATTTTAACTAATTATACATTATATAAAATTATAGTTTTATAATGAATGCATTTATCATTTTAGTAGAATTTTATATTTATAAGACTATAAATAATAATATTAACTAAATATAAATGTAATTTTTGTAATTAATTAATTAAAATATTAATTATGATTATTATAAATTAAGGTCAAATTAACGGCGCGAGCAATGACAGTGATAATAGTGAGCAAATTCAAGTGGACTCTACCAATGCCTGGGGCTCTGAAACATTGTTTCAGTTCAAATACTTTGAAGGCGGGAAATATGCGTTACTGACATCCAGTTCCCGATATCTGACAAATGAAGGCACTTGTGTTGATCCAAACAAAAGCTCGATAACACCAATGCCTCCGATTGAGTGCTTATTTACAATTGAATATCATTGCGGAAACATTGCTTTTAGAGACAACGCGGGAAGATATTTGGCCGCCGCCGGGAGGGCATCATTATTAAGGTCGCGATCGACTCATGTAACCAAAGATGAACAGTTTGAGTTTGAAATGGCACCAATACAAGTAGCACTCAGGGCTACTTTCAATAATAAATGGGTGTCCACTAAACAGGGTTAGTGTTAATGAATATATTTTTAATTTTTTACTAATCAGTTGTAATTGATATGAATAGGCGTTGATTTGTCTGCCAATCAAAATGAATTGACAAAACAAGAGACTTTCCAATTTGAATATAACAGTATAGATAACAGTTGGTATATAACCACTTTTGATGGTCATTATTGGGCATTAGGAGGTGCTTCCACTATACAGACGAGCAAAGATTTTACTACAAAAACCAGTTTTAAATTGAAGTGGAATCCCGAAGACGGCTCGTGTTCTTTGGCTGTCAATGATGGCAAAGGAGGTGACGAGAGTTCAATCAAATGGATCGGCGCTCGAAAATCTGGTCAACTGTTTACGTGTACATCAGACTCGGCCGTCAAGTTTTTTATGAAATTTTTGAACCGAACTTCTATTAATCTGAGAGCCAGTAATGCTTCTGGTTTTGTTGGACTCAAACTTCCCGGTAATTAGTTATTTGAATAACATTTGAATTATGCATTTTCATTGCATTTGAATCATCTGTTACAATAGGTTCGGGAAAATTGGAGTCAAATAAGACAACACCGGATTCAATACGTATAGAATATGCCAATTCTGATAATAATGGACTCGACTTTTCCGATATCGATCTTACTTTCAACTGTTGTTATCTGAAAATGATGTCAAACAACAAATATTTGAGTTTAATTGAAAACAACTGTTTGGCGGCCGACGCCTCTTCCGCCGCTTGCGGACAACAATTTCAGACAGAGTTACGCAACGGAACACAGATTGCTATTAAAACATTTGAATCCAATTCTAATTATTTAAATCTTACCAAAAATGGATCAATAGTTGTATCCAATTGTTTGCCAGAATCGGCCACTCTTTGGGAGTTTTGAGTCAATTCTTTCATTTCAAATCATATCAATTAATCTCTTACTCTATAATCTCTTATCTTTGAACCTATTTTTAAAAGATATTGTGAATGAATCCCATTTAATGTATGTTTAAAGTTGGATATATTATTTTAGGAACTATTATAGCGAATCGACAATACTTATGACAAAAATTTAATTGCAATCAAATGTCATTTGTTTGTATAAATATTTAAATAATTTTTTTATAACTTTTTATACTTTTGTATTTTTTTATTACTGTACTTATTTCTATCTCAAACTTTTTATTTATCAAATATTTTGATATTAATTTATTTTAATTACAGTACTTTTTTAATAATATTAATTTAAAAGTATTTTACAAATTTATAATTTAAATGACAAAATGATCTTTATTGTTTATACATTTATATATCTATATATTTATAAAGTTTTATATTATGTTTAATTAATTGAATAAAATTCTAATGGATTAATGGATTTGATTATTTATTTTAATTTTAATTAAACAATTCAAACAATTATTAATTTCAATAGTGTACCAAATTTTTTGATTTCAAATAATGAAAAATATTAAACATATGCAGTCTATTGAATAAAATTTTTATTAAATTACATCAATAAAACTATTTTTATTCATATACCGTATCATTATCATTACATTTACAGTGTTTTACAATATTTCAATTATTTTATCAATTATTTAAATATTTATAAATTACATAATAAATGTTAAACTGACAGTAAATTGTAATGTGTGTGTAGTTTTTAAGCTTAGTTTCAACAATTAAAATATCGTAAATCTAATAACTAATAATATAGAGTATTATAATTAAATAAATTTTACAAATAATTGTTAAAATACTTTATATACTTTATGTACTAAAATTAATATACGCTTTAATACGGTATTAGTTCAATGATAAGTAATGAAAATAATAGTTGAAAACAATTTTAAATCAATATATTATCAATTATACTAAAAATAATAATATGAATATTTCATGTATTTTTAGCATAAATTATATTAATAAAAATTATAAGCCATTGTATTGAATGTAAGTCACATGTGGTCATTGACCCGATCACTGACCTCTACATATGACTGCATTGTGTTAACGATTGTTACAATAAAGTCATAATCACTGACACAAATAGCGATCAAAATATTATATTTAAATTATGATTACATAATTTGGTCGATTAGACCATTAATACAATATATAATACATTATGTAATAAAATGATTTATATGATCAAGTTCATTTAAGTCTCTATTACACTAAAGTATTGTATTAATAGTTATAAGTTATAATCAATGCATTAAATATCATATGAAAACAAAACAATATTAATGTCATAATAGAGGCTATTATAACATTGCATTGATTTTCAGTGCAATGTGTACTTCAATATACAGTATTAATACATGCATTATATTGACATTTAAATCAAATAATATAAAATAATATCACTTTTTATTCATTTATATAATTTATACGACAAATAACATAAGTATTTATAAATGAATTAATATTTGCGTTACGTTTAGTCACTATTTTGTTATCAAATTATCACAAATTTATCACAACTAATAACACTTAAGACATTAACTAATAATCTCAATATAATTGGCAAATGTGTTGAAACTGACATTTAATTGAACAAACATTTGCTATTTAATCGATACATGATTTCAATGAATTAATTAATAATTTGGACTAATTTTATACACATTTAATTAATAATCATTTATAAAATGACTATATTTTCAAAATTGGTATTAATTTTAATATTATAATTCAATTTCTTAATTATCTATTGATTAATAGCAAAATTTGTTAAATAATTTAATAATAAGGTCTCGTTGGACGCCAAGTGGCCATCAGATGTGTTGACCAGTGTATCGGTAAATCGGGCCAAACTTGAATTGATTGGTGCATCGGTGTTGGCAACTGTAGCCGTCATCAAGTTATATGATCTCTACGACAATGACATGTGTAGGCATTGACTTTGAAATGTGTGACCATTTTTGACATAATTTGCAATAATCTTATATACAGTGAACTTCAAGACACTTAAGGAGAAGTCATTTCGTTTGTTGATATGTCTGCCGGGTGTCCGCGGAATTGCTGAAAAACAGTTGGCAGATGTGGACAACACTATATCCAAGACAATACAGAAGATGTATAACTCGCAAGTCTTTCTCTCAGACTTACCACAAACTGGTCTTTCAGATGAACACATTCTTCGAGAGTTAAGTGACTATTCGCATATCGGCAAAGTTGACTGGCAAATGGGTCGGGCATCGGGTATGACTTTTCAATACTTACCGGTAGTTGTATTTTGTTTACTAATTATTACCCAATTGAAGGCACTGTCTATTGTGACGGCAATCGTAAACTCAATGATTTGATGACCAAAGTGTACGACAAGACGGCGTACACCAATCCATTACATCCGGACGTGTTTCCAGGCATTAACAAAATGGAAGCGGAAATTGTAAGAATGGTTTGCAATTTATTTAACGGTAATAATGATAGTTGCGGAACACTGACCTGCGGTGGAACCGAATCTATTATATTAGCCGTTAAAGCTGCTCGTGATTATGGCCGAGAAGCTAAAGGCATAACTCGTTCTGAAATTGTAGTCCCCGTGACAGCACACGCGGCCTTTCAAAAAGCCGCACAATTGCTTAATATAAGGATCAAGTTTATCGATTCCGATCCCATCTCTTACAAAGTTGATATAAAATCCATGAGAAGAGCCATCACTAGCAATACTGTTTTGTTGGTTGGATCTGCTTGTAATTATCCGCACGGGATTATTGACGACATTAAGAGCATCGCTGAAGTAATTATTTTTCACTCAAATGTATGAATAGTAATTTATTTTTAATAGTTAGGACTGAAGTACTCGATCCCCGTTCACGTGGACTCGTGTTTGGGAGGATTTTTAGTGCCATTCATGAGAGCCGCTGGTTATCCGATACCAAGTGTTGACTTTTCGGTTGCTGGCGTTACCAGCATTTCAGCCGACACTCATAAGTATGGTTACGCACCGAAAGGTTCTTCAGTTATTATGTACGCACACAAGAAATATAGAAAACATCAATTTTCAGTACAAACTGATTGGCCGGGAGGTATTTATGCCACACCAACATTGGCCGGCAGTCGATGTGGCGCTAATATTGCCAATTGTTGGGCAACACTATTATCTTTTGGATTTGATGGATACGTTGAGGCGACCAAAAAGATTATGAAAACACAACGATTTCTTAAAGAAGAATTGTCTAAAATAGATGGCATTTATATTATTGGTGACCCTCTCATGTCTGTCATTGCCATCAAATCTGACAGATTTAACATATTCAGGCTAAGGTGTCTTTACATATATTGCTATTATTAACAAACATTTTAATTACAGTAATTAATATAATTTAATATAATATGATTTAGTGATAAATTATCTGAAATGGGATGGAGTTTGAATCCATTACAATTTCCATCTGCAGTTCATATTTGTCTGACATTAATGCATACAAAGCCTGAAGTTGTCGACTCCTTTTTAAAGGATATTAAAACTGTGGTCAATGAATGTCTTTTGACACCTAAGGACAATACCGGAGGATTAGGTGTTATCTATGGTATGGCTCAGTCTCTTCCGGATAGATCTTTGGTTACTGATATTGCCTCACATTATATCGATGGCATTTATACTACTGAATGGTCTCAAACTAACGGCAAATAAAAGTGCAATATTTTTGTTATTTTATATAACTATTAATATATATTACTATATAAAGTTAAATTATTTGAAAATTTATTAAATAATAATTCTAAAAAATTTATTTTATTACATATTTTATTAAATTACTAAATATTTATAAAAATAAATACAAATGAAAATTAAAAATTTTTATATTACATTAAACATTGACAATTTTGTCAATAATAATAATGATAAAGTGCCGTTTAATTGTATTATTTAAATCTTAGCTATGTTTATGTTATGTATGCAGTATTATGATTAACAATCATTGTATACTATAGATAATGTATTTAATTTTTAATTAAAACAATTTAATGCATATATTATACTATAGAGTAATAATACAGTAATAGGAACCCAAAATTGTTTAGTGTTTTCTAATAAACATTATATTCAGTATTGATATATATTTGACGTTTTAAAACAATTGTACTAAACATACAGTACATGATATACATTTTTAAGGAACTTTTAAAATATTAATCAATAATTATTATAATGTTTTTATATAAAACAATATAATATTATTTATAAATTGTTATTATATAATATACAGTATTTGTTAGTACAATACTGTATCTTATGAGATATAAGTTACAATTTGTGACAATTAACGTGCATTTAGTGATAAATATTATTTTGGCGTGAATTTCGCAAATATAGATTCAAAGTTTGAAATCTTCTGGATTTATAAGACATCCGTTTAATTGGTTTTTTATATGGAATCGGATAACTATTTTAAATAAAATAAAAATATATTATTTAGTATTCTATACTTAATATATACGGCTGAATATCCGACTCGTTATTTGAATTGATTATCTGATAATATTTTGAATATAAAAATTACCACAATTTTGACAATTTATATTCAAAATATAGACTAAATAATAGACTCAAATCGGGAATTGGCTGGAGTCGGCATATATATCGTGTATTTATTATGTTTTTAATAAAAAAATGCAATCACAACAACTTAGTTATAATTTTTGTTAAACAATTAAAATTTTAGTTATTCAATGTGTTTACTGTACTAAATATTCAATACGATATTATCAATCAATATATCACTTTTGATGTTTTCAAATATATTTAATATAAATTATAGCTAAAAATCATAAATTATTCGCTAAAACAAATACCAAATATGTAATAACTTAATCTAATATTTAAATATATATATTGTATATACTTATACAGTATGTTATATTACTTTACTTAACCTAATCTTATTTACTTAACTAAACGAAATCATTACCTAAAATATAAAACTAACATCAAAAATAAAATATTTTAAAATTCAGTGTTAAAATAAAATATGAATTAATAGTAAATTTTATAAAAGTTTTGTCAATTTCAACTTTTGTTGAACAGATTCCTTATAAAGATTATTATTAGTGTTAATTTTAACTAAATTATATATAAAATTTATAACATAATTAAGTTGTTGTTATTGTCTATATATATATATATATATATATATATACTGTATATATAAATAATAGATAATGAGAGCAATAATATATACTCACAAATATGGTTGTGTTGGACACGACGATCCCTGATTTAATTGTTGGTTCATAGCTTGTTGTCGACCCATAAGTATACCTAAAATTAATCCCTTATAAAACTTTTTTTCACCAAAAGTCTTAATAGGTGTCAATAGTTGAGACAAAATTATTACTAATATTATATAATATTTTTTTTTGATTTTCATTGTTTTGAAATTTTTCTTTAGCTTTTGTTAACAAAACAAAACTTTTTTAACGCAACTTTTAGTCAGTTATAAAAACACTTAAAATAACAATAACTGCTTTATATCTTTTGTAATCATCAATAAAATACAAAATCAATTTTAATCTTTAATAGTTAATGAAATTTCTATATTTATTTCTCAATTATAAACAGCGATGAATAAAATCTAATTAATATTTTTTGACCCAATTTGAAAATTACATTTGAAAAATCTATTTATCGTAGAAAAAGTAATTAATTATATTATTGGTGATCATCTATAATCATAAAACACATATTCAATGAACTCTATAAGTTTCTTACCCAAATCAATCTGTGTGGGTGGGTGGGGGTGGGTGTGTGAATATTTAAAAAGCTCTCATTTTTAACACTTGGTTTAACACATAATTTATTATTAATATATTATGTATTTTAACAATTAACTTTCCTATATTTATTTAAGTATTTATGAAAGTTAATAAAAATTATAATAACATTCAAAGTTTTATTTTGGATTTATTTTAAAATATAGATTTATTTCATAATTATTTTCTCTTATTGTTAATTATTTATTTAAGTCTAATGTGTTTAAATATATAATTAGTTATAGACTATAACTTATACTGTAAAAGTTGCTATTAATATAATTAATAAACAATAATAATTATTATATAAATTATTCAAAAATAAAATAAAATAAATTATATCATCTTATATTATTTATGATTTATTTAAAAGATTTAAAAATTAAGTTTAAGTTTATATATTGAATATTATTATTTTAATTAGTAATACATTACACGTAATTATTAATGAAAAATAAATATTATAATCATGTAATATAATTATATATATAAATAAGTATTGTTAAAATAATTATAACTTCATCTACATATACATGTATATATATATATATATTTCTAAATATTCTAAATAAAGTTTGTACCAAGATCATTTTTATTGCATAATGTTTGGCGTTGTTTATATTTAATATTAACAATAATCATTTAATTAATATATTAAATATAATGAATAATTAAATTAATTGATAATAAAAGCATCAAATAAGTTGATCATCACATTTGACAAAACAGTTTAAATCAATTGAAAGCCAAATGTATAGAAAAACTTAACTAAAAAATAATGCGATTATTGGTGTGATATATAAAGTGTTTGATAGTGTGATAATATTTATCGAAAACTTAGTACTATTTACTACAATTAGTATTAATAATATACTGTTGATTAAGGATACATAAAAGAGAACTGAATGTTGATATATAATACATAATGAGTTGAGTGTTGACAACAAATATGACAATCAAAGTGTTGTTTGTATTGAATGAATGCATTTAAAGACATCACATAAGTGTTGAGCCATTGATTACAACCTCAAAGTCATCGGTTGTTTGCCATAACTATCATCACTTGAGAGCTCATCCAACATTCAAACAACAATTGGTGTCAAATGCCGGTCAGGTCTTCATCAGAGATACAATGCCAGTCACAGACTCAGGACATGGAGGCCGACCTCTGCAACTGTTCCGATGGCACGTGTCATGAGACAGACAATGCATTAAAAGAGTCACAAAATGGCAATAAACAAGTGATTCAAAGCAAACAAACTCTTAAAGGAGTTCCACTAATGGCTTCCCGTACGATATATTATCATTTGATTTGATCTTAAGTTCTTGATGTGATTTGTTATGATTGTTGCCACAGATCGACAACTTGGAGTAACTCAATCTCTGTTATACAACGGATCCAAATTTGGTGGACACCAGAAATCCAAAGGCAACTGTTATGACGTTGAAGTTGTCCTTCAAGTAATAGATTTATTCATTTGTTTGTCTAAATGTTTTTATTAACACTAAATAACTGATAATAATTTGTTTTTATTATTATTTGATAACAAATGTGCCGAAGAATGTGGATGAGGCCAACTCTTATCTCTGCGGTTACTTAAAAATTAAAGGTATTGTCTATTAATTTAATCTAAATATTAATATTATTTTGATTGACTTAAGGATTGACTGAAGAGTATCCAACTCTGACGACATTCTTTGACGGAGAGATTATTTCAGCCAAATATCCATTTCTGACCCGTAAATGGGAGGCCGATGAGGACGTGGATCGGTAATTACAACACTTGAGGAGACACTCAATAAAGACATCATTAATTTGTTTATTTGTTTACAGCAAGCATTGGTCAAAGTTCTTGCAATTTTATCAGTTCTCTAAACAATTCAATTGTGATAATTTTGATTACAATCAACTCATCGACACTGACTTTGTATTTATGCGATGGAAGGAACACTTCTTAGTTCCCGATCACACCATTAAAGTATTATTTGTTTAATTATCAATGCGTTTGATATTTTGGTCAAAGTGTATGTCATTAATATTTTATATTTAAATAAATTTCAATTAAGCAAAAGAAACCAAATATCTTTAAATTGTTAGACAAATCAATCAGTTTTATAGTTCAAAATCCAAATTGTGATTTATTTCGGAAATTAATTTTAGATAAAAATTGAACAAAATTTATAATATATTAAGATTCAAAATATGAGATAATTTTCATAATTAATCTTTACTATAATATAGTAATTATATATTTAATAAGATATTTATCATGAATTAGTTTTTTACAATAATGATCCACTTGATAATGTCTTTTTTAATACAACTTATTATAGATATACTGAAAATAGTTAATTAATTATTTTGAATATTCTGTTGTCTGCATAAATAAATTTATTTTTGTGAAATTTTATATATATATATATATAGTTATATAAAACTTTAATATAACAATAATGATACAGGACAATTCAAAAATTTTGATGATAACCCCATTTTGATAAATTTATGAAACGCATTGATATTTTTCAAAAATTAATTATTTATTTAATGTTTAAATGTATTTATAGGACATAAACGGTGCTTCTTTTGCTGGTTTTTATTACATTTGTTTTACCAAATCTAATGCCACTATTGAAGGCTATTATTATCACCGACAGTCTGAATGGTATCAATCACTGACATTGGTTCACATACCTGAGCACTCAATACAAATCTATGAGTTTCGCTAAATTCAAACAAATGTGTCATTAAAAACTATATAAATATACAGTCTGTATAAAACAATTATGATTTTTCTTTAAAAGAAAAATAACTAAAAAGGATTGAATTTAACATTTATTTGTAATTTATTTATTTAAATGTTATTATGTTATATATTTTGATTATAATTACAAATTATTTTTTGGTCATAAAGTGTACAAAAATAAGGTTATTATTAATTATTTTTTGTTTGTTTACTTGGTTTGACACAAGAGATTCTCTTAACATTTAGATAACATCAAACATTATTTGCTTAAATAGTTATTATATTTTTAAAACACATTAATATAATAATTTATTTTTTATGCTTTCAATTTAAGTTTGAATAATATATTTGTAAACTCATAAATTCCAAAAGTTTGTTAAAAATTCTTTATATTTATTTCATTACAAATATTTTCTCATTTTTAATTTTATGAATTATAAACAATTTAAAATTTTTGTTGTTTTGGAAAATGTTTAGCAATAAATAAATTTATTTAACATTTATTCTGTAGTTATTTAATAAATAATATCTAAAATTATCTTATTTTCAAATAAGATTAATATTAATCATATCTAATAGCTATTAAATGAGATAATCAATCAGTTTTTCTACTGGTTTTAATAATTTCTTATTGTAATTAATAATTACTATTGTTTTGTTGTCTTTTCAATATTGTTTTCAATAGTAAAATCAATATTAAAATATTTGTCAAATTGCTATTTCATACTCTTTCTAAAGTAATATAAAGTTATTATTTTAAAAATTACTACAAACATCATATACTGTATTAATTTAGTTATTTAATCCATGAATTGTTTTAGGAAACAATTTTTTATACTATAGTTTGTTGGAATAGATATTAAATTAAATACAGGGTTGCTAAAGGTTTTCGATCTCAGGGGTATAGGGTTGGGTTAAATGGCAAATATTTCGTAAAAGTTAGGCGATATAGGGTGGGGTGAAAACTTTTTATGCCATTTTTAACGACAAATTTTAGTAATTTCCTATAAATTCACTTAAAAATAAAAACATTCCTTAATACTCTCAAAATATTTTCTCAAACTAATAATATCTATTTTAACAAATGTTTAGAAAAAACGAAGTTTTTTGGATAATAAATATATTATATTTAATTCTAGAATCCCTATTCAAGAATCATAAAGTGCTATATGAGTGAAAATAAAACTAAAATATTAAAATTCTGTAAAATAATAAAATATTGGTTTAAATTTATTTGATTCAGAATTAGTATCAGAATTGTCTTAATAATTCCCAATATTATAGTATTACCGGATTTTAATTAAACATTTTATTACTATAAATTTATTACACATTTTAATAATTAATTTATACCTAATTAATAATACAGATTTTTTTATTGTTATTAATTACTCAAAAAATCTATTGTCTCCTTAAGTATTCATAAAGTTATTGACAAAAAATAAATTTAAAGGCCACTAACCAATGATTTGTTGTTATAACACATTTAAAAATTTTACGATATAACTATCTATAATAAAAATGAAACAAAAATAGACAGAAAAAGCATTTATATTAATTTATTAAATAAAAATTGTAAAATTTTATTAATAAAAATTGAATTAGACTGCAAATTGATGAACAATATATTGTATACAAAGTATGGATTTAATAAATCGCATTAATATTAATAAAATACTTGATAATACTTAAAACAATTTTTAATGCATTAACATATGAAGTAAACACAGAGTATATACTGTATTAAAAAGTATAATAAAAACAGTTAAATTAAATTATCTTTTTTAAAATGTTAACAGATATTCAAATTTTGTAAAAAACTAAAATATAATTCGAGAAAAGTTTTTTCATATATTTTCAATATTATTGAATTCATTTCTATCAAATATCGTCACATTTTCAAAGGTTGCGAACCTATTATTAATTAAGTGGAAAATAAACAAAAATTTCCTCAATTTCACTAAATATTACGTTGAAAAACATTTTTAAAATTTTTATTGTAGAATAATTTTAGAAACAATATTAAAAAATTAATTTAATAATTAGGAAAATAAAAACATAAAATAATAAATTAAGAGATCTTCATTTATTAATGTGTTTTATGTTAATTAAATCAAAATTAAACAATTTAAACAAATAATTTAGTGAATATACCGACAATTTTAGTCATATATATATATAATTAAACAAAATTTGAACTTTTCATCTGCAAAAAGCATTTCAAATCATCACATATTCCTATATTATTATTATTATTATATAAAGAAAATGACATATTTTATACTAAATTTTCAATGTATTTCAATGAGTGATATATTTTAAAAATGAAAATATTTTTGAATAGTTTGCAATAAATTTTCATTCTTATCTTATTTATGACATAAAAAGCATTAATTAAATTATAAACATATGATATTTGTTTATAAGAGTGATGTATAAATTTTTGAAAAGTTAAGACATTATAAATGTGTTTCATTTTTATGAGAATTATATTTATATTGTTTTTTTAACAAAATTAAAATATCTGTTACTATTAAAAATATTTGAATTTAACTACTTTTATGATATTTGCTAATAAATAAAGCTATTAATAACAAATTAAAATAAATCAAATATAAAACTTATTGTAAATATGTTAATAAAAAAATCATTTGGATGTTAATTCTGGTCACAATTTTTAGGGAATATTAAGGCTTAAAGATATGGCTTTAATTGTGGAAATGGATGGGAATTACCATTGTTTTATAAATCTATACATTTATAATACAAATACAATATTTGGAATTCATGGCAACAAAATCACAATATTCATTGAATGTTTAAATATATGTATATTAATGTAAATTTAATTATCGTATTTAACTAGAAATTTCTAAATTCAATTAGATTTAGTTCTCAAAAGTCAACAAATGTCCGACAGTTTAACAATATTTTAGATTATAATCTATAATAATGTATTGAATGTAACTAAATATAAATAATTTTTAAAAATATATAAAACAATTTTCAATAATAAATACTGTAAACTAAATGATAGAGCGATGACTTGACAAAACAGGACTAATAAAGATATGGCACTTATGTATAGAAATATGAAATTAAATAAAAATTTGTGACTTGTGTTGTGTGTTATGTATTATCACATTTTGTAACTAAAGCTGCAATAATTTTATCAAATTTATCAAACTTTTGGTCACTATTAACATTAGATCCGCGAAAACCAAACAGAAATTGTCGGTGAAATTCAGTTCTAAACATATCTGTCAGCAATTCCTCGAAGTGAACGCTGTTTAATACAATGTTTGCATTACGTCTATAAATAGTTAATTGTTTTTTAAATTGTGATCCAAACTCCAAGTGATTAACTATCTGTTGAAGACCGCAATCAGCCGACGTTTCCTCAAACCAAAGACCCAACGATTCCAATGATTGCTTCGGCGATAAGGGATTACAACTATCATCAGTGAAATCTTTTTGGTTCATTATATGGCAATGTCTTTCCATAATTTGTATTAATGTAAAAATAAAAGGAAATACTGTATTTGGAGCTGTAATTAATTAAGAATTTGTAAATAAAATAATTTCAAAACACAATTAAATTAAGTCAACAAACCGTGCGGTTCAGTGCATTCGGTCATTGATTTGAATTGTGGTCTTAAATTGGTTTCATAGATAATGGCATTATTGGTAAATCTTGTGCGAAGAAGAGCCCAACTAGACTTTAAAGCAGTGATTGCAGTGGTATTAAGCGCTTCCATAATCGTTGAAAATCCGAAAAGATTACCCAAAGCTGTCTTCACTTCGATTGCAATTTCAATCCATTTATTCAAAACTATAGCTCGACTTTCGTTATGAATTGTCGTTAATATTGAGATACAAATGAAATATTTCATACAATTATGTCTTTCCAATAAATCTAAACGCATTTGTTGTCCATTTGGTAAAAGAATTAATTCAAATGCAGAACCAATTCCTAGACTTTTCCAATGATTGACTTCTAAAAGCTTAATGAATTCAATATCACATTTAGTTAAATGATTGGCTAAAACTCGAGGTCCAGTATCTAAAAGAACTGATTTAATCTTAACAATAGCTGTCGTGTCTAACGGTTTATTGTCTTTTGGAAGTAAATATGTATGAAATGTTTGACTCTTTATTTGAGACAAAAGAGGTGGTAAAGAGACTTTCGTTTCACTGAAATCACAACTAACTTGTGACGAGTGCTCCGTATAATCATATAAATTGCTGCTATTATTATCTAATTGTTTTGGAGATACGTTTTCAGAGAAGAAAGCGCTGTCTTCTGAACCATTGGATTCATTCTTGTGTGAAGAATATCCACTGCATTGCGACATATTATCATAAGTTAGACTAATTGATGAAAATCTCTTCTCAATAATAGATTGGATGTCGTTAAGTGATGAAGAGTTGGTGATTATATTATTGGCGTCTAATTTATTGTGTTTTGGAGATCGATTTGACTGACCATCGATGACCATGTCTTCACAACAATTGAGTTCATTTGATTTATACTTCATATCAACTGATTGTTTGTCTATAAAACACATAAACAGTTAATAAATTACATTAAGATTTTAGACATCTTAAGATATACTTAGATATTCTTGAAGATCAGATAAAGGATGCAATCGATTGACAGGTGTTGTAATGACTGCCATTGAGGCCAAACTTATTGGCCGTTTGTTTCCGACATAATATGTGATTAAATTGGATATCGAGTCAAAGTAGTCGTCTTCAAAAGCATAGCCAACGGTCTGGTAGTCGGTGTTGGCGTTGATTAAGACTCGAGAAATGACAAAATGCAAAACATAACATCCATTTCTGGTGGACAACACGTACTCATCAGGTCTTGACGTACAGTTCCGCACCAAAAACTGACCATTTATTTCGAGTAATTCTTCGGCTTTGCATCGGCTGATGGATCCGTGAAACCATGCATTGGATCGCATGTCTGTCAGATTCAAAGACAACTCCCATTCAAGAAGTTTGCGCTTTAATTGTGATTCACTGTAATCACTGGTCATTATTTGATCATCAAATCAAACAATTGATCCAAACATATGGCACTCAATCACTATTTATATACTAATTATGAGCTAATCATTGCAATTGATGTCAAATCACAACAATTTGCTGACAATTATTAAATCAATTAATTGTAACTCAAGTTTCAATTCAATGCATTCCTAACACTATAGCTATAGCTTTGTATTCATTTCACTGTTTATTATACCTATAATTCCCAGATTGACTACAAATTGCAGATTTCAAAACATATTTCTAATTTCTAACAAATTTTTTTATAAATTAATAATTATTGTTCACTTTTGTTAACAAAAATAAAATAAATACTGTATTAATTAATTAATTAATAAACTCTATTAATTCATTGAAATATATATTTAATTTACTGTATAATAGGTTACATATAATAGGCGACGAGTTATAGAAATTTAAACTATTAATTGATTGAAAAATATGGTTAACTAATTCAGACAATACTTTAATATAAAAAATCAAAATAATGTACTTTAGTATTGGTCTGAATTAGTTAACCATAGTTTTCAATCAATTAATAGTTTGTATAACTCATCGCAATGTAACCTATTTTTATATATTAAATGTTTCAGAAAATATTTATAATTTTATAAGTATTATCTGATAAAATTATTTATAAACACTTTAACATTATCATTAAATCTGAGATAAAATTTTAATTATTAAAACAAAATATAATATTTTTCAATCTGTATTTTAATATGAAAAATGACTTTTAAAGTTGGAAACACTACTTATATTGTTTGTTATCAAATAGTTTTATGTCTCGACGTTATATTAATTATAATAAATTATAACTAATAAATCCATTATCTCTAATATTGAAATTTTGAAATTATCATTGAAATAGCAAATAACAAATTGGATTAACTTTTATTTATATAAAAACTGTTATATAAAATGTATATTATATATGCAATTTCATACTGTATTCAAATATGTTAGAAATGGCACAAAAAGTTTTATTATGTAATAAAACAATTTATTTATAATAATATATGTATTGTATTACTGTATTATAATTGTTATAAAGTTTGACATTAGAAAAGATAATCAGTTATTGCAATAAGTTATGAGTATTTGTTTGGTATTATATATTCAGAGAGTGTTTGAAAGCTATAATTAATGCAATAATCGTTGTATTTGTTGAATGAAAATGATTTACATTATTATCATTACATTTAGTATTCAATCATTGAGTAATAAATCACTGCTTTATTGTCACTCAAACTGTATTGAAAACAATTCAATTATGACGTCATTGATGGCCTGTATTGTTGACTATAACTGTTGACTCATTATAATGTCATTGAATTCTATTAATTAACTAATCATTCGATTGATTTAAATCTTGGAAATCAATAATCAAAACATTTAAACAAAATATACGAATAAATCAATTGCCGAACAAATGAATGGAAAATCATAGGAATAGTGAGCTATAGTTTGTATGCAATAAATGGTGTTTAGTGTATGAGTGAGTCATGAATGCCATTATTAATGATATTATGGTTACTATTTGAGAGCATATACTGTATGTCTGAATGTTTTGATGTCTGATTTCAACACATTCTTTGCCATTCAATTGCAAGACATGAATGACCACCGATGACAGCGACCATTGGTGTTGATTGACATCGCAGTGATTGTTCATCACTAATAACATGATGTCTTCTTTGGCCCGACGAATGGCCACTTCCTCACTATGCGGTGCTTCACAGACACAACACTCTCCCAACACATCGACAGCACTTCCATATCCAACACGAATGGAAAAGTATGTCTTATTCTCTTACAATTGACCACTCATTTCACTGATTGTCACGTTTTTTGTCACTTAAGAGTCAAATTTGGAACACCATTGGAGAGCGTTTGCGGCGCTCATAATGACATCCCGGGACCACTTCTAGTGATGATTCTTAAACTGAATAAAGAGGCGCCCTTTAAGAAGGATGTGTTTCGAGCTCCGGGACATCAGGCAAACATGAAAAAGTTGATACATTTCCTTCAGGTATTTCCCTTTTGAATACATGTAAACAAAAGTCTTATCTTTTGATTAAATGTGTATTTTTTTGCTAAATTATCACAATTTAATTGATATGAAGAGCGAAGTTCAGTCTCTTTGTTATCAAACTTCTGATAATTAATGTTTTGATTGATTTGTTTATTATAAAGAACGGCCGTTTGGTTAATATCGATAACTATTCTGTTTATACCATTGCTTCCGTTCTCAAGAAGTTTCTTCGAAAGTTGCCGTCCGGTGTCTTCGGAACAGAACGCGAACAGCGATTGTTTCAGATTATTGAGTGGGAAAATGTCGAAGAAAAACGTCAAGAAATACATAGGTTTTAAACCATATTTGATTCAAACAATTGCCTTATAATTACATTTGGGTTCTTAGGATACTGACATCACTGCCAGTTGTCACACAACATCTTCTGGTGCTTTTGTTTGGTACCTTCCGAGCGATGGCCACCTGTTCAGAGCGGGCCAGCACTGGTATGACATCGGAAGCAATAGGCGTATCAGTGGCGCCGAGTTTTTTCCATTCATGTGTTCAGGACGGCAGCAAATTTGCCCGAATGGAAGACGTCCAGAGATTTAAGGTATAATCACTAAATTGTATAATTAGTTTGTATTTTCATTTAAATCGCTTTTATTTGTTAAAACATTGCATTTATTTTATAAACCGTATTAATTAGTAATTAATAACATATCGATATATAATACCAGTAATTAATAATTTGATTTTTATTTTTTGCTAACTCAATGGTTATTTGTTTTATATAAACCTATTTTTTAAATTATTCATTGGTACTATTCTTTAAGCATTTTACAAGTTATTATTTTTAATTACGGTTTAAAGTGTTTGGATTTATTTGATTTAAACGATAATATGTTAACAATTATGATTAATAATATAAAAGCTATAATACAAATGTAATTAATGAAAGCATTTAATTAATTAACCCATTTTATCCTTCATTGTAATCACAACTAATTGCATTGCATATAATACCTAAACTCACATAAAGGCACAAATCGCGGTAAGTCTGACCTCTATTTCTCATAATTTGATTTGGTTTTGGTTTTAAATTATAATTTTGTTGATTTGCATTATTTTTAATTTTCTAAAATTATTTTTTGTTGATTTTTTTGAATGCCATAAATTGCATAAAATAAATGCATGAATAGATTGTTAATTGCTTGGCTATTATTCGGGTCTTTTTGGATTATGACTTAAATTAATTTTTGTTTTATTAAACTATTGTTTTTTATTATGAATTTATACACAAATAGGTGGCCACAACTATAATGAAGTTTTTGATCGACAATTTTGGTGTCTGTAATCTATTTGGAAGAGATAATTATGAATATTACGCCCGAATATCGGGTCGAGTGCTCAAAGTGGAGGAAAACTGGATTTTTGCGTTCAAATACCCGCCCGACACACAACATAACACACGTATGTCTCTTATGTTGTGATTATTTGTCTTTTTTGACAATTATTTTTGATTTAATATTATAAACATTTATTTTATTGAATGCTTTACTTTGAATGCTTTCAAAACTTATTTTCATTGAAAATCTTAACTTATTTTTCAATTAATTGCTCACTAATTAAATGATTAAAACATAAACTTTAAAACAAAATAAATAATGAAAGGCAAGACCTCATTGGACTCGAGAAGTGATTGGCTTAACTGTAAATCACAGTTATGGGGTCTGCCATCAATGGCCACAACTCGGCTAAAAGGTTTGCCTTAATTTGACTGTCGCTGCCATTCATGACATTACTGTTTGTTCGCAACTTTGTTTAATTTATTGATTTTCATTTCAAATTATGCTTTCGATTATATTTTTGATCAAAATTTTAGTTTTTATAAAATTTTGCAAAATTTCGATTCTATTGTAAACTTGTTTCTACTTAACAGCCATTTCTTCATCAGAAGAGTGTCAGAGCTCACCAACACTTTGTACGAGTGGTAGTTCGTCAGTGACTGTTCCACCTCTGTCTTCGGTACATATGATTAACCAAAACATTGAAGACACTTACGCCAGACTTAGTATGTCTTTAGAAGAAACCATTTTTAAGGTCTGTTTTATTATTTATTTCCAAAATACAAAATAACATTTGATTTCTTTGTTTAGTCGCATCATTCATCACCCAATTCACCGCAAACTATAGTAATGATGCATCAAAATCAACAGACATCACAACCACAACAAACACAAGCGATGGTCACCGAAGAGGCGCTCAATTTAGACGATCTCAAGTCTGTCAACCGATACGCCGAAAGTACAAAATCGCTCACATTTTTGCCGATTGTTCACGAAAGACAAACTCAACGCATGAAAACTCGATCCGAATGGTTTCTCAATCCGGATAATGGTTTGTGTTTTCATATTAACCATTGATTGTCTAATTTTTCGCTCATCAGAAGGTGTTTCTTCATCGCATTCGTTCACATCTTCGACCACTACAGCCAACAATAGAAAATCAGTCGACCATTCGTTGTCCTCATCGATGTGTGGTTCTTCAGTGAAACAATTGGTGCGAAGGACTTCATCCAAAGAAAAACGATTAGTTCGGCGCTCGTCGTCTAAGAAGGACAAGGAAAATGGTAGCGAACATAAAACACAACACACGAGTGGCACCAATAATGGCTTTCAATTGTCGGCCTCAAGTGTTAGCAATTCTGATGCAAACCAATTGGTCACTAATCAGACTTCCATGTGCTCCGAGTCTGAATCAACCGATTGTGATGTCCAGCAAAAGAATACAACAAATACAACGCTCATATATAAGCCTCGAATATAACATTGTTTTCATAACATTTGTTTCTATTAAGAAAGTGATAACAAAATTAAGAATTATTATAAAATTATTACACACTTTACAGTATATATATATTTAAGATTTCAAGTATATTTAGATTTAATGTTTTAATTATTTGTCTTAATTTCTTTCCAGTCTTTTTCTATGAACGGAACAATTTTTATTACAATTTTGTATTTAATTTTTTTTTAATTTTCACTTTTTCATTCATTTTTCTATAAAAATCAATTTATTAAGAATAATATGAACTGTTTGATAGCTAATAATAATTGTATTAAAAAAAGGTTTTAATTAAAACAATATTTAAGAGATTATATAAATTTACTGCCATTTTAGTGAAGCTATCATATAATAGTAAATTTTATATTGGAATTAAACTTTTCTAATAAAAATGTGTTATTAATAATAAAATTGTGATAATTTGCTGAATATTACTCTATTAACTGACATAAAAACAACAGTAGTTGTGGTAAATCAAAGTCAATTCAATAACATTAGTTTACGTCAAGAGTTTGGTTTCATTTTATTTTTATTTTATCGGTAATCGTTTACCGAAAAAAATGTAAAAATCATTTCAATTACCGGTATTTAAAAACAACAAACTTTGAAAAATTATTTGACAGAAATCACAATAAATTAATTCATCTTTAGGTCAACTTTTGGGTGACTTTGAAATGCAAAAGACATCTTTCTGTGTCCTTTCTCGCGCACTCTTTTCCAACATATCTTCGAACGGATCCTCATTGTCTGATTCGTTATATTTTAAAAATTCGTCACTTTTATCATAATTTTCAATCTAAACGCAAAATTAAGATAAATTAAGAGAATATAAAACAAGTATAAAAACAAGACTAACTTTATCCAAGAGATCAACAGAATTGAACTCATTTTCATCACAAGTTGTGTCCAATTGTTTGCCACAAATTTTGGTAAATAATTCTGAAGGCGTCATAATATCATTCAAACAGCGTTTAGCAAAAAACTAATTAAAAATATATTAAAATAAAACCAAAATAACAAGTAATAGACATACTTTGCAAATGTTATTACAATCTCTCCACAAGAACTTAAAAGCCATGGGATGTGTTGACAATACGGCTTGTGAGACATCAATACACCAAAGTTTGTTTTCGTGCCACAAGAGGTTGTATTCACTGAAATCCGAATGAATTAAATTGCAATCTTTAAAGAGTTTGCATAACATGTCGACCGTCTGTTTCCACGCCCTTTCCAGCAGTTCTTCATTCAGATTCGCTTCTTTCAAAGTGGGCGCCGCTTTGCCATCGCTTCCAATGAATGTCATCACCAGAACGTGTTTCTTAAGAATCAATACTTCGGGACACGGAATTCCGTTCTTTCGAATTCGGTTCTAAACAGAAAGTGTTAAACCGTTTGAAAAGATGAGAAAGTGATGGAAAGCAATGAAAACGAACCAAATTATGCATTTCCTTCTCCGCCCACAAAGGAATCATAAACTTTGGGTTTTGTTTCGACAGTTTTCCCGTTTGATGTAAAACCGGATCATTTCCTATATATTGCACGCGATTTCTGAATTCATTCAAATACGTCTTGAATATTTTGACGGCAACTTCGGTATGAGTTATGCCCTTTTCGGTCATGGATCCTCTGCCATGAAGAACAACTGATTCCTTTCCGGTAGCGATGACGCCATTAATGGTGTCCAAAATGCCGCGATTCATGAGTTTGAAGACAAGAATTCGACTTTTTTCGTCCAAAACCTTCTCTGCGGTCGACTTTTCCTTCTTGTCGTGCAATCGAGCCATTCGTTTGCCTTCACTTTAAGTCAATTCAATTCAAATCAAAACAATTTCAATCAAAACAAAGCCATAAATACCTAATGGAATGGACTTTCAGTGCATTAAAGACATTGTTATTGAGTTTCATATCGAAACCTCCGCCGTCGCCGGTCTTCAGCTCGAAGTCCATTGCTTTGCAGGCATTCTTGCGCGCCGTTGTCTCTAAATCGTGTTTTGTGGTCACAATTCCATTCTTGACGGCGAATCCCTGACGACCCACTTTCACAGCCATTCGTTGCGATTTTTCAAACGAATCCCAATGTTTGGATTCTTCTCCGTATTCGTGGAAATCGTCGTCAGAGTCTTCAGAATCGAAAGACTCGTCTTTCACTCTTCGATACAAATCATAAGATATGCCAACCTTTGGATGAAAACAATCAGTCATTCATTCATTCATTCATTGAAAACATTGAAAAACCTTTGAATTTTGATTAAACTTTTTCTCCTCTTTCTTCAGATTGTGATCGTGTTGTCGATCGAAATCGTGTTGAAGAATATGAGCCAACAGTTCATCGCAAGAAGTGTCACTTCTGTCAACAATTTAACCACAAATCAAATGACAATCAATCGATAATCACTTTTAATACCCGTTTGTATTCTCAAGAAGATTCTGGACTTGACTTACGTCAAGACCCGACTCTGCCATTAATTTTCTTATATTTTCGTTGTCTTCAAGACCTCCGATTGCACCGATATCTTCACTAAACGAGTTCACGTGTTGGGTATCCAATTGATTGGCCAACTCTTCGGACATGACGTCATTCAGTGAAACAAAAGACACTTCTTTGGCGTTATTTGGATCCAAATCACTCTTCAGTTGACTGATGGGATCTTCTATTGATATCGACGGACGACTCACTAATTGAGACCAACTTTTAGACGTATTTGAAGCCATGGATGACTTAATTAGTTGACAATAATTGAGAAAAGAGTTCAACAAAAGTGAAGACAATTTTGACGAATGAAACGATTGAAAGAAATTTATTTAATTCTCAAAATATTTTCAATATTTATAGCAATGTTTCGATGAATTCGTCGACAAATCGTTGTTTGCATTCATTTATTATTGCATTCAAAGCGAGACATCTATTGCTTTCAATTGTTGTTGAATTCAATAAATTGAATGTAATTTCGATTAAATCTTTAGAATTAATGCCTTTTTATAAATAATATCTAAATATTTAAATCAAATCTCATATCAATTGGTTTTAAAAGTTATTGAATTAAATCAAATTTATTTACAATCCAAGGTATAAATGCAAAAATGCAAACTTCGAAATAACACGTCGATTGCCATTTTCATACTTTTGTCAAAAACATCTATAAAACATAATATTACCAAAAAAATGGTGACAATTGATCCCAAGGACGGGTGTTTGGGATCAAAGTTTGCATTTTTGCATTTATACCTTGGATTATAAATAAATTTGATTTAATTCAATAACTTTTAAAACCAATTGATATGAGATTTGATTTAAATATTTAGATATTATTTATAAAAAGGCATTAATTCTAAAGATTTAATTAAATTTAACTTTACTTTAATAATTATTTTAATTACAAAATCTTAGGAAAACTTGAAAACTATTTATTACTATTTGGACAATAAATTAATACTAAAATCAATTGAAACATAAAAATATCCACTTTTTAATCATTTTATTAGTTTTATTACACAATTATAAATAAATGGTTAGTTTTTGGAAAGTTTAGAAAAACTTAATTTATGAAAATTATAATTAGTTTATTAATAATAATTATAAAATGTTTGGATTAATGAGTAATAAATAAGATGTTTTGCAATCACTCATGAATTCAGTTAAATGAATGTCTAAATCAGTTAACACACGGCAATTGAACGTAACGTAAAGCGAATCCTAATTTCAAACAAAATTCATTATTAATTAATTCAATCGTTTGATAATTACTAACCGTTTTGTGAATGTCTGGCATTTTCCGTTTGATCTGAGTTTGACCTGACTTTCAGTTGGAATGGTTTGGATCGGGCTGTGGGGTCAGTAAGCAATCGATTGTCAGATTGAAAGCACAGGTATTTCAACAACAAATGACTTACAAATGACTACATTGTTGTAGAAGAGTCGTCCGCCACAAAACCTGTCTTCTCCGGCACCACTTCCTTCTTGAGATCCCTGATCAATGCCAACGTAGTCGTCGTCATTGCAAAGACCGCCCGTCAGTCCCAAATCGGAGAACGAGACGTTTCCGGTGCTGTAAAGCGGGTCATTGGAAGCGCCCCAAGAAAACGAGTTTTCCGTTTCTGTCATCCATTTTATGGCACAAAAGTTTTCTTCGACGCGAATACAAGACGTGTACCGCAAGTTCGACAAATACCGCGATTTGTTGTCCACCTATTGTCGCAAAAATCAGTTAATCTTTGAAATCATTGAACTTTGCATTACTTTTAGTCCGTAATTGAAAGATCGAATCACATCTGATGGAAGTCTATAGTATTGAAGACAACCCGACGGAGCCATCACATAGTTATTGCACGGAATCAACGAAATCTTTATCTTCCATTTCCGCGAAAAGTCGATGTCGTTTGTGATCACCGAAAGAACCACTGGATTTCCCGATCCGCGACCCATATCTACGTACAAGTGCTGACCTTTGTTTTCACCGCAAAGCATTGGCAGTCTTTCGCCGACAGTTGTTCTGACCATAAATGAGTCTTTAGTACATCTGCCGTAATCATCGGGCGGAGAAAGACTGAATTCCTCTAAATCTAAAGACAAAAATAGAATCAAAGGTTGGAATCGAATTGGTGTCCAAACAGTGACAAACCTAATCTCAATTGGCAGACGTCGGGAGCATTCTGAATGGTCACTTGACAAGTGTTGGTTCCGTTTTCTCCCATTGGATACGAAGGATTCACAAAAAGCGTTTCATTGCTCGACGTCTTTCCCGAACACGTGAATTTAAACGTACAACACGTGAGACCACTGCGTCCACACTGACCCGAACCTGTTCCGCCTCGAGACCGACAATCGGTTTCCGAGAGACACGTTCCGGCGTCGCCCACATCGGTATTACACGGAGTGTTCTGCAGACGAATCGGTTGGAAAATGTTGGAAACGGGTCGCCAGAATTGACGACTCGTGGCGTTTGTCGCTTGACTTTGATCCAAACAATGAATCAAAAAGACAAACAAAATGACAAATTGCGGACCCATTTCTGGTGATCGAAAGACATGAAAATTAAAAACTTTAAATTCAAACAAACGATTCAAACTTACTATGGATTAGAAATGCTAACAAATCTATAGAAAATTCTGAGTCTTCCGACTCTTCTCTCTAATTGAAGTCTGATTTATAATCAACTAAAAGAACACGTCTTACGACAAGAACCTACTCTTCAATTGGATGTCTTTTGTGACTTTGCGGAAGTATTGCATCAAAACAGGTCATCAACCGATTAAAAGAAGTCTTGAGATAACAGTTTATATAATATTTTAAATTTAAAGTTCAAGTTTTCAATGAATTTAAACAATATTCGGGTTTTTATTAACAAAAATTCATTAAACATTTTTTGGCAAAAACTAGTTTTGAAAACGCGATAAATAATAAAACTTAGTTTAAGTTCAAGGTTTGGATTTTAGTGAACATGACTGACATATTTCTGACCTAAATATCACAAAAATAATAAATTCTTCTAAATTTTTATTATTTCTTAAGTTTTCTCACGTCTATTGACGTCATTTAAAATCACCAAAAATTGTTTATTTTAATGTTATTTCCTTTATATAGAATTTATTTCTTTTTTGAAGATTATTTGACAACAGTTTGTCATTCAAATGCCGGACATTTAGAAATTGAATCCGAAATTTTTAATTACAACCAAAAACCTATTTTTAATTCTAATGTTTTATAGATTGTATACTTTGTATCAAAACATTTAACCAATTTTTAGACAATCTTTTTAAAGGTTTTCTTTTATTTCTTTTAGTTTTTTTGGTAATTATTAAAACAATTTTACAATAAATACTTGAAACAATTGTAAACATTCTAATAATTTAGTTTAATAGACATTAAAACAAATTGCTGAGTCTTAGTCTGAAAATTAGTTTCAAATTGTGTTTTATTTAAAATCCAGGATTTAAACAAATTTTCTAAATTAAAACTTATTTTATCAAAAATTAGAAATGTTTACAACTAATTAAGGTTTAGTGTCGACAGAATAGTTGAACAGTTCATATTATAGGCGTATTTATTAAATATCCATTAAATTAATGTTAGTATAAAAGCATTATTTGATTTTTATTACAATTAGGGAGTCATTCAGTTATAATTATCAAAAGTAAGTAATAAAACACACATTTTTTAATTGAATATATTTTTATTAATTCATAATTTATTACAATTTAAAGTATAATAAATTAATCAATAAGTTAATGACTTTAAGATAATAAATATGTGAGAACTGAAATAAATAAAATTTCAATGACTGTTAATAAGAAAATTGTTGTCTTTTGTCTTATTTTTTACAATTAAAAAATTTTCTAAATTTGAAGAATATTCTGTAGGATTTGTGGGAAATATTCTGTACAACTTGTTTGTCAATTAAGTGTTGTTTTATATAATAAACTCTATATTAATATTTAGTGTTTCAGATGTTTTGTGTGTTTTATAACATCTTTAGTGTTATATTAAGAAAGCGTTGGAAAGTGTTGTCAAATGTAGTGTCAAATGATGTGAAATAAATTAGTTGAAAATCATTACTATTTGTTCTAATATTTGTAGTTGTTTTCAGATAACACACGGAAGTTGAACGTAACGCAGCGAAAAACCTAATATAAACATAATTGTCAATCAATTAATCAATGAATGAATCAAACAATGAATACATACCGTGCTGTGCATTTTCGGCGTTTAATTTTTGGTCACTATTTGAACGAACTTTAAGTTGAAAAGGCTTAGAACGAGCTAACAATCAAATCAAACAAACAAATCAAATAAATATAAATATCGATTGATATTTGACTCACAAATAATGTAATCGTCTTCAAGAAGTTTTGTTCCGCAAATCCTGTCTTCTCCCGGACCGCTCCCTTCAGCACTTCCCTGATCGATGCCAATGAAATCGTCGACATTGCAGAGTCCGCCACTCGCGCCCCTTGAGGTGAGATTGCCTTCGAAGGGTGCGCCCCACGAGAAGGACGAAAGAGTGTCAGTTTCCCATTTTATTGAACAAAAGTTCTCTTCGACTCTAACGCATGACGTGTATCTCAAGTTTGACAAATATCTCGCTCTTCCTTCCATCTGAAGATTCAAAACAATCAAACTCTCAGTCCTTTCGGTCTTCAAGTCTTACCGGTAATCCGTAATTGAAACTCTGGACGACAGCCGACGGCGACCGGAAGTACTGAAGACATCCGGACGGCGCCATGTCCAGATTATTGCACGGAATCATATTGATCTTGATTTTCCATTTGCGGCCAATATTGTTGCCGTTCGTGACAACGGACAGAACGACTGGATTGGCTGATCCGCGGCCCATATCGACGTAAACTAGAGTCAAAGGTTAGAAAAGGGAGAATAGTTTGAAGTTGGGTTTCTTACGGTGTTGATTGTTGTTATCGCCGCACAAAATGGGAAGTCTTTCGCCAACAGTTGTTCTGACCATAAAAGAGTCTGTAGTGCACTGACCGTTTTCATCGGGTTGAGCCAAAGAAAACTCCTCAAAGTCTGTCAATTGAAAGTGTTATTGAAATTGATTGAAATTGATTGAAATTGATTGAAATTGATTGAAATAGTTTGAAAAAGCAAACCGAGTCTGAGTTGACAGACATTTGGCTGTTTATCAATCGTGACTTGACATGTATTTGTTCCGTTGTCTGTTCGCGGAAACAAATTGTTCACAAAAATGGTTTCGTTTTCTTTGGTTCGTCCGCCGCACGTGAACTTGAAATTACAACAGGAGGCGAATCCTGAGGCACAGGTGCCGTCCGGAGTTCCCGAACGAGTCAAGCAGTCGTTTTGTGCCAAACAAGTTCCCGGAGTATTCGACTCTGTATTACACGGACTGTTCTGATATCGGATTATCGCAAAGATGGCCGGAATGGACGGCGGTCTGAAGCTGGACTGTCCCAAGACCACAGTTACCAAATAAAGAGCCAAAAAGACAAACGAAGGACGAATCTGTGGACAATTGGATGAGTTTTGAACATTAGTTGGAAAATACAAACCATTTTAGTTGTGATGTGTTGTAAGCAAAGCTCACATTTGACAACAAACTCAACAAAACTCCGCCACAAACTGATAGACCCGGAAATAGCGACTCATCTCTTATATAACGGGTCATTGGCTGCCTTCAGGACCGGTCTATCACTGCACGGAATATCACTACTCGACATCACTGTAAGCACTCTTAGCCCTAAAGCTATGCAATCGTTGATCAGGTATTCAGAAATTTGGTTTTCTAGTTGTGGTTTGGATTTGAGTTGAGTTTGTGTTTGTGTCAGTCATCCTATGATTACTGACAACTAAATTATAGTCTTTATTACTTGTAATCATCGATAAATAAAAGTAAAAGTTGTTTTCAAAACATGACTAAAACATTGTGTTTCTATATTTAGGTCTTTAGTCTAATTTTGTTTTTTACTAATTATTTTAATTCAAATCAAATCAAAGCAGAAAACGTTTAATAATCTGTTAAATCATTTCTAAATTCAGGTTTTTTCAAGTTTTTTAACATAAATGATAAACATTTTAACAAAACTATTATATATTGCAGTCATTCAACTAATTTTAAATCTTGTTTTTTCTCTAATTTCTCTGGATTTCAAACTTTACACAAATTTGCTATTTCTTAACGCAATTATTTAAAGTCATAGAAAAATCATGAAAAACTCGATTAAGTATTAAAATTCGTCAAAAAGTAATCTTTTTATCAGAATTTGGTTTTTATAAAAGTATTTAATTTTTCAAAATAAAGAATAAAACATTTATTATTGATTTAAAAAAAGTTATTTAAATATAAATCAAATAATTAATTAGAAAAACTATTTTCTAAACACTTGTAGTTTATTTGAAAACATAAATAGCTTTAAAACCTTTGAATAAAGTTTTTGTCAATTGAATTAATCTAAAATTAATTTATTATAAATTTAGTTTAAAAGTTGAAAATATAAGCAATAATTGTCAGAGAATTGAAAAGTTGTAATAATTGTGATAAAAAACAAGTATTTGTTTGAAAGTATTTGATTTGTTTTGAAAAGTTGACATAAATTTGTGAAAATGTGTATAAATATTGTTAGAAAACAAATATAAATTCAAAGCATTGAATGGTATTAAATAAGGAAGTGTTTGAAGCAGTCTTTTGGAGAGCTTTTTAGCTAAAAAATGATTTGTTATCTGAAAGCCCTCGACCTTCACCTCTAAGCGCTTAATTGACGCCAAAAACGGCAACAGATTTGCCGTTTTGTAGCCGTAGTGTCTGTCTGTGGGCCCTCTCCTCAAAGCTCATCCTATGACTGCATCATTGCCTGAGGCGTTAACCTAACCTAACGTTGGATTTCCGGGTTTTTGTGCACAACTGTTACACAACTTTACAAACATTTTCTGTAAACCATTGAACACAAAACAAAGTCCGAGAAATGAAACTTTTAATTGTTTAATCAAAAAACCCTTTTTCTCATCCATTTTTCACCAAAAAAAAGGTATTTCTCAACATTTCTAAACAAAGTTTTTAAAGCTTTTGTCAATATTTCAGATATGAATCAGTTATTAGTGATCTGTGTCTTGACTCTGAGTGTCTGTCCTCTTCGGTCACAACTGATTCGTCCGATTTCTATTCCCGGAATATTCTCAATGATTCGCTTCCAGAATACTGTCTGTAATGGAGATAACGAAGAAGGAGGAACGTGTCTCTATGAGGTATTTATCACATTATATATCTCTGTCTTTAATCTTAATCTCTCAACAGAACGAATGTCTGTCGAGAAAAGGTCAAGTGATTGGTCGCTGTGCTAACGGTTTCGCCGCCTGTTGTTCCTTCAAATTCACGTGCAATGGAGAGACGTCGCAAAACGAAACATTGTTTGTCAACAAACAATATCCCGACTTCGAGAACGAGACCAACACATGTCAGGTGACAATCAAGAAGTTGCCGAATGTCTGCCAATTGAGATTAGGTGAGACATGTTCTTCTCTTTTCAGTCTTTTCACTGTTTTGTTCGTAGACTTCGAAGAATTCCAATTATCACAACCCGATGAAAACGGTTTCTGTACGACCGACTCTTTTATGGTCAGAACTACTGTTGGCGAACGTCTGCCTATTATTTGCGGCGAAAACGGCGGACAACACAGTTCGTGAGCAGACATTTGGCTTCGGTTTGGATTTTAATTGTTTTTCTGTTAGTTTACGTGGATATGGGCCGTGGATCTGCTAATCCCGTCGTTCTGTCCATTGTCACGAATGGCAACCGTTCTAATCGCAAATGGAAACTCAAGATCAATATGATTCCCTGCAATAATCTGGACATGGCGCCGTCCGGTTGTCTCCAGTATTACCGGTCGCCGACGGATGTCATCAAAAGTTTCAATTTCGGACCGAAAGTAGGTTTTTATCGCAAACAAGACTTTTTATCTAACGTTGTCTTAGATTGAGTTCAGAGCGCGGTATTTGGCGAACTTGAGATACACGGTTTGCATCCGAACTGAAGAGAACTTTTGTGCCATAAAATGGGAAACAGCGGAACCGGGATCTTTCCTATTCGGAGCTCCCTTTGAAGGTTTGCCGATTTCGCCAATAATTGTTTGCAAATTGTTTGTTTGTTTTGTAGGAAAAGACACCGAATTCGGTGAGTGTTCGCATCCCTTTCCTTTCGTACCTTTGAATTCGGGAAAATCGGGCAAAAAGTTGTCTTCAGAGTCAGTATTGCCGGGTGTAATGCCTGCAGAACGCGATCCTCTGTTTCCCTCCAGAATATGCAACGGTTAGACATTAAAAGCGTCAAAAGATTTTTACTAATGTTTGTCTTCTTCTTTGAATAGGAGGCGCAAGTGGACAGTTGTGCAATTTTGATGACTTTGTTGGTATAGACCAGGGATCTCTTGAAGGAACGGGACAGGGAGAGGACAGGTTCTGCGGAGCAAAACTATTGGATCACGATTTTGTCATTTGTAAGCATTGATTGGTTGATTGAATGTTTGAATTAATTGATTGTTTGATAGCGCGATCAAAACCGTTTCAATTGAAAGTTCGTTCAAATGGCGATCATTTCAATAACGCCTTTAACTCACAAATCGGTAATTGATTTAAACAATCATTTGAGCGTAAAAAACGAGTATTTCTCACGAATTTGTTTCTATAGGTTATGCCATGCGTTACACTCAACTGCCGTGTGTTATATAATAATTATAATAATTCAATCATTTATTTATTAATTCATTTAAATAACTATTCATTGAATAAATTCGACAAAAGAAACTTAAACTGTGATATCTTTGATCACAGAAGACATCACTTGATATCACACTTAAGTTTCTTATTTGTCTTTAATTTCCATTTTTTATAACAAATCAATATTTGCTTCAATTATTTGATTACAGTTTCAAAATAAGAGCTCAAAAACACTAAACTTTTATTAATTAATCGATGAATTGGTTTTCATTCATTTGAATGTCGTTTTCGTTGTTTTCTTTGAATTCGCTTTTCTTCGTCGTCTTGACGCCATTGTCGCGACTCTCGTATCCGTCTAGAGATCCCAAATACTTGCCTGCGTTGTCCTCGTCAGCCATGGTCTCCATTCCCGACGCCGAATGCTCGAATGCGCCGAAGTTGTGTTGATGGTCGTGATGGTGGACCACGTGATGGCCGTTCCTTAATCCGACACTTAATCCCGGTTTTTTGCATTCTTTGACAATACTTTGAAATTGATTAAAAGTAGGAAAAGTAGTTTAGAAGACTTGACTTACTAGATGGGAATATAACGCGGTTCTTCGTGGATCGGGATGTACTCCTTGTGAGCGGGAATGTTGTCGTAGTGGTGGACGTCTTTGGATTCCTCTTTGTCGTTCAGTAACGACGCTTTCTTATGACCCAAAAGAGCGCCCACAAGAAGACCTTTGAGGAATGATTTGGCCGAAGAACACAAGACAAAGACCAACGAAAGGACTATAAGAAATCGGATTAATTTTAATGCAAACATTTCCACAGAAGTTGTGATCAAATAAAAGTGAAATCATTTTTGAAGTCAATTAAAATAGTTGTGAAAAATGCAGTCATTATTGAAAAGGCGTTTCTTTCGCTAATTATTATAATTTCAATCCATTTATAGATTTATTATTCAATAGTTTATTGACTTTAAATCATTATTTAATTAATAGTTTATTTAATTCCGAATTAGGAAGAGATTATTGAAAACATCGTTCAAATAATTAATTGATTGAGAAATTAATTAAAGCTTTAATAATTGATTGAATTAATGGTTCTTTGAATCGATAATAATAATTGGGTGTTGTCTTTGTCTTTGTCTGTCTTTGTCTTTGTCTGTCTTTCCTTTTGTCTCGTTTTTAAATAAATCTTTTGAAAACAATTAAAGCGATAAAAACTATATAAAAGTCTTTCGATTTCTGTTTTCAATTCATTGTTTCGGAAAATGCTTTCAAAAAACCTTTTGTTTCTTTGTTTTTTGCTTTTCGTCTCGATTTCCATAATTGTCGCGATGGGAGACAAAAAGTTTCTCAAAGGACTCATTTTCGGCATTTTGTTGGCCCGGGGAGGGCTTCAAGGCGGCGGCGGCGGTGGTGGTCAGTACGGTGCGTCCGGACCGATGCCTATTCCCATTCCGTAAGTTTATTTGAACTCTTGTTTCTCAAAATAGCTTTTATTGTCTTTGTCTTTCAGTTATCCCGCTTATCACTGAAGAAACATTTCTTTAAACAATTCAATCAAAAGTTGTGCCAATTTTTATCAATTTTTATAAATTTTTATCAATTTCTGATGTTTTATTCGTTTATATCTTTTGAAATTCAATAAAAACTGTTTTAAATTTTGTTAATTTATTAGATTTTATTAAATTTGTCGTCAATTATAGCGAAATCTTTGTAGAAAAAGATCTCTGGAATATCTATAACACTTCCAAATCATTGGCAAAACAAATCTGATCTCAAATGACATGACTTTTGTGTAAAAATTAATAAAATATTATTAATAATAAAATAACCGAATCTTTTGTAAAGTTTTTCTACAATAAAATTAATTGTTTTTATCGAAAAAATATTTAAAATTTAAACCATTTAAATCCGAAATCTGTAAAATAATTCATAAGATTTTAAGAAAACTTAATTTACTGTAAAATATTATAAATCGATTGATATTTCATTTGCAATAATAAAACAAATTTTCTGTTAAAATCTGTAATACTTTTAAAGTTTATACAAAAAACGCGAATTTAATTGAATTGTTTTTTGGGACTAAAATCCTCTCTAAATATAATTAATTTGATTGTGTTTTTGGAATTTAAACGTATTTTTTATTTGCAATAATTGTTTTGAAAAAATTAGTTTTATTTTCGATAATAAATAAATACAACAATTGATTAAATGACTAAAAGTATAGATAATAAACACGTGATAATTGATAAGCAGTGTTGCGATGCATTTGCAGAACTGTTTTAACCAATGATTGCTTCGATAGACTGTTATCTATGACTAAAAGGGCACTTCTTTGAATAGGGAACCGATGGACTCGCGATTGTGATTACGTCTAATGGCTTCGGCCATGAAATGAGATATCTGTTGATTAAAAAAGTAGTCAACAGAAAGACAAACAAATCGACAACTTTTGACTTTATTTTTGGAAATTTCTTACTTTTTTTTGTAACAAAATGTGATTATTTTTAAGCAAAACATTTCATGCATTAATTATAGACTAAATTGTTGTAAAAATTGGTCAAAACTTGATTTAATGACAAAAATAATTATCAAAAAAAACAATTTTTCTGTAATATTAATGGAATGTAAATAATTGTTCTAAAAATAGACTAAAAATTAATTAAAAAGCAATTAAAAGCAGAAATGCGTTATTAATTGGCGATCAGAGACAGACAGACAGCCATTACTCTCTTATTATGTCTACAATGTCTACATCGGGACGTTTGAGAAGAGATAGGAAACGCTTTCGCCGTTATGAGTGCGACGAATGGCTTCGGCCAAAATCATACTTACGTCTATACACTATAAAAGACAACAATTACTCAACAATTATTCAAATTAGAATTAGTCGAACCTGTATTTTAGGACAATCACGCATATTCTTCTCCTGAGGAATGGTATTGGTCACGACAAGAGCTTCGAGAGACGCCTTAGAGATGCGTTCACAGGCCGGACCACTGAAGATGCCGTGAGTTAGAATCGCATACACTTTGGAAGCGCCCGCTTCCGCCAGCTTTTGGGCGGCGTGACAGATTGTTCCGCAAGTGTCGGCCATGTCGTCGACGAGAATGGCGACGCGATCTCTGACTTCGCCTACGAGAACCATTGACGCGACTTCATTGGCTTTTTTGCGTTCTTTATGGATTAACGCGAAATCAACGTTCAATCGATCGGCAATTGACGTCACGCGCTTTGCACCGCCCGCGTCCGGAGACACTAGAGGACGGAATCAACGGTTAGAATATGAATGAATCAATGGATTGATTGATAATGCAATTCAACCGATAATGCAAGAACGCCATTCGGGAATATTTTCGCGAATCCATTTGAGAACTGCCGGTTCGGCGAACAGATTGTCGACCGGAATATCGAAGAAGCCTTGGATTTGCGAAGCGTGTAAATCCATTGTAATGATGTGGTCGGCGCCCGCAACCGACAACATGTTGGCCACGAGTTTGGCCGAAATGGGAGCACGTGACTAAGACTCAGACCATTAGTATATAATAAAAGAGTGTTTTGATTGAAACCTTGTCTTTCTTGTCTTGTCGTGCGTAAGGAAAACACGGAATAACTGCAGTCACGCGTTGGGCGGAAGCGATTTTGCACGCATTGATCATAATCAGCAGTTCCATCAGATTGTCGTTGACTTCTCCGCATCCGCTTTGAATGATATAAACGTCTTCTCCGCGAACCGATTCTCCGATTTCAACACTGAATCACAATTAATGAGACATTATTCGAGACATCTAAAGACATACCAAGTCTCTTGATTTGAAAACTTCTTGAGAACCGCTTTTCCCAAATCAATGCCAAGACGTTCGACAGTCTTTTTGGCCAAATCGGGATGAGAAGAACCGCTGAAGACCTTTATGTTTGGCATTCTTTTTAATAGACAATTACTGACCGAATCAGTTGTCGTCAAAACAATCTGTTTATTGAGACGAATAATGATTGATATTTAGAAAGACTTTTTCAGAGACGAAGACATGAAATGAATTTCTGTCGACTTCTTTCTGATCTCTCTTTCACTTAACTCTTATCGCAATCTTATCTCAAATGCCGTCCAATTGTTGAACACTTTCTGTTCTAAACAAAGCACTCAATCGTATGGCAAATGTCTACAAGCGTTGAGCGCATGCGTTGTCGACTGCAGTGAACTCTTGTTTGAGAAAATGTTTATTAATTTCTTTGATTTTTCGGTCACTTTTTGGACAACAAATCGATTGAATGATAAAAAACAAGACTTTTTGTGACTATTTTTTGAACAAACGATAGACTAATGACTATATATTACACACTATTTTAGGCAAAAAAAGCCTTACATTTGAAAATGTTTAATACTTTTCTGCAAAAGTGTACCAAAAGTTGAAATATTTTACAGCTTTTGTCGATTCGAACTCAAAGTCGAACTCAAAGTCGAACTCAAAGTCGAACTCAAAGTCGAACTCAAAGTCGAACTCAAAGTCGAACTCAAAGTCGAACTCAAAGCTCAACAAACCTTAGAATCGAATAATATTTACACAAATTTTCTAATAATTCTAATAAAATATTCGAAAACTAAACAAAGACTACGAAAACACAAATTATTTACAGTTTTCTTCGATTCGCCGCCGAAGCCGAAAGAGCTTCCGTTTTTGCGAAGTCTATTTGCGCGTAAGACATCGGAACTGTTATACAAGTGGGAGTTGTGGGAGGCGTTACAACTGGCAACTCCATTGTGGGCGTCTTCGAGACGGGAGTGGGCGGGGCTGTCGTCACTATTGTGGGCTGACCGGAGGGCGGGCCCGAGTCCAGGTCAAGTAGAATGTAGTTGACGGGATCTGCTGCGGGAGGAGAGCGTGGAGGCGAGGTCTGGGAGTCCTGGGAGGCGGCGGGGGTTCGGATGTTGACATAAAAGCGAACCAAATCATCGAGTTTCGCGTAATTCGTGTTGACATCAGATCTGGCGGTCGGTAACTGAGTATCACGTGGTGTTTGCGGACCGGCGTTGACGTAAAACGGAGAGTTTATGTATTCATGCGTCGGATTAGTCGGGTTTGTATTGCGAGAAGGAGGCAAACGCGGCGCGACGTCCGGAACAGTTCCGTTGGAGTCGGGACTGACTGTCGGCGGCGGTTGAGAAGCGTTCAACTGAATGGCCTCTTGAAGAGCGTTAAACAGCTGTTCGGCATTCGAACACTTGAACGCATAGATTCCTAAACACATTCCAAATTAGATCAAAGAGGTCAAAGGTCAGACACGTGACACACCTGGACCTGTTGGACAACGACGTCCGCATTCGAAACTAAAGAGCTCTGAATCGAATCCATAGCGACGTAAAGACCGAAGAGACCAGAGAATCGAGTTCCGGCCCTTTTGGTGAAGAGCCAACTCGTGGTCTGTTATTTCGATTTTCCCGAAATTGACTTCTTGTCCATGATCATCAACATTGCATACCTGAACAAGGGATCAGATTAGTGACAGTGAGTGGAGACGGAAACTCACGTGAAAAACACGCGGATTGTCTGAATGACTGGTGATTGTTGGCGAAGAACGCGAACGACGGGAATGAGAATAAACACATCCCATCTTTCAATCACAAAACAGATCCGATTAAAGACATTCAACAAAGATAAACCAATCCACTCAAAGACAAACACTCTGACTGAGAAATTGCGGGCATTGGATGTCCACTAAAACCGACGGCAAAAATAATGTCCGAAAAGTTACGGAAAAAACATCGAAATGTAAACAATGAGTGCTTTGTATTGACTTTCAATGCAATCATCGATTCAATGCTGACATCTGGCGAGTCGTCAAATATCACGTAACAGTAAATCATTGTTGAAATGGAAGTTCAAATGGAATTAAAACCCATTCATTCAAAGGGGACTCAAAGGGGACTCAAAGGGAACACAAAAACAATGCAAAAATCGTTACTTATTATGTGAATAGTCTGCAGACAATTGGTTTGCAATCAAATCAATGACTGAATGACAACACTTTTGAACGGCTTTTCAGTCGTCGGACACACTTTGCGGTCGATTTCCATCACTCGCTTCATGTCGTCCGCGACTTTCAGGCCGTTGGTTGTGTGCGGGCCGTCGGGAAGCGGCAAAAGCACTCTTTTGAGACGACTTTTGGCCGAATTTCCCGATTATTTCCGATTTTCGATTTCTCGTCAGTTATTTTCGAATCAATTCAAAGATTTTTTATTTTTTTTGTTTTTCAGATACGACTCGAAAGCCGCGATCGGAAGAGACGGACGGAAAAGATTACTATTTCATCGAAAGGAAGACTTTCGAGAAAATGATTTGCGAAAATCGTTTCGTGGAATTCGCGACCTTTTCTGACCATTTATACGGAACGAGGTTTTGACCGATAATTAAATGAAAAGATTTTTGATTAATATTTTCGAATAGTTTTGAAAGTCTTTCATTCGTTCAAAAGTCAAATAGAATTCCAGTTTTGGATTTAGATATCAATGGAATCCGTTCTCTAAAAAATCAACGCTTTTTCGCTAAATATCTCTTCATTCGCGCTCCAAATGTCTTGACTTTGGTTTGCATTTCTATTAAATGTCTTTTATTTCCATTAATTGTTTGTTTCAAAGGAACGGAATCTTCGAAATCGCGGATCAGAAGATGAAACGAGTCTTCGGAAACGACTTCTTCAAGCCGTTCAAGACATGGAATTCGTGGACAAAAATCCGATGCTTTTTGATGTGATTATCATTAATAAAGACTTGGAAGAAGCGTATTGTCAACTCAAGAGTTGTCTTTCGGACGTAAGTTTGGATTAAAGAAACGGTTTTTCGATTAAAAGATAATATATTTTTAGGACATAAAAGCCTTAAAAGAGTTTTTGTGGAAAAAGTCTTAAATAAAATTTGATTCAAGAGATGGCGCTTTAGTTTGTCTTTAAATCATATGTTTTGATGTTTACATCGTTTTTGACTCGAAATCGAGTCAAATGTCTTGTGTTTCACGAGATTTCCCGACGAATGATGTCTAATATATTTGAGGCCAAGATTTGTCTTTTAGGCGTAAATACAAAGACAAACACTTAATGTTGAGTAAGAATTAACTCGAAATTGTTTTTCAGGATTCGGGAGTCGGGAAGTCGTCTTTAGCGGCCGTAAGTCTTTTGATTTGTTTTGAAGACAATTGATTTGATTTGATTTGATTAGCGTTTGGTTCACAACACGTTTAATAACAACAACGAAAGTACAATTGGGTAACGATTTTCAAAAGTCTATTCAAAAACTAAAACCCTTTTTAGCGCCTCTTTTATGACGACTTCTTTCCTTCATTTGGACACTACTTTCAAACTCAACATTTGGGACACCGCCGGACAAGAAATGGTTAATCCTTTTAATCTCTAATTAAATGACTAAAAGACTAATTATCTTATAGTATCGCGCTTTGGCCCCAATGTGAGTCCATTTTCGGCAAAACAAGAGTTGTTTCTCATATATAGGTTAATCACAGGTATTACCGTCAGGCGAGGGTCTGTATTGTCGTCTATGACGTCACACAACAGGTATTGAACTTTCTTTTGACTTTAGATTCGGTTTTGATTTGATTTTTGTCTTTGAAGTCGACTTTCCGTTCGTTGCAGTCATGGGTTCGCGAATTACAAACACATCTAACAGATGGCGTTGTCATCGCAATCGCCGCCAATAAAACCGATTTAAAGGACTCGCGAGTCGTCTCCGAAAAAGGCATTAAAACACTATTATTTCCCGTTTCTAATTGAGTTTCCGCTTTACCGCAGATGGACGCGAATACGCCCAAAGCATTGGAGCCGTCTTTATGGAAACTTCGGCCAAATCGGCGCAAAACGTTAGACAACTTTTTGTGGCCATCGGTAACACATTTTTGCCGTTTTTTCTTTCTATAAGACATCTGTTGTATTCATAGCCGCAAAACTATTGACTATTTCGGCGCCAAAAAGGACAGAATCGACAGGAATTGCAGTCAAAGAAACGGTTGAAGAAAGTCGTGGAAAGTGTTGTTAATTGCGTTTATTTAAGAGTTTATTATTTATTTTTAATCTTTTTTAATAATTTTTGATTAATAAATGATTTTTTATGAAAGAATCGGAAAATTGTTTTTTGTATTGATTTTTGTGAAAAATATTTTTGGTTTTATTTCAACTAAAATACGAATTAAAAAATATTTTATACTATAAAATTTTAATTTAAAAATTAAGCTAGTAAGCTTTTCCTGCCAGTATCTGTTTTATAGAAATTATTTTTAATAACTATTAAAATAACGTTTAAATAAATGAAAAGATATTTTCAATGAATTTGTTTACAGTTTTTGATAAAAATGTTTATTTTGTGATAAAAATGAGTTTTTGTTTATCTTTTGATAAACTGTTTAATGATTTCATTGTTTTCGAGAAAAGTCTTTGAAAATCACTTTTATTTCGAATCAAAGCGTTGTTGTTGTTGTGTCACGTGATCTCACATTCACTCCAATCACGTGATTAACGATGTCTTCAATTCGGAAAAGAATTTTCGGCGAAAAACAAGAGAAAGAAGTTTTGGGAAAACGGAAACAAGTATTCAATGAAAGATCAAGTCTTGGATGTCTTCGTCTATTAGTCTATGGATTAATCGTTTTATTAGTCATTGTTTTTGCAATTTCTCTCAGTTTTCGGTTTTCCGAGACTTTTCGTCGAAAAATGGTTTTTATGAATGACTTTAATATAGAATTTCGAAAAAATCTTTCGAAACCTCAAGACTTTGGTCTCAAATGTGTAAAAACGCATCAAATTGTGGACAAAGAAGGAGTTCGTTTGGGTCTTTGGCATATTCTTCCTCTTTCGTCCAACTGTTCCGTCGACTCGAAGACTGCTTTCAACGACAATAAACGCGTTTATCTGTATTTACACGGAAACGGCGGCGCAAGAGGAGGACATCACAGAAGACTTCTTTACCAAAAACTGATTGAAACGGAAAGTCATGTTTTGGCTTTTGATTACCGAGGATTCGGAGACTCTTCTCCTTTGAAACCGACGAAAGACGGACTCATTTCGGACGCCTTTTCCGTCTTCAAGTGGTTATTGTCTAATGAAGTGAATCCCAATCGAGTGGTTGTTTGGGGACACTCTTTGGGAACGTCTGTTGCCATCTCTTTAGTCACTGGATTGTCTGAATCGGTTCTTCCGTCGGTTCTTGTGATTGAATCCGGGTTTACATCGATCGGAGACGCCGTAAGAGTTCATCCGTTTTCAAAAGTGTTTCGATTTTTGCCTTTTTTCGAGACATTTGTTGTCAAACCTCTAATCGAATCAAAAGAAACAAATTTCGACTCTTTTTCGGTCATAAAAAACGTCAAAATTCCGATTCTTTTTCTTCACGACACAAATGACGCAATAATTCCCTTCAGTTTAGGGAAAAAACTCTTCTTTGAGTCCGAAAAAAGACAACAAAGAACTCAATTCGTGGCCTTCGATGACGACTTCGGACACAAATATATAGTTTTGGCCAAAGATTTGGCGAAAATTCTCAACGATTTTATTGAAAAATAATTGAATAAAAGTTAGATAAAAATGTTTTGAATGTCTTTCAGAGCTTTTTCGATGTTTTTCGAGAATCTCTTGGAATCCGTTGTTTTGCACGAGATTTTGGACGAAACGTGAAAAAAGATATTGTCTTCGCCGGCAATGATATAAGAAACTCCGTATCCGTCGTCTGCGACCGGACCGAAACCTCCGCCGGCCGAAACAAAGTCGGCGTCGACCAGACCTACCTGGCCGTGAGGCGTCTGCGAAGTAGACAAACGCCACGGTTCGGACAAAACAGACGACAGAAACGGAGAATCGACTGATAAATAGCGAGAAATGACGTAAAGACAGAACAAATGCCGATCGACGCCTCCCCCGCACATGGCCTCCTGGTATAGGCGCTGATGATTGAGACATGCCTTCAGAAGAAGTTCTTTCGATTGGTTTTTATCGCAGACTTCGGAGGAAAGCATTTGATCTATAAATCGTTTGCTTTGATTAGTAATCGGACGAACGGTTTCAGTGCGTCCTTCGCGGAACAGTCGTGTCATTGACGCCTCGTATGTCAACGACAGATGACCTTGGTCTCGTCTGTACGCCAACTGAAGCGCCATTTGGATGAAGGCGTCGGGACTCACGTGACATCTTTTGATAAATCTTTTGCCGAACTCTTTGTGCGAAAAGAGACGCAAATCGACGTCTTTTACCACCGAAACAGCTGTCGATTAAACCATTAGTTTTCAACACAAAATCAATTAAAGAATTAATCTTTAGATTTACCGCTTTTGAAGGCCAAATCAATGGCCAGACAAAGAGGAGGAGTCAAATCCCATTGAAGACGAATTGGCGGAGACGCGTCGTTTGCGTGGGAGTGTCCGAGACGACAATCGCCGTTTGAATCGTATTGAAGGACACGGAAGTCGTGGTGAAGAATGAATTCCCAGAGATGAGCGAGAATGGGAGCGTCTGCCCACGAGTGTTCGCCATTGAAGCCGACTCTTGCGTTTTTTGCGACAATTAATTGAAAGCTTTTGTCAAACCATCGATCGTTTGCTTTTCCGTGAAGAAGAGCCGCCGCCCACGCATCCAATTGTTGGGAAGTTTGGAAATCATGTGATTCGTCGTCCAGAACGACAACAAAAGCGCTTTTCTCGATTGCAGACAACGAAACGCGATTCAAACCACGCGAAAAATGCTTTAATCGAGTTTCGGCCCAACAATCGCGATCCGAAGCCGTCAAAGCGGCCAGACGGGACTCTTCGGGAGTGACGGGAGAGTCGTCTTGAATAATGCGCTGAAAAAGCGTTTGAAGATCTCGCGGCGGAAGAAGTCTTCCTTTTCTGTGAATTTGGAGTTTAAAGAACTTTCCAGAACTGAGAACAACAATGTGTGGAGAATCGCGAGAATGAAGAACGAAATCGACGTTTTTGTTGGGAATTCGCGTCGTATTGAAGATTCTCTCGTATTGTGAAGAACACAACGGAACCGCCTTTTGCAGCAAAATCTGAGAAACGGATCAACGGATCAACGGATTAACGGATCAACGGATCAACGGATCAAGGCAAACTCACCGGAGCCAACTCCTGCCGATCCACCAGTTTCCGGAACACAAGAGCCGAATACACGAGATTCGCGGCTCTGGCCGACGGCTTCTGAGTCGGCAAACAAGACACCAACGAATCGATTCCATAAAAGTTGGAATTCACTACCAGAGGGGCCCGCCCTCGCAAATAGACAAACTCCTCCCACCAATCGCTGACGTAATTGGAGGCCCACCACGCCTTCAACCAAAGATATCGCTGGAAACGCCTCCCGACGCCACGACCAAAGTCACGTGCCAAACGAGTCGTTTCGGCGAATTGAGAGTCGCTTTGAAGCGGACGAACGGATTCCAGATATCGGCAAATGGTTTGCTCTAAAGGCGGTAAAGGCAGACGCGGAAGGGAGGCCTGGAATGAATACAGACGCGGCTTCTTCAGAGTGAGGAGGCGGAGACCAACCATCCAGAGGCGGGTCAGGAGGGAGGGCTCTAAAGAGGGGAAGAATCAATGGATTAATTGAATAGAAATTAATAAATACTGACTTTTGACACGTGACTCGAAAATCCATTTCTTGTAAATCAAAAGACATTTTAAAGCGTATCTCAAAGACAATGCTTTTGCGATCCAAAGAAACACCGAAAACAAGATTAAAGCGAATAATCGAACGAAAGTCGGCGGAAGAAGACATTCGAGGACTCGAATCAAGAGAGAAATGGCGCCAAAAGAGGGATCAATTGCAAGAACTAAGTCTGAAAAGAGAACTGCGGAACAAATGAAGAGCAAGAACTCGACGGAAGACGGAAAGACTCCGGCGGACAAATTGTTCTGAAATATCGCATCAATTAATAACAGACAGACAGACAGACAGACAAAGACTCACATTAAACCGAGCAATGCGTCGACGCCACGACCGCACCCCCGACTGCCACACCTCCTGAAGGAGGCGGACGTCGTAATTGATTCGCAGTCCGTCGTGAGTGACCTGAAAACTAAAGGCGACGGCGGAGTGCGCTTCGGCCATGAATTACACAGAAATGACGTCTTTTTGCGACTGTTTTTGGTTTTTGTTTCGCTTTTCAAATGAACTTTGATTTGAAAAACAAAATCAGAAAAAATGTTTTTATTTTCGATAAGATTTGCGATTATTTGCGGTTAAAGTCCGCGAAATTGTGTCCGAAATTGAAGACAGAGTCGCCATCTGTTAGTCGTCTTCAGAGTTGAGACGTCTTTCCAGAGGACGAGAAATCAATTGAATGATTGCAGTCGTGATTGTTATCACCGAAAACCCCAACCAAAGACCGCCTAAACCCCCGAAATCACAGATCAACTGAATCAAAGTCACGGCCGGCGAATGGCGGTACACAGCGTCGTCCACGGGTTGGCGCGACAGCTGAACACCAGTCATGTTGTTTCTGGCGAAGAACGGAATGTCTGCGAACTTCTCGGCCGTAAAAGTCTGTTCCAAACAGTCTTTTTGACATTTTTCCGAACATTTTTGCCGATAATTAGTGAATTGGCATTTGTTTATCTTTTCACAGAAACGATCTTCAGATCGAAGAAGTGATGGACGAAAGAGAACTCCCGAACGCGGAAGACATCGACATTCGCGACGATATTCTTGAGTCAAACATTTGGCGAAACAATCGTCTGAAGACTGCGTTTCGTTTGGATCTAAATATCAATCAATAATTAATACTATTTGAGAGAAAAAGACTTACAGTTCCCGTAATTCCGACAATTGGTCTGATAGGGCGCCTCCAGGAGGTGTGAAATGGTTTTGGCGAACGAAATGTCGTAAAATCTTGACCATTCGTAGAGAGGAATAGACGGATAGAAAGAGGGAACGGGAAGTGCGAACGGAGAGTGAACCAGAACGCGGGCTCTCCAGGCCGTGTCGAACGGATGGTGGACTTGACTTATATTCCTCGAGTGCGCGATATAAAGGACTTTATTAGTTCTTTGTTCGAAATTTCGTTTCGAAAGGAAAACATTTGTTTCGAAGAGATTTTGGTTTTCAATAACGAAATCGAGTTTTGATAAAAAGGAAAAACACCTGAAATCGCCGTTTAATGACTTCAGAACTTGATTTCGAACTGAAGAACAATAAGTCATGGAATATCCGTTCTCGACATTCGGTTTGGCGTCTAAAAGACATTCATCTGATTCACCGAAAGACAGGTTTTCCAGAATTTCTAAAACCGTTTGGTTTTTAAACACTTTTTCGGCAAAAAATTTATACAAATATTTGCCTAAAAAAGGATTTTTTCGATTAAATATTTGTTATATTTATAGAAATTGTTTGCCTTTTAGTCCGAAAACATTGAATTTCGCCGATTCTTCAGTCGTCCAGAAATTGGCGTCTTTTCGGCGAATCTGTTCTTCGGATATATTTCTGACCGCTTCTGCGTATTCGGGAAAGAGTTGTTGAAGATGGAAATGAGGGATAATATCTGGAAAACAGAGAGTAATTGAAGGATATTCAAAGATTCCGTTTTTAGGCGATTCATAACCAAAAGAAACATTTGTTTTGAATTCTAAAAACTGATTAAAAGCTAAATAAAAATGATAACAAAAACCGATTAAAGAAATCAAAAAAATGATCACTAAATGCGGTTTCACGCGACAGACACGGCGTAAACCTCTTCTATAGGAAGAAGAAGACGCACTTTTCGCCGCTTTGTTCTCCATTTTTTGGGGGAATTCCCCACAAATGGCAATGAAATAAACATAAACTTTCAAGGATTTCGGCTTTTATTGCTTTTTACGAGTTTGGCGCGCGCGCGGTAGTCGGGACGGGCGGCGGCCGCCATATCGCGTTCTTGTGGTCCGAGAAATGCGGAATTAGTTGTTCCGATTCTGTCATTCAAATAGAAGAACTCTTTGGAAGCGGAACAAGGAATGGCGTCGTCCGAAACGACGCACTTCTGCTTCGATTGATCGAAACGTTGTTCTTTCGGACAAAACATTGTTTCTTGATTTGGAGTTGACTTTTGTCCGGAAGGCGTCGCGCAGATGTGGAACAGTTTGCATCTGAAGAACAGACAATTAATAGACAAGTATTAATAGAGAACTGATTACTCGTTGTCTGTGTCCGCAAAATAGCCGTCTTTTTCACATTTAAATGTCTTTCGAATTGTCGACAATCCTGTGATGTCCTGAGCGTTTGGCGGCAAATCATACGCTGCTCTTCGCAACTGAAACTGACATTAGATTGATTCAAGTGCCGAGTGGTCACTTACCCGAAGAGCGGCGGCGGCGGTCGACAAATAAAAAACACAAAAAAGTAAGAATTTCATTTCAAGAGTGCGTCGTTCGGGACGACGGATGTCTGCCTTGACATTAATTTTTGACATAATTTCGAAAAACCGGTTCTCAAACACTTGACGGCACCCGCGGGCGAAATCCAATCAAGGCATTGAGTCAGCCGCGACTTGGAAGTGCAAGTAATGGCCATCAGAGCTGACCAATTATTACCGATTTGTCCGCCGAAAGACATTTGGAAAAGTTGGTGAACGCCTGAAGCGAAATGACGTCATTCGCGTCGACGCACAAGAGATGACATGAAATCCTCTGTTGTTTTCGGCGTTTAATCCGTGAATATAAATGGCGTCCAAACGTCACGCGATTGCATTGTTCGCCAATTTCGCCGAATCGGCCGATGAATTGTCTTTCGCTCGCGGCGATCGTCTCGACGTCTTGTCGGCGGCCGCAGCGCCCGGTTGGTGGTTATGTTGTCGGGAAGACGGTCAGACGGGTCTGGCACCGGCCAACAGGTTGTATCACGTGTTTATTAATGACTATTAATGAGAAATCAATTCTCAAAGACTTCGACTTTCTTTAACCGAAATATCAAACTCTGAAACCCTTTACGACATTCCGAGACACGCTCTACAAGACTATGACATTCCTCTGGCGGCTAAACTCCGTGTTTCCGACTCGTCTTCTGACGTCTCGAACGACGGAAAAGACGACGAATTGGAAAACACTTCAGAAGAGTTCGAACGACGGATCGATTGTTGCGACGTCTCGGACGACGCGACGGACGACGCCCTCGAGTACGCCGTTCCCGCCAACAATCGCCGAGTTGAGGCACTCGAGTACGACGTCCCGAAAGGTCGAGTGTCTGTTTGTGACCGAATTGAGACAAATATGAGGTCTTCTGAGTCGCCGTTTGAGACGGAAGTGGAAGAAGAAGAACACAAATACGGTTCGAATGTTTTGCTTTTGATTTCGATTTAACTTTTGTTTTGATTTTTAGCTCAACTTTTGTCGAATAGAAAACCGATTTTCACTCAAAATAAAGACAATTCTTATGCTATTTATCGGTAAAAAATGTCTTTTAGTCTCTTTGTTCTGACATATATTCCCGCAGTCCACTATTGCGGACATCTGCACGCCATTTGGTGCTGAGTTCAGACGCGTTGTTGTCGTGGATCCGATCGAATGGGTTTCTAGTGGCCAGAGGGGCGTTGTTGTCAGTATTATTTCAATTGTTTTCAATTAATTAATTAATATTTTTTTGAACAGAAATTCGGCAAAAAAACTATTGATTTCTGGATTTCAAACTCTTTTTTTGAGACAAACAGTCGTCGTCCGGGACGACGGCGAGGACGACGACAGCGGTCTTCACGAGGCTTTACGTCGATTATCGCAAGCATTGGTTCGTTGTTGTGGCACAAGTCGAGCGCTTCCAGACGCACGTTCAATATCTGAAGCCGGATCAGCTGTGCGATCATTGCGTGGAATAGCGGTTAAAATGTTAGACAATTAGGAGTATAAGGACTACAGTTTTTAATCGAATAAATCGCAACGGAATATATTACAAATGAAGCGGTGCTGATCTGATTGATTAGTCTTTTCTAAAAGTGCGCGAAAGTGCATAGACGATGGCCAGATGTGGTCAGATCTCGGTCTCGGGGTTTCGCGCGTTCGGAGCCGACGACCGCGACGGCGACATGATTGAGAGTTTTCTCGTTTGTGGAACCGATTCCGTCATTTCCAGGTGATCCTGGTCCCATTTGTCTAATTCGGCTTTAGATAAATGGAAAACAACGCCTGCGCCGTAAGCGTCGCCCAAAACGTTGATTGAAGTTCTGATTCGGTCTCTGATTGGTTGACAATCGGTTAGTCTTTAGAATTCGGGGAAAGAATACTCACAGAAACCAATCGACGGCCAAAATCATTGAAATGTCTTTCGTCGGAAGTCCTAAAGCCGTTAAAACTAAAAGTAAAGTGACCAGACCGGCCGACGGCACGGAAGCCGCGCCAATAGAGGCGGCGGTTGCGGTCAGAGACACGATGACGATTTGGCCGACCGTGAATTCCATGGCATTCATTTGCGCGATGAAGATGGCGGCCACTGCCTCGTAGAGCGCCGTCCCGTCCATATTGACGGTGGCGCCAACTGGCAGAACAAATCGCGTGACTCTTTTGTCGATATGAAGATTCTCTTCGAGGCATCGAAAAGACACGGGAAGTGTTGCCGCAGAAGAAGCAGTTCCCAAAGCCGTGACCCAGGCCTGAAGCATTCCGCGGAAGAATGTGAGCGGGTTTTTGCGGGTGACAGTCCAATAGATGAGAGGAAGAGTTAGAGTGGCGTGGACGATCAAACCGGCGATGACTGTCAACATGTAAAGACCGAGTTGTTGGGCGACGGTATACATGTCCTTGATTTCCAGGATCTTATTCACTATGAGAGAAGGGATTCCGATGGGCGAGTACCACATGACCACGACAACCAATCGCATTATTATCTCATTGAGAATCACGAAAAACCGAATCATCGGTTCCGCTTCGGCGCCCAATTGGCCGCAGATTATGCCGAATGCCGAACAAAACACGATCAAACCCAAGACGTTCGGGACGTCGCGGTAGGGCAGCACTCGTTCCAAGACGTGATACGACACCTCTGTCCCAATGGATCCGTTCAAGTGACGAACTTCGCGGCTCACGTTCTCAACACGTGACCAGTCCTCCACGGACGACGGCTGCACGGCCGGTCCTCTTGCGAATTCTGTGCGCACCTGAGCAAAGGCAGCCTGAAGAAGGTTTTCGGGAAACATATTTCTGATCAGATCCAACATGGCGTCCAAAGTGGAAACGCGAGTGTTTTGTTCTTCTTTCAACTGATTTCCCAATTGTTCTGCTTTTAGGCGCGGATTTCCCGGATGAATCAGCAGCACCAGAACAATGCCGAGGAAGGCGGCCAGAAGCGTCGTCCCGAAGTAGTAGGCGAGCGCTCGGGATCCCATTCTTCCGGACGACGCGGCGTCGAGTTGGGCTAAACCGGCGATTAATGAAGAGACGATTAGTGGAATGATTAGCATTTTCAACATTCTCATCAACAGTTCTCCGGGAAAACCAATCAACATCACGAATTCGTCCGAATATTCCGTCCATCGCAGAAGACATCCACCGATAAAACCAAACAAAACCGATAAAACCGTTAAAACCAAAAGCAAGTTCTCTCCGAACCACACCCAAAGCGCCGCCGCCCACGACCGAGTCGGTTGCGTCAAACGCACGGTAGTGGGCAGCGGGGGGCGCGGCTGCAGGAAAGGCGTTTTGGCGTCGGCCGTTGCGTCGGCCGAAGTATCCATTCTTCGGACTCAATGTCGACTCAAATCAAAGCTTAAGGGACTCAACGAAGCGCGCAGACGTATATTCACAGCATTTCTAATGACTATTATTTCAAACAAATAAACATTTCAAGGCATCGGATGTTCGGCAGAAAATCCCGGTTTGAAGACGACGTCCGGACGACGACTCTCTTCTGTGTTCCGATTCGTCAATTGAGTGGTCACGTGATCGACGAGACGACAGACGTTTATGTTTTGGTTTTGAATGGAATTCAAGTCGAGATTGAATTCGTCCTCCAATTCGACCAAACATTCGATTAAATCCAAAGAATCCAAACCCAATTCAGTCATTAAATCACAATTCGGTGTTAACTAAGGATTAATTAGGGATTAAATAATTAATTAAACATTAATTAGAGTTGAAATCAGACTTTGTTTTTATCGATTTTCTCGTTTCGTAATAAACATTGCAAAACACGGAACTCTATGTCCTTGCGATCGACGGCCGGCGGAGGCGGACCCCATGACGGCGAACGACACACCACTCCAGTGGACAACAGTTGTCGGCGAAAGTGTTGAAAGCCGACGGTTACCGAACTACGAAAGACACGCAATCCAAACATGATTTGATTTGATTGACGATTGTCTTCAAAGACAGAGACTCTGCTAAACAACTGCCGAAGTGTTGAAAATCAATTGGAATTCAATTGAAAACCGATTCGAACGACGCCTCTGTTGTCCTAAACTAATGACCGAAAACACGGTTCCGTCACTTATATGGACTGCGACTGCGCGACACAACGCCCTCTATAAGTGATAAACAGTTATGAGTTGAGGGACTCATCAGTTGTGCAGTGAATGGAAGAGCCGTCAGTCGGCGGGCGGAACACAAACACTGGAATGTCGGGGCGTTTCGCGCATGCGTTCAATGGGACGACAAGTGTCGACATCTGGTGTGCGGAGGGAGTGCTTGGAAATGACGGGAAGAGCCGAGTGTTGTGATTGGTTGGGAGTGAAGGCGTGTTAAAGAGTGGAAGCGATTGAGCGTTCATTCGCTGAAGTCTTCAGTCATTCTTTGTGTCATTTCTTGTGAATTGTTTTCAACGCATCCATTGTTCGCACGTTTTTTTCTTCAAGAATGTCTTCGGAATCGACAGAAACGCTGCCGAACAACAACTCTTCGGCCGACGGCGACCTCAAGACGGCCACCGAATCGAAAACGGATCTCAAAAGGACCGCAAATGAGGTTTTAATTTGTTTTTTGTGTCTTTCGTTTGCATTCTTTGATTGATTCGAATCATTAGTTCTCTGAGGATTCGAATTCCGTTCTCGAGTCGGCAGAAGACGCGACAAACGCCCAAACGAAGAAGCAGAAGACGCGTGAGAACGGAACCGAAGACGAATCCAATGACGCCAATGAAGCCGAAGCCGGTCTGTATATCATAAGTCTTGCACCGCATTGTTCGGCGCCGTCTTTCGCACTTTTGGGTCCTTTGCGCAGTTGGCGCCACTCATTGAAGTGTGTGTCGGCATTCACTGTATAAAAGACCCAAAAGTGTTTTGGCGCTGCGATTATCGATACTATCGATGTTAACAATAATATTAATATTGAATGAAAGGCGGAGACGATGAGGAAGAAGACGAAGAAGACGACGTCGTTCCAGAGGATTATGCCGACGATGACGACGACGAGGACGACGCGGCCAATGATGACGACGACGACGAAGAAGATGACCAGTAAATGGTCAGCAAAAGAGGCGTCCGATTAATCATCGATTGGTTTAAGACTTAACACAAAAATTATTTCATTTGTATTTCTTATGACAACAAAAACACAAAACAAAAACGCATTTCGTATTTAAATGTCTCGTAATTTTGGTTTTCATTAAAATCCATAAAAAGTCCGAAAAATTATTTATTTTTTGTGTAAAAAACGTTTCGTTCGAAGACTTTTCTCGACTTTTTTTAGAGAAATAAATTACGTTCCAAACAATCACTGCAACTCTTGAGCCGTTTTGGCCAACAATTCCTCGGCTTTCGTCACTTCCCGACCAACTGCTGCCTCGAGACGCGCGCGCGATCTTCTCAGTCGTTCGACGTGAGCCCAGAGTGCATCTTCACGAGCAGTTCCAGTTCTGCCAATGACTGCATCGGAAACCAATTGAAGCGCATCTTTGGCCAGATTTGTTAGAATTGCGTTCGAAGTCGAAAGTTGACGTATTTGTGACAAAAGATGGCGTAATCGACGCCATAAACGACGCGATAAGTGAACCACAGATTCTTCACCTGAAGATCCGTTCGGCAAAACTACTCCCAAATCGGGAGACAATGGCCGCGGATCCGGCGGACAATCGTCACTTTCCGGTCTTTGAGAAGAGTTTTGCGACGTTTCAGACGACGCAATGTTTGGCACGAATTTGGCGTTTTGTTCACGTGTTCGGCGACTCATCGGTGAAAGTGACGCGCGATAAGTGAACAAAGAGGCCGAAGAGGCTTTTGGCGACCGCTGGTCATTGTCTTTGTGAGCCGAGAGATCGTTGTGCGGATAAATAGGACTTTCATTTGTTTGGCAACACTTGTCGTCCGCGCGTCGTTCGGGTGTCGTCCGGGACGACGTTTGAGTGGTCGCCTCGACTGCGACTGCGCGCCAATCTTCGTCCAAATTGAGAACTCCGAGCGAAGACGTCACGTGACCGACGGCTATAGAAATGACGTCAGAATTAGTTTGAATTGAAAAAACTGACCGGAAATAGACTGACGGCGTTTGCGATCACGTGAACGAAGTTTCTTATCGATTCCGGCGTCCAATTCGGTTCCAACCGAAAGACCAATGCGGACTCGAGACGCCTCGCGGTCGGGTTCTGACCAGACGTCATCTGATTCGTCGTCTTCATCGGCAATCGGTCTTCCGATTGGTTGTTCTGTTGTGACGTCATTTGCGGCTAAAACCAAACAAAGACTTTGAACGCGATTTCGGACTCAATATTTGACTCACGTTTGACTCACGCGTGACTAAAACGGAGGCGCAGTTTAGGAGGTCTTCGGAGGCGTCGATGAGATGGTGTGGGAGTCGGGAGTCATTCGATTGGACGCTTTGAACGAATCGCGACAAATGATTGGCTAATTCTCGGGCCAATTGTTTCGTCGCATTTAAATCGCGTTTAAGACGACGGATGACGTCATCGCTTGGATTCGAGTTTTGATTGGATTTTTCGAGAAAATAAATCCGAAGTTTTAGCGAAAAGTTTTCAGATTTTAGTTCTTCTAAAATGCGTTCAAAATCTCGAACTGAAAGACAATTATTCGGAGATTTCGGCGGAACTGAAGATTGACATCGATTTCCCGCATTCAGAGATAAAGAGGGAAGCGATCGAAGCGTCAAATCATGTGATGAAGAATCGGCGGCAGAAGTCGTGTCCAAAAGCAGACATGAAGACAACGGAGACGCCATTTTGGAGCGAAAAGTAATTACGTCTTTGAATAGGAATTAATTGATTAAAGAATTAATAAATTGTTTGACTTTTTGAGTGATTTATTGACTGTTTTTTTGAATGACTTTTGACTAGAATTTCGAGAAAACTCTTCACAAAAGCGGTGGAAGAGATAGAGCTGTTTGACAGGCGGCTGAAGATGTGGTGGGAGTTGCGGGCGGTCTTTGAGGTCTTCGGGGTTTCGCAGTTGAGTTTGGTTTGAGTTGATGTGCTCTGGCCTGATGTTCGGCGCGTTGTCCGGGAGATATGAAACCTCTTCCGCAAAGTTTGCAATTATAAGGGAATTGTTTCGTGTGTTTATAGATTTGATGTGTTTTTAAAGACGACGCTTGAGTGAAACGCGAACCGCATGAAGAACACTGACAGAGAGGGCGAGAGAGGTCAGGTCGGGTCGGGTCAGGTCAGGTCAGGGGTCAAGTCTAAGAACAAACAAACACTGACCTGATATGGACGCTCACGAGTATGGGTTCGAGTGTGACAAATGAGAGAATATCGAACTGAAAAGTAATTATCGGATTAATCGAATCAACGGATTAACGGATCAACGGATCAACGGATTACCGGTAAAAGTCTTTCCGCAATCAATGCATTTGAATGGACGCGACTTTGAATGCGTTTTCTCGTGAGATCGCAGTTTCGAAACACAAACGAAATGTCTTCCGCATTCCAAACACGCCAACAAAGACTCGGCGGTTCGTGGCCGGGCCGTGGCTCGAGGTCGGGCGGGTGTGGCGGCGACGGGTAAAACTGGTAACGATTTTGTGGCCAAAACCAAACATGAATTCTGCGCGTTCGTCTGCATGGGGGCGTGGCCCGCACGACGACCGGACGACGGCCAACACGGCTCAAGATTTGGTTAAAGAGAAGAATTAGAATTAGAGCCGAGAAATGGTCGACAAAAAAGGTCTTATTTGTTGTCTTTAGGACTCCGAGACCTCCGACTCGTGTGAGCGCAGAGAAGAGACGACGCATGCGTACAGTCAGTGAATGGCAGATCTGTTGAGCTCTAAAGCCATGAATTCGTCGTCCGAAACGACGGCCGGAAGTCGCGGACATAATGCCCTTCAAAGACGCGCACAACAACTCAAACGATGGAAAGAGTGGGCCGACAGTGACGCCAGTTCCGCCGCAAAGACGAGAACGCCGACGAGAGTCCAGTTCTCGGCGGCGACGCTCTTCCTATCGGCCGTCGCCCAGAACGACGTCTCGGAATGCGAACGCCTTTTGTCTCGTGTTTCGGTGAATGTGACCTCTGGTGACGGTTTGACTGCTTTGCATCAAATGGCAATTGACGACAATTCAGAAATGGTTAATTGGCTTCTAATCAAAGGCGCAGATGTCAACGCAAGAGATAATGAAGGCTGGACTCCATTACACGCCTCTTCAAGGTTTGACTTCTTTATTGAGTCTTAATTGCACTTTAGTTGATATCTCTCTCTCAGTTGTGGTCACGCAGAAGTGGTTCGTCTTTTGGTCGCTCATCCAGACATCGATGTCTTTGCTTTGACTTCCGACGGCGAATTGGCCAGAGATGTGGCCGACGGAGAGACGTGTTTACAGGAAATTGAAAGAACAATGCGTCGTTCAGCCGACGTCCCGAACGACGACTCGGACGACGCCTTTTCCGACGATTGGTTGCAACGAATTCGTGGATCAGAATTGCGTGCTATTGAGGCCGATGTCGACCAATTTCTGCGCAGATTTCCCGTTCCAACGGCGGCTCAGATCGATGTCTGGCTCGAAGAGACCCGAGATGTCAACTCAAACGCCAGTATTTTACACGTTTGCGCCGCAAAAGGATATATAGATGTTTTGGAACGCGTTTTGACTGTTGTTTTGAACGCAGAGTCGACGGCATTATTGGACTCATTATTAGATTCGGATGGATTCACGTGTTTACATTCGGCCGCTTTCTGGCAACAAACGCGTGCCGTCGAAGTGTTGTTGCGTTTTGGCGCGAATTTCGAATTGAAAACTCGAGATTTGCGAGAAATCGCGGATTTATGTCACGACAATCCCGCAGTTCTAGAACTCGTTTCGGAAACTCGAAGACAACGTCAAGAAGATATCAAAGCATCAAAAGCTTCGGAAACTCAACGAAAACTTAATGCCAAACGACAACGTGAAACCAGACGTCCAACTCAAGGTGTGTCGCGTGAAGACGTCGAAGCAGCGCTTAAACACAACGCCACAGTCGGTAAGTGTCGTCCGTGTGTCGTCCGGCCGTCGTCTCAGACGTCGTTTTCTCGCAGTGAACGCCGACTCCGCACCCGTCGTATTGATGTCCGAATCGGATCCGTCTTCACCGCCACCGCCTCCCGTACCCGCCTCATCGCCACCGGACGCCTTATTGTCGGGTATTGTGCCTCACGCCAGACGTCGTGCAAAACGTCGTTCGACGGGAATTGAAGATAATTGTGACGCAACAGAAGCGCCCTCTTTTGGAAACGATTGCGTCGACTCTCGAAACGTAAGTTTTTTTGCCAAAAGTTTCCAAAAATAGACTCAAAGACGACATCAGAGACGACGCCCTAAAACATGTCGTCTTTCGGTTCCTGGAGAACCACTTCGTCACTCAATCCACGCGCCGTTCCCGGCGTCGGCCATACGTCGCGTGTGTCCTCTGGACTCACGCCGTCGAGTCTATCGCGCTCTCTGACGTCATTGCCCTTCTCGTCATCCAATTTACCGTTCATTACGACTGCGCCGACGTTTGCGACGTCCGGGACGACGCACCGAAGACAACCGCATTTGACGCGCCGAACGACACAACCGACGGCTTCGCAACGTTTGCGCGCTTCTTCTCAATGCAATCTCTCGTCGCTAACGGACAGAACTATTCCGTCGTCTTTCTCTTCACTTTCTTTCGTAACGTTTTTATAAGTTTTCGCCGAAAATAATGTTTTTCTTTTGATAGACGCCTTCGTCGACGCCTCAGACGACGCGATCTCGTTCGTCGTCCCGATCGTCCATTCAGACGACACCGGACGACACGGAGACGACGGATGGAAAGCGAAGTATAGAAAAGGACGACAACAAGGATTACAAAACTTTATACAAAGAATTACTTAAAGAAAACGAGTTTTTGTTGAAAAAAATCAAAGACTGGGAAACGAATCGCAAAACAGACAAAGAATTGGCAGAAAAAAGACAACTTTTGCGTCGTATCGCAGAACTGGAGGAAGAGATTAAGACAAAGGAGGAGTTGTTACGTGAAAACGTTCGGCTGAAAGACGAAAACGCAGCGCTCATTCGTGTCATTTCGAAGCTCTCCAAATGACGTCCGGTCGTCGTCCGGGACGTCCCTCTAGTCGTGTCTCTAATTATTTATTTATTTATAATCGAAATGTGTTTTAAATAAGTTTCGATCTGTTGTTCAATAAAGAGATTAAAGATTAGACTCTTTTGATTGGATTTTTTGAGATCTTAGAGAACTTACGTCTTTTAAATGCATTTCCGAAAGAAAAGCTAAACTCAAAAGAGCGACGAAACCAATGAAATGAAGACTTTGGACCAATTGTTGCGATCGAGACAACCAAACGGACGCCAAAAATATAGTCATTTGTTGGTGGGCGTTACCATAGCAACGCCACAACCACATTATCACAAACTGTAACCGAGACTTAAACACCGATACAGTGGCCGCAGTCGGGTGCGTCTCCAGAAGCAAATGGTAGCAATCGATGTATCGGTTCCAAAGCACGCACGCGAGCGCCATCTGCAGACCAAATAGCAGATGGTTTCGGAAGAGTTGTCGTCCGGGCGACGTCTCGCACGACGACTGGGACGACGATTCGCCGCTTTCTAATCGTTTATATTTGGCGTTTGCGGTCGACAAGGCATTTGTTTGGCGTAAAGTTTGGACAAAAACTGCGACCAAAAAGACTGAAAAAGCGATTGCATCGCAAATACCATCCATAGCATATCCAGAGGTTCCGGTAACCGATATCTCAAGATGGCGGTCAAGACCCGATCGAATGCGGGCAATCAAACCGTCCAAATCGTCGAGAAATTGACGCAAAAGAAAGAGAACGACTGCCAGACGTCTGACTGGAAGTGCGTCGCTCAGGACGACGCGAGACGCCAATAGCGCCACCACAACACCGGCCAAAGACACGTGATTAGCCGTCAAACCGGGGAAACGCTGTGACAGTCGTATTGTGGACTCGAATGCGTGACTAAGAGGTGCCATGACGTATGAGTTGAGCTGATCCAACATCACTGTTTTGGCAGAAATATTTGGCACTGCGGACGACGTCTGCGGATATCGAATATAAGTTTGTGTCGTTCGGGACGTCGTTCGGGACGACGACAGACAACTTACTTACGTTTACATCAAAACGCATGCTTTGAATGGTATGAAAGAGTTTGACGTCTTTTATGAGAAAAACAAGGAAAAGACCGCCGAAGACGACGACAGAAGTCTTGTAGCGAAACATTTGTTTTGATTGAAAGCAACGGACGGATAACGCATGCGTTGGACTCAAACTGACGTCAAAAAACTTGAGTGAATTGTTGTCTCGTTTTTGGCTTCAGTTCTGAATTGACTTAACAATGATTGAGACGTCTTTGAGGGCAGAAATGGACGACGCGATGGACGACGCAATAGACGACGCAACTAATGATGAATTATGGGACGACACGAGAGACGACCGAACGGATGACGTAAGTCTTTAAAAAACTTTTCTAAAGTCTAATGTTTTTGTGCGCAGACGTCAACGGACGCCACCGAATCGGGATTCGGGCGCTGGGCGTCACTCTCGCGGTCACATTATTCGGTTGTCGTTCTGAACGACAGATTAATGTCAGAAACACTTTTATCGGACGACGATCCGGACGACGACTCCGAAAGTGCTTTTACCGTCCGAAGACCACCGAAAACAGTGCGGACGGATTCGGCTTCCGACGAATCGGCGGCTGAAGAAGAGACGGGAAGTGCGGGTCATACTAGAGGTCAATGGCCAGCAGAGAAGCGGAGCGAAGACTTGAAAAACGCGACAAAAGTTGAGAAAAACCGGTTTTCAGAGCATTCCTTGGCGTCCATTGACCTCAAAGTCAACGAACTTTTGACTCAATGCAACCCCAGACCCCCAATCCCACCCCAACACCGACCCAACCCACCATCGACTTTGGCTGCACTTCTTAACAATCCATGTCTACCGCCTACACCTCCTTCTTCAGTTTGTGGATCAGATTCAGAAGCGACGGCTTTAAGACAAAAAGCGGCAAAGAAAGCGGTTTTGGGAGGGATTTGTCGTTCTCAACTGATTTCATCGCTTCCGAAGAATGCAATCCATGGATCAGCTGTTGTTCTGACAGAAGAAGAGAAAAGAACTCTTTTAGCCGAAGGATATCCGATTCCACAGAGATTTCCGTTAACTAAGAGTGAAGAAAGAAGTCTTAAGAAGATTCGGCGGAAAATAAAGAACAAAATCTCGGCTCAAGAGTCGCGAAGAAAAAAGAAGGAATATATGGAAGAATTGGAACGAAAAGTACAAACTCTGGACTCAAGAGTTCGCGAATTGGAAAAAGAAAACAAAACTCTTAAAAATCAAACTAAAGTTTAATTAAATATTTATTTAAATGTCAGCGAAGTCTATGATCGGCGCGCGCACCGCTCGCAGAGGACTGAAAGCGGCGGTCGCGTCGTCACACACGTCGGCGAACGGCAAAGTGTCGTCGTCCGGGACGTCGTCCGCGTGTCGTCTCGAACGACGACTAAAGGCAATCATTGGTTGCGATCGCGAGCGAAACAGCTTTTCGGTAAACGCTCCCGAATAGCGAATCAGGTCATTGTTGTGCGTCACGTGCGAACACGCGTTGTCGTTGTGATCGCCGAACGCATTGTTGAGAGCGATGTCTGCGTTTAAATCCAAGTTATTTGCGGCAGATTCGCGCGTCACGCAAATGGACGGCTTTTGGGATTAAAAGATTAAGGATTAGATCAGCGGATAATCAGTTAATAAGCGATTAACAAAAAGCGTTAACAAAAGGCGGAGAAAGCGTTAGATTTTGCGTAATCTCCACAACAAAAGACGTGTCCGCGGAAGACGCAAAACGGCTTTCGGCGCTACTCTTGTCGTCGCTCTTTGCGCTCGTTCTCTGGCCCGACGGCGCCAACTCACAATAGGCGGCGGAGATTCGCTTTTAAAGGACGGCAAAGGTTCGTCGTCCGGAACGTCGCTTTCGTCGTCAGTCGTCTGCCAGTCGTCGTCCGAAACCGTCGTCTCTTTCGACAATTGACTACTGCTTTCTTCTGACGACTCGAGAATGCCGTCGTCCGGAACGACGGGTGAATCTTCGTAATCTGAATCTGATTTCTCATTAATCGCTGTTTTGGACACGATTTGCAATTCGGGAGACGACGACTGGAAATGCGCTCTTTCACGGAAATCGACGCTTTCGGCTGAAGACAAAAACAGTTCTTTGGCTCGGATCTTCTTCGGGTCATTTCGGGCCTCACTTTTGGCGCAAAAAATGCAAAGAAATCGCAATTCGTTTCGAAATTCATTTAAACGAAGACTTATTCCGCATTTAGAACAACGTAAACACGATCTGAAATGCAATCGAAAAATCATTAATCTTTTAATCCGTTAATCCTTTAATCCCAATACCGGTGCAAAACATCGCCGGAAACTGAAATCCTTTCGACGGCCGACACTTCAGTTCCGCACCGAACGCACTTTGATTTCGAACTTTGTTGTTGTTCTTCTTCTTCTTCTTCTGTCTTCCGAATGTCTGTTCGCGAGACATGAAGTTCGGGAGCGAATCGTTGCGACAGTTCTTCACGCATGCGTTGAATCCATTGCGTCGTCTTTTGAGTGTCTCTTTTGATGTCGTCGTCCGTTCGCGTCGTCCGGTTGTCGTCCCGTAGTTTTGCTTCGATTTGTGTTTTTCTCGATTCAAGAATAGTTTTTGAAACGTTTTTCCGATCAATTGGTTTGTCTTCCAATCGTTTTTCTGCGTAAATAAAGTCAGAAATCATTGGTATTTCAAGTATTTGTTTACCGAAAGCCTCGTTATTAGTCTTTCGAATCCAAGGCCTGACATTCCAATCGTTTTCTTCTATTTTTCCCACTTTTTGTAATTTTCCAAAAAAATTCTTCTTTTCTGAAAACATTTTTTCTTCCAATTCTTGCGCCTTCTCTACAATCGCTATTTTCGGTAACATTGGTCGAGTAGACGCCGTCGCAGTTTCGCGGCGCGAACCCAACAACCAATCGGCTTTAGTGGCAATTGTCGTTCGCGTCGTTCGTGTGTCGTGTTGGTCGTCGTTCGGGACGACGTCCGTCTCGACATTGGTTTGCGTTAATTGTTGACTCTCTTTGAGATCACGTGCAGTGACGGCAACAGTAGCTCTGCGCGCTCTTTTGTTTTGAACGATTGGAAGCGAGAGTTTCCATCCAATGAGATGACGACATTGTTTTCTTGTTTCTGCGATTGAACTTTGAGTCCATTCGTTGTAACGAATCTTTGGATCCAAAGAAAAGTCTTTTGAGATGTTTTGAGGCGTCGTTTGAGCCAAAAGTCTATAAACGCTTTCTCTTTCGGCTATTATTTCAATCATTGAATTCAAACGCTTTTCCTTTTCTTTTCTGTCTATTGACAGCACTCTTAACGCCCACTCACGCGCACAATAGGCCGCATCCAATGCCGACAAAAACCCGCGACCCGCACCACTTCCAGTCGGCCAAAACGGCTCGAGAAGTGAATCTCCGGTCAATAACATCAACACATGAGTTGAAGCCGAGTCGTCGTCGTCGTCCGGAGCGACGCAACAACGCGTATGAATTTGTTTAGCACGTGACGCGTTCTTTGCAGCGTAAACTGATGTAAAGTCAAAGAGCGCGACGTCGGGAGCGCCGGATCCGTTTCGGGCGAACTCAAGACCTCGCAATCCTGTTGTCCAATGGGCGGCGTCCCGTGCATAGGACAAGAGTGCTTCCTGGTCGATATTATCGGCGGAAAGCAAAGCATGTGTTTCAAAGAGATCTTTGCGAAGAACTCTTCTGTGGAGAAGAGAAGCCTTGGAAGCGGTCATCACGAAGTAATGCGTTTCATCCAAATAATAGCAAATGTTTTCCAATTGAATCGCAGTTTCTTTTCGCAAATCTTCGAACCATTTTTGAGCGTAAATATAGGAAACGCCAGAAATCTCTTTAACTCCCGAACAATCGGATCCGGGATTTCGCACGAAGTTGGCCGTGATTGCAATGGCCAGTTTGCCGCGGAACTCTTGTCTGGGAAAGTCGTTGAAGAGTGTGTTTCGTCGTCCATCTGCGCCAACAATGATGTGAAATGCCTTTGAGTTGAGAGTTTCGATTGGTTTTCGCGAATCCGTGGTTTCGAAGTGAGCAGACGCTCCCTCTGATTGAATACAATTAATCGAATGATAGAATGACTATTATATTGTATCGAATGGAATGACAACAATCTCTCTAACCTTGGAATGAATGCGAATGACAACAACACTGACATCCAATCGAACACTCATTCAGTGAAGGATTGGTTTGTTTTGAACACAACTCTCGAAACGTTGTATTCGTTTCTAATCTCAAACCCAACAAAAGCGCGGATTTCACTAAAATCAGTTGCAATTGTCTGATCGCCACGTGATCTATAGATCCGAAGCAAAACTGGCCGTAAAACCGTTTGGCGCCCAACGCCCGCAGATCCGCGATAACCGAAGGCCACAAATGGATGACATTGTTTCGGGAAAAGTCTTGTCTTTTTTCAACGCAAACCACTTCTGCCCCTAAAAGCAAAAGTTCCAAACAAACTCTTAAACCACTGATTCCTCCGCCGATTACTAAAACGCTTTTCCCGAACAACGCTTGAGAAGAATATTGTTTGAGTTGAGACCTCTTCTCGAGTTTTGTCAGAATTGTTGTCACGCGGGAGTATTTCTCGAGACTTTTCTTTTCCAAAAGTCGTTTCAATTCCCGAAAAAAGGCCACTCGACCCACCAAATCACGTAAACCCAATGCGTCTGTGAGTTGGCCGTGAAGACGCTCGACGTCCCGCACTGTGGCCGCAGTCACGAAGCGGTCGATTGTGTCCACAGGCGAACTCATGTCGCACTCATAGCTTTTGGCCCTTTTATGACAAGCGATTTGTGTTGCGTTCAGAACATAGAAAAGTGCGAAAAGCGTCGCTCGCTTTCGTCCATAAACAACGTCAAAGTGTTTGCGTGTTTTTCCGCCGCAATGTTTGTCGCTTTTTGTCAATCAATGGATCGAAAGTCGAAAAAAGGTTTCAATTTTTCACTTATTTATCGGATATTTAAAAACCATTTTTATTTAGACTTTTGCGACATTCCTGAAGATGTCTTTCCATCACTGGATCATTGCGGAGATCAAGACGTGGATTTAGAGCCGGGATTAGAGTTCGACGACTCGGAACTGACGGCAGATATCGAACCAAATGTTTCGACAGAAGAAATCGTTTTTTTCGAATCAAACGATGATTTCGAATCTGAATTAACAAAACAAGACGACGACGTCTCGGACGACGACGACTTCGATGACGTTCGTCGTCTCGGAATTGTCGACGTCTTGGGCGACGATCGTTGCGCTCGAAAAGTCATTTGTGTTTACGCGTGTCGTTTGCCTGACGCGCGTGCAATGAGTGCGGGACGTGTTTTGCGGTTTCTTTTGCTAACTTTAGACGCTTTCGTTGAATCGGATTATTCTTTAGTTTATTTTCATTTCGGATTAAACGCCAGAAATCGACCGACAATTCGATGGTTTTGGAATGCTTTCCGAGCTTTTGATCGCAAATATCGCAAGAATCTTAAGGCTTTATTCCTCGTCCATCCGACGCCTTTCCTTCGACTTATTCTACGCGTCTTCCGACCCGTCGTTTCGGCAAAATTCGGACGAAAAGTTCGACATATAATGCGTTTACACGAATTAGAAGAAGAGTTTCACGTGAATCAACTGTCAATTCCGGATCAAGTCAAGGCGTGAGATATTCCCCGATTTGACCATTAGATCAATGATTTGACTAATTATTCGATTGCAGACATGACCGCCGATTGGGATCTTCTGTTGAAAGAAAACCGGTTTCTTATCCGTCATTATCTGAAATGTCTCGCGAAAGCGGAGATTCGATTCCAAAAGTCATTCGATTTTGTATTTCTTTTCTTTCGAACGAAAATTCTCTTCAAATCGAAGGACTTTTTCGTCGTTCGGCTTCTGCCACAACTGTTCAACTATTACGTCAACGAGCGCTCAATGGACAACCGCTTTGGACAGACGGATCAACTGAAACGCGCGAAGAAGCCGTACACGCCGTGGCCGCGCTTCTCAAAGCAAGTCTTCGCGAACTTCCGGAACCGCTTCTCACGTTTCAAGTGTTCGATGACGTCATTGATTGGCCGCAACTGCCGGACGACGCAACTCGAGTGGCGGTCGCGCGGGCTATCGTTCAGAGGCGTCTTCCGGAAGAAAACTTTGAAGTGAGAATCGATTATCGATTGTTTTGCGATTAATCGAAAACTGATTACAGGTTTTGGCTTTTTTGACGGCTTTTCTGGCCAAAGTCGAGGACAGATCTCATCTCAACAAAATGACGGCCGCGAATCTGGCCATTGTCTTCGGTCCCAACCTTTTGTGGTCTCGTGACGGCGCAGACTCTTTGCGTACCGTTTGTGCGGTCAATGCTTTTACAGAGTTTTTGTTGAGAGCGAGACATTCAGTATTTGATAAATAGTAATAAATTTATTGAACGATAGGCGGCGCCAATCGTCCCATTAATTCAATTACATTGCGGATCGCGCGACCCAATAATGCCGGACACGCGCCGGCGGTCGACATTCTCTCAGCCGAAACACGCAATTCATAGAACATTTGCCGCGTATAAGGGTTTCGGCGGGAGGCGTATCGGAGGGCCAGAAAACGGTAGAAGAGGAACGGTGCCAACAGAGAGGCCGAACCCGACAAAAGAGCCAAAACGACGGCCGGCATTAACGCGATTTCAGTCAATGCGACGGTTTGAAGGACTGACCGCTGATGACGTTGAATAGCGTTCGCGAATGAAGAAAACAATTCTGAAATAAACAAATAGTTAGACGTCGTCCGGGACGACACACGCACGACAACTCACCGCCAGATCCCAACTTATCGGCTAAAGTGATGCCAAACGACGCAAAGTGTAAACCAGCAAAAAGAGCGACCGGAAGGAGGGCGAGGGCCAGAGGGGCGTTCGAGGCAAACAATAAGGCGTACAATAAATAGTGCGCCGAGTCTTCCGTCACGACTAAAGCCAAGAATTCACGTGACAAACGAAAAGGTGGTAAACGCTGATGAAGACGTAGAGCCGAAGTTGCGGCGGCCGCGACCAGTGCTTTCTGATAGGCCGAAGCGGGCGACCAAATGCCTAATAAATAGACAAAAGTCAAGACTAAAGTCACGCCACGAGTCACAAACAACGCCGCTTCCATCCGATTGCGCATCACATGCAACACAACTGCACCCAAACCGCGCCTTTCGGACGAAGAGTCGGACGAGTGGTCAGAAGAGTCGGCCATCAGTCGGACAATCGATCGACACTTTGACTGACAAATGATGCGATGTTTTAGAAAATGACGTTTGCTTTAAACGAAACCCTTTTCTATGTTAACAACGCTTTAGTTGTGAATTGTTGTCGACGTTATTGATGAACGAAAGCAATGATTTTGCATTTGTTTTCGATTTATACGTCGTTTCCATGACTTTTGAGAATTGTTTGAGAAATGATGCAAAAGATGGCGAAGTTTTGAATAAAAGCTTTGATTTGAAAGCTTTGCATAAGTTTTGTGTTTTGAGTCTTGGATTAGACGTGTTGTGTGTCTCGCGGCGGTCTGTCTGCAGAACAATACATGTCTTGTGTCTCTAATCGGCTGAAGAATGCGTTAATCGTTTCGATTAATCGGATAAACGAGCGAAGGGTCTGTCGCGCGACGTTTCGGTCGACGAACTGTTGACCCGAAAGACAGACAAAAAATCGTTTGTTTTTTGCGACAATTGTTTCACAGATTGTTTGAATAATTCTTAAAAAACTAATTGCTTTCAAATGTGTTGAAAAACAGTTGCGATTGTAATGAAAACAAATATATAAATGATATTCAATACAAAGTGTTTCTGTTTTACGGAAATTAAACACAGATTTCAATACATATTTGAATCGTTTTGTTTCAAATCTGTTTCACTATTATTCTCATAAAAGACTGTATTATTAAACAAAACTCCATTTATTAGTCGTTTTTCAGCCAAAAAACGCCGAAATCTCGACTCAAAAGTAAGTCGTTTTCATTTTTTTGGTCAAAACCTCGTTATCTCTGAGAATCTCTGAAATTAATATTTTTCGCATTTTTTATCCGAAAATAACTTTTGATTTCATTTCAAATATGAATTTATTTTCTCTTAAAACAAACGCTTTTATTGTGAAAAACGCGGAAATGAGCCAAACATTGCTTAAGACGACGACATTTGCGGTCATTTTCCGCTTCCGCTGTCTTTTGTGTCCATTTTTCTTAACAATTCTTAAAAACGTTTTGTCACTCGATTTGAGTCCGAAAGAAGTCACGCGAGAGATAGAGATAGAGAAGACGTCCCGCTGTTTGACAAATGTTTTTAAATTTCAAACAATTTCTGCATTTTTTTCAGTTTTATTCACCTTTTAATACATTAATTGATTTCTAACCGAATTGTCGTTCAATTGTTTGTCAAAAACAAGAAAAACCCGTTTTTTGTCTGAAATTGTGTTCGAATTTCGCTTAGAATTCGAACGACTGTTCGATTAAAACCTCAATTAAGGAGTGTTTCGAATGTTTCGAGACTTTTCTCACATAAATATCTTTTGTTTTATTACAACAATAATAATAATAATAATAATAATAATAATAATAAACAGAATAAACGATTCGTTCGTAAAAAGAATAGAAATATTACGCAAAACCAATAGTTTTGACATATTTTTATGGACTTCAGGACTCCGGGGGTCCATAGAGTCCACAATTACAACAAAATTGAATCGTATTTCACTTTTGGCCAAACCTTAAGTCAAAACTTTTAATAACTTTTTCCAATTATTTCTTCACTTTTCGACTAAAACTTTAGAAAAACACGAAATTTGTGACAAATTTAGCGAAAAGTAGAGAATTGTTTGCTTTCAACGGAAGCTTTGGTCTAATGAAGACTTTTTCGGTCTTCGCATTCAAAGACAACGATTCCATTGAAAGTGAAATCAAATGATAAACAAAAGCATTGTTTGATATGAAAGTCATTAATAGAGACAGAAATAAACTTCAAGACAGAGTCCGCAGCACTTCTTGAGTGACAGCTTTGCCTCTGTTTTGGCGACTTTTTTCATGAATTCATTTGAATAGCTATTAATAAAAATAACTTTTTCTCTCTTTTTTTAAACACTTTTAAACTTATAATTGTTTGAAACAAATACTGGTTTTCGAATGTATTTTCGATTTTCAAACAATCAATGGTTTATTAGAATCGAAATCATATATCATTTGTCACAAGACTCGCAACAATACAATAGAATCGTATATTTATTGGTCAACCCTTGCAGTAGTGATTCTCCAACAATATTAAGCCAAACAATAGCCCTCCGCCCACAACATCACAACTAAAAGTACAGCGCATTGTCTAAGCGTTTGCATTGCGATTGCGCCAAACAATGGACGCATTCTATTGGATGATTAGACGACTGACGACTGCATTCATTGCATTGAGTGTTGTCTCAAATCTATTCTATTTCTTCTATTTCTTCGATTTCTTCATTCACTTGAGTTTTCTCAACAATTGCTCAACACTTGTGTCGATTGTATTCGAAAATCTGTTTTTCGCCGCAAATGACGACAAAAACCAAATTATGACTGATTTGTGAAACCATTTGATTGTGAATTCAAGAGAGGATTGATTCAACACTTTTACTACAAAATGTAAGTCAACTTCTTTCATATTATACATTACATGCCATCCCTCGGCACAGGTGTGTGTCTCAATCAATGTCCAACTGTTGAACAGTTGAACTGTTGAACTGTTGAACACATAAACACATCAAAAGACAATAAAGTCGTGAAAATTCATTGAAATTTTCAATTAAATGATTGATTAGTTGTAAGACTTTGTGAAAGCTTTTTATGAGAAGCGAAACCCAATCCCAACGACAATTGTGTCGGTATTTGTTGCGCAACCATCTCTGTGAATGTGTTCCGCATCTTCAGACACAATAGTGTCGTCTGTTCTGTGGATTCGGCGATAATTTTGAAGTTCAGGTGAAAACAAGCGAAACATTTCAGACTTTGTTTAGACAAAACTCAAACTCAAGAATGTCTTCTCACGGACTCAAATGTCGCCATTAATTGTCTCAAAGACTCCCACATATGGCAGACAAAAGAGTCAACAAGTGATGCTTTATTTTGTTGTTTTGTTCACAACATATGGCAAAAGGCATTCATATTCTCATTAAAGCAATAATTAGTGGTTTTAGAGACTGAGGAGTGTTCGCCAAAAGACTTATTTTTCTTGCAATAAATTAGTACTAAATTTAGTTTATAATTAAAAACCAGTCATTTCTTTGATCTCTTGATTCATTGAAAACATGAATGAATCAAATCTTCTTCTTTTTGATCCCAAATCTCGACATTAAAGCCATTGTTTTGAACATAAATCAAACAATTGCTATAAATCTCGCAAAAAACAGATTAATTTGATTGAGATTTGAATAATTTTATCATAAATTTTGTCTTTTTTTTGATCAAAATTTTGTTGAATTCGAAAATCAATAAATTATGAAAAATTGATTGCATTTGTTGTCAAACAATAAATAGTTATTAAAAATCATGAAATAATAGTTTGAAATCATGTCATAACACGTGTATTGATTGTGTCCTCAATTTTCCTAACATTTTATGACTTAATTCTCACACTCAGAGAGACTCTCCTCAAAACCCGAACTCAAGGAAAGCCATAAAATCGATATAAAAATAGAAAAACTAATTATAATTGTAATCATAATAATAGAAGTCAAACATTGCCACAAAAATGCACTCAAAATCGCATAATATCTCTATTTATTGCTTCAAATAGTGATTGCGTTTGTCTTTCAATCTCTGAATAACATTATCTAAATTGAGCCATAGGTTGGTTATTAGAGGGACAGGGAGGACAGGGACAGGGAGGTCAACCAGACGACTTGATTATCAGTGAATCATTAAAACATTAAAACAATAAAACAGTTTTCATTGTTTTGACAAAAGCTCTGTTTTCTCGAGTTTTGCCGCACAAGTAGTTTCGTGAGCTCAGTATTAGGCCTTAATTATGCTGAGAGTCGTATAGACAGCATCTGATTCCGTCTCCCGTCTCTCAGATATAAGGATTTGTGTTTTATAGTCGACTCAAAGCTCGACTGAATTGAGAATTAAATTTGTTTTTCTTTGAATAAAAGCTTTGAATAAAAGCTTTGAATGTTTTGGCGAATAATGAGTTGAAATATTAGAGTTCAGAGTATTGTCTGCTTTTGAAACCGAAATTACATTTTCAATTGAAAACATTTTTTCTGAAAAGTTATTATTTGAGGAAAAAAAGCAATATTTTTGAAAACATAATTAAATTCTGAACTGAATTAAACTGAATTAAACTGAGTTATCGATAATTATTTTTGTGACAACACTTTTATAAATATTAATTACTGTATAATAAAATCTGGACTTTTATTTGAATTTTAAGTTGAAATATAACTTATGTTATGATAAGTGCGAAAAACAATTTACATTTAAAATGGTTTTCTTCTAATCAAAGGATATTTTAATTCACAATAAATTAATTTTATATCGCATTCAATAAATTTAAACTTTTCTGACAAATAAGAAATGCGTTTTCAAATTAGTGCCAAAATTTAGTGTAATTTTATGTGAAATAAATAAATAACTGAATTAACATCTAAATCGTCGCATAATTATTGAAATATAGGATCTATTAATCTGTTTTTCGGGATTATCTCTAATCAGATTACGAGTGGAAACAATTCACGCAATGTTTTGTTTGATCGCATGTTTGTGTGTTTGTTGGGCGCGAACTCCCGGACAATAATTGGCTTATATTGTGGTTTAGGGCTGAAAACCTGTAATAGTTTTGAGGGATTGTTAGTTATATTGAGAATTATGTAATACTTGTGTCTATTAATGACTGTTTTCTTTGCATATTTGAACAAAACATTCGGGAATTTGTTTCTAAAGTCGAAACTCGTTTTGCAAAACATTGTTATAATAATAATCAATAGAACAGTCATTAATGTTATAAACACTTGCAATATAAAGGCATTGATACTGTATTTCTCATCCAAACTATGATTTATTTGTCTTTATAATGCAATACATTGTGTTACAAGAGGTTACACTTAATGATAGGCTTCTCAGGGCTTCTCTCGGGTATCCCTCAGAACCTCTTAATGTTTTTCAGACCTTTTCTTTGTTGGCTTTAATTGTGTTTCAATACAATAATTGGATGTAATAATAGTCATAATAATAAGGTATATAAGCTATTATACGCTCAATAGTAGCACAAATTGTTTTGTCCATTAATTTCTCCAAATTTCGATATTCTTGTTGTGAATACAATCGCAAACATGATTAATATTTTCTTTATTACATCTCATTTATCATTATTTTTGATTATAATTATCGCTCTTTTATTGTCAAACTTTGCATTTCAGGTCAATATTTGGATCTCATGTCATGTAAGAACACAATCACTGCTTTTGTCTAAAATTCCTTTAAAATCAATAAATCTTTTCATTTTTGTCGCAAATAATATTGATTTTAAACTAATAATAACCAGTCTTTCAGTCGAAACAACTTTAGTATCAAATTAAGCCTTAAATTATATTTTTGCTGAAAAATCAATTTTTTGCCAGAAATAAAATATTTATTAATTCGTTTGGATTTTTATTTATAATTTATTGGTTTAAAAGAACTTTAAATGTTTTGAACTCTTTTATGAATTTTATTTTTATCCCAAAACTTGTCTCTCTGTCTCTCTGTTTATATGATAAAGAGGTTTAAAATTTGAAACTATTTTTTAATTTTTACTCATTTCTGGAACACTGACTCTCTTTAAACAAATGTCTTATATATTATGTATACAATGAATGAAATGACTATTTAATAGCAAAACCATCCATTAATCAAAGTTTTAGTTAGTTTTTGGTCAAAATCTATTCATATTTTGAATAACAAAACGTTTCAAATCATTGACTTGTATTCCGAAGTCTAAGAATAGCTTTGAATATCATTTGAATTCAAGTGATTGACTGACTCTTGGACTCAATATATTCAATATAATAGACTCAAAACACTCCCCAATCAGATGATAGACACCGATCCACGAAAGCTATTATTTGCAAAACACAACACTTCAACACAACAGACATCTATCTCAGACGTCTTTCACTCCAATCACTGCCTCCTCTGCATCTCAACGGCCACTTACGGCCGAAATAACAGCCGAAACGAAACGCCAATTAATTGCGTCAAACACTGAATCCCTTTCCCTTCATTTAACGGCTTTCAAACAAATTATAACATTTGTTTCAAAACTTTTCACTCGTTTTATGTCTATATTTAGAACAGATTTTATTGCGAAACCAATTGTCATAACTTTATGTCTCTTTTAAAGCCATTACTTATGATGTAATGGACTTCCATTCAAAGGATATGCAAATCAAGAGTTTCAATAATGCACTCAAAGTCAGGAAACTATTTATTGAACTAAAGAATAGATGTTTTTAACTATTTCTGGGAGTGTTTCCAATGTTTCCAATGTTTCAATGTTTCCAATCCTCAAATTATGCCGTTTTTAATTCCCTCTCTCTTTAAGGATAACATTAATCACTTGTCCGGAGAAAGCATTCAATGAATAAATCTCAAAACAAATCCATTCCTCAGCTCATGATTTGCACACAAATACTGAAAATAAATCAAAACATTTTGCAAAAAACATATTTTTCTGTAGAAAAACTGAAATTTAAACAATAAATAGTTTGAAATACAGTTTATTCTGGAAATGAGTGGAAAAGCACTAAATGTTTGACATCTGGTCTTTAATTGTCGTTTTCTATTGTTTTCTATTGTTTTGAAACCAAACTCTTTGATTCTGAAAAGACTTTTGCCGTCAATTGATTCCATATGTGAACGGAATGAATGTCTTTCAACACTAGAAATGCGTTTGTTTTTGATAACAATGTTTTGATTGTTTAGACATCCGCTGCCAATCGGTGTCACTGTCTTTGTCTTTGCGAAGGAGTGTCTCTTTGTTTGCGTTAAAAAACAGATTAAACTGCAGTAGAAATGGTTTAAGACATGATTTAATGCAAATTCCTGACACTTATTGCAGTTTTATGTTTGCGTTTAAGACAATAATCATTAAGAAGAATAACATTGTATTCGGCGAAAGACAATGCAATTAGAGTGGAGTGGAGTGGAGTAGAGTGGTGTGGTGTGGGGTGGGTGTGGCCACCAATCTTCACATCCAACCTCTGTTTCGACAAATTAAACGCAAATTATTAGCAAATAATTGGTTTCTTTTTGAATCCTTCGGTTATGAAAGAAAAACAATATTAAAATAACTTAATTTGCATTTTATTAAAATGCATTCAAACAAAGCCAACGACAAGAAAGTAATTATATTTTGGGAAATATTTCTTATTATTATTAAAACTAATAAAACATATTAATAAAATTGGCATATAATAAACTATAATAAACTATAATAAACTATATATTAAACTATAATAAAACCAGTATAAATAACAACTAATTCATCCATTAAAACCAATTTTAATAGCTGTGAGAAAATATTTTCTGTTCAGATCAACAAAAAATTGACAATTTTTTAAACATTTTATATTTTCAATCGATTAAGAAAATTATGATAAAACCTG